GGGGTGCGAGGGAGAGGCACTTTCCAGAGACGAAAGCGTTCCCAAATACTTCGTAGTTCATGGATGGATAGATGGTAGATGCTAGTACTTTGCTCGGTATAGCACTTCGCATGCGCATATACTCCATAACTCAACCCACTGAGAGAAAACTCTGCCATTCCTCGCCGGGATCGGGCAGCCCATTAATAAATTGTGCCATTATGTTTGCCGTGGCCAAGAGTTTGGCGCTTTGCCGTTGCGCAGCGATTCGGTGAAAATCTAATCAGATGTGATCTAATCTTATCAGATGCATCTGATAAATTTGATTTGGCAGCTGGAAGCCTGCGGTGGCCTGATAACAGCCGCCAAGTCGGCAGTTTTTGCCGTGCGTGGACAGTTCTGGACAGGTGCGGAGTTCTGTCCTGGTCGCCAAGGTCGGCTACAGAAAATTGTATCTTATCTGATCCACGTAGTAGGGCGCTTCTTGTGCCCCACGCACGACTTTGATCTAATCTGATCCTGATATGTACTGTCGAAAGCCACAGCAATGCTCCGTAAATCAATAGCGTGGTGGCCCTCGTGGGGGACCACAGCCTTTGCTGGGCATGCCGCTTGCAGCCTCTTGGTGGCCTGGATATGAGGAACTTGGGAAGAGTCAGGAAGCGCCAGGACTCAGGAGATATTTCGTCGTGCCATGCGGCGAAGTCGGACCGTACGCCAGCCGTGGCCCTGTGGCGGAAGTGCCCCTTGTGGGGTGCTATTGACGCTCAGAAGTTGGCGACAGGAAGCTGCGCAATCTGCTCCGTCGCTGATGTGTTATAAAGAGCCTTGATCACTCCTCCTGGTGATTCTTCTCATCACGCTCTCAGTACTTCCCGCATATCACACGCTTCCTCGCTCCCACTTCCACACTCAGTATCACCTTGCTTCTTCCACCCTCGTTAAAACTTACCGTCTCTCGTTCTGAAAATGGTTGGCATTCAGTGGGCAGCATTGGGAGCTTTGGCTCTGGGCGCCGTTTCGGCATCCGCCTTCGAAGAGGACTGGGCCGCCCAGTTGCTCCGCCGCCAGGCGCCAGGGAGCGCTTCCTACAGTTGCCATGCTTCCTGTGGTAAGAAATATTCGTATCGTGAAGGAGTCGTCGACCATGACTAACGGCGCGTGTGTAGGACAAGTTATCGTGCTCGGCCGCACGACAGGTTACTGCACCAACGACGTATTCCTCTCTAGCTACGATGCCTGCCTCAAGTGTGCTGGTCCGGACAACGAGAACATTTGGAAAGATTACGGCAACAGCGTCGCAAAGGCTGGTGCCGCATGTGACCTTCCCCAAGAGCCTGTCTCTGGGACACCAACAGATCCCGAAACTACTGCCCCTCCTTCGACCGATGCTTCGACCGCTGCTCCTACCGCTGCTCCAACTGCCGAGCCCTCGGCAGAGTCCCCGGCTGCCTCCTCAGCTGCCCCCTCAGCTGCCCCCTCCGTTGATTCCTCAGTTGATTCCTCAGCCGCCCCAACTCAGGCTCCTACTACCGCTGCGACTGGCGGAGCAGCGAACTCAAGCCAAGCTCCAGTAAGTTCCACCGTAGCTACCACTACAAGAGCTGGAAGTGCCCAAGGCACTGGATCCGCAACCGTAAGCAACGTCTACATTGCGCTTCGTTTTCCCGGCTAACCATGGACCTCATTAGACTTCTTCCGCAGGCATAGAGTTCACCGGTGCCGCCCATTCCAATGCCGTGGGGAGCGTTGGTGCTATTGTCATGTTTGCAGCGGGTGTTGCTGCTGCCATCGGCGTTTAGATATGGTTGCTACTCTGGTCTGAGATTTGAGCTGACTTGTATGTCTTCGGTGGTGTAAGATAGTCTTTGAATTTGAATTACCCGCTGGGATTAAGTATCCCTTAATATATATTTGACATGGTTTCCGTAAAAATGAAATGTGTGATGCCTGATAATATGTGGTTCGTGAACGTGAATTTCTGGAAGTGGTGGCTGACGAAGCGCTAGCACCAGTGCTAACATATAATCTGGGTATAAGGGTATCATAGCCATAATGAACGACGAGCCGCACCTATGGCTGAATATGTGATGACCATGTGGCGTATCAAGAGGGAATGGTAGGAGGGAGAGGAGAAGGAAGTTGAAGTTGGAGTTGGAGTTGAATGCCCCAAGCGAGATGTGAAGTTGAAGTGCCTGACTAATCGAGTTGGATAGCAGTGTGGGCCGAGAGAGCTTCCAACCTAAATATCATAACTACCGCATATCATGATCTACGTATTAATACAAGTCTATATTTTATGTTTTTAAATTTTTATATCATATTAATTATTCAGTGGCTTAGCCATATTATATAAAGAGGGGTATCTATCAGCATCCAAACACAACCGTAGCCGCGCAAAAGCGCAGCAGGACAAGCAAGCGTGACCATCATAACCTCGTCAGATCATTCCGTTCCATCATTTCCATCATTCCTCCAAATTAAACAGATACAACGAGCAATGCCAGATCGCAGATGCCAACCCGTAGCGTGAAGGTAGGTATCTACCAGGTAGATATAAGAGAGGAAAACAATTCAGAGACCAGGGGCTCGCGCCCTTCAGTATATATGATGATATATGATATGTCCCCCCATTCGCTATGCACACACGAACGCAACGCTTGAAAATGCAAATCAACCCCCCCCTACTATTTTATCAAAAGGCAAACGATATTGGAGTAGGGGCGGTAGAGGACCTAAACACTGGCGGTCCTCCTTCTGCCCACAACGGGCTTCTGCGCATAGGCAACCACAAGTTTAAAACTCGAGTTCCATTTCTCGCACTCAGATAGTAGATGCGCATCATTGAAGATAGAGGCGGAGATATCGCCTTCGGGTAAAACCGCCATCTCGTAGCAGCGTGTATACCACCACCTTCCTACTTTGGCAACCATCTTAGTGATACCGTCGTCACCAACTTGTGACTCGTCCCTCATCATATCAGCCAGGCTCATCTCTTCTTTCTTCTCTTTCCTCTGGCCTCGCGACGGGATCGTGGATGCTACAGGCACGCCCACGTTGCAGGTCTTGATGTCACAGAAGCCTCGTTTGCCGACGAGTTTCAAGACCGTGTCACTTGCGCTCCCGAGACTGATGCTTGGATCTGCAACTTGCGTCTTGACCTTCAAGCCACGAATGGCTCTTCGGGAGCGGTTGCCCATGTTCATCAAGTCAAGGTCAAGGATTGCCATCTCCAGATATCCTGCTGGTTTCAGCACACGCTTGGATTCTGCGATGATGTTCCGATACGAGGCTTCGGACATTGCGGCAGGAAAGCGAAGTACGACGACGTGAAAAGTCGACGATGGGAAAGGAAATTTATGTAGCGATGACGTATATTGGACTTGACGATGGTTCCGAGGTGTGAGTGGGAAGGAGTTGCTGTTAGAGTTCCGCTGGGAGGCAGAGAGAGGACGAGTTGGCGACAGGTTGTAGAACGTGGATGTCGGGTAGGTTTCAGCGGCATAGAACGACCAGTCATCTGAAGGTGTTAGTTTGAGAAGGTATAAACCGGAAAGGAGGCTTACCATTGCCAAGTCCATCAATGACCAAGATGGAACGAGGCTTAGATGATCCTTCAAGCTGCGTGATTTCCTCCCGAGCGGGACTGAAGAGGACGTGCCCGAACGTAAGCCATTTACTGACTGTCATGGAGCCTACCCGGAGATTCACTTGAGAAATTGGAGAAAGGGTGCCCGGTTCAGAGATTGAATGAGTATGACTGCTTGCGGAAGCGGATTTGGTGGAGCTTGCTTGTGAGCAACGGGATGACTTTTCGGCCAAATCACTATAAACTGAATTATTGCGGTCTCCGTATCCAGAGATAAAATCGCCAAATGACATTGGAGTTGTTGGCGTTGGAGCAGTATCCACTGCCTCTCTCAGCCTCGTGCTCATATCAGCACTGTACACACTGGATGTCGTAAATTCCGAGCGCCGAGATGGCTCTTCTACTCTCGCAGGTTCTTTGATGACAGGTGTAGAGTTAAGGGTTGGTGATTCTTTTGCCTTCATCCTACTCTTCCTCGCTCTACGACTCTCGTAGCTCTCATACTGGAAGGGAACTCCATGTGAGGACGTTGCCGAGACCGGAACCTTCATATCGTCATCCTCGATCAAATCATCATATTCATCCCATACTTCATCCTCTTCTAATGCTGACCCAGCTTCGGGGACGACTGCCGTAGTCCCCGCAAAGCTCATTCCACCTGAGCTATTGCTTGTGGCCTCCGAGTTCTTTCGTGGAGAGAAGGTAAGGAAGTCGTGATGGCTAGTGCCGCTCCCGCTCGCTTTTGAATCACCGGAGCCTTGTCGCGAGTTTTCACCTTGGACAACAGGATTAAGCAGGGGTGCTTCACAAGGGGGCACTGGGGTCGACGACTTTGGCGGGCTAGGTCCTACTGCGACCGAGTCCTTATCGACGGCGGCGGGTTGTAAAGGTGACTGAACAAGACTGAGTCTGGCAAAGGGCCTGGAGAACGACTTTGGTGACGTTGCCTGGGGCCTGGCAGAAATAACCTTCGGTATCCGGCCGACTTGGGGAAGCCGGCTTGGGCGCACTGGGGACGGTTCCTTGTTTAAGTGAAATTCCGGTTTTGACGGCTCCGGAATTACTTGGATGGTCTCGGGCGATGCACATATGACCGGTGCAGCAGGTGGTTCTGGCAGAGGGGTATCCATCATGGAATGGAGATTCTCGATGCGCCGTAGGTTCTCTTTATAGTTGCTAAATTGCAACGCTTCCAGTTCTTCGCTCGACAGTTCAACCCCGGCGGCATCGCGGAGAATATCTTCGAGGGCTACAATATCGGGTTCTTGCTGCTCATCCGACGAATCTAGCATTGCATAGTGCGGGATAGCCTTTGCTGTGGCGGGTTTGACTGATACTTGAACTGAAGTTTCAGCCTTTGGCTTTGTCGACGGTTGTGACCGATGGAAAAAGTTCCACTTCCTGGGAGATTTTGCGCGTTTCTCTAACTTCTTGGGTTTCGTGGCTGGCGCCTTGCGACCTCTGCCCACTTGAGCCTTCATATCCAGTTGCGAATCATCAGACATTATACTAGCATCAATGCTGCTCATGGCCGGCGAGGTGCCCCGAGTCGGGAGATTTAGCGGTCGAGGGAAATTCAATGTGCTTGTCGAGTTATTGAGCCGCAAAACAGATCGACGGAAGGCGAGTGATGAGGTATTGCTAATCACATCGTCACTGCTGTCTGAAGGACGCCGGCCTTTCGGTATAGCAAGTTTCGAAGTTCGTTTCGGCGGTTCTTTGGGGAGGGCGGATGGCCAGAGCGTGTTGCGAGATGCCTCGTGTCCCAAGCTGGACTTGGACGATGTCCTCGACTCAATACTCGGCCGGCCCAGTAGCACGCTGGTATTGCTTTCTGTGCGGCTGAGCTCCGAGCTCGTATTGCGGTTCTCAATAATCTCGCCGCCTCCAGCGATAATAACGGGGCTCATTCGTTGCTGAAGAAATGGGTCTTCGGCATGCGCACTCCCAACGCTATCTCGCGAGGAGCTGGCTCGACTCTGGCTTCTATCGCGGCTCACACCTAATGACCCAGCACTTGTGCTTCTTCCGCGAAGACCATATCTTCCGTACCCCTCATGCCCAGTGCCAGCAACAGGGCCCTTTCTGGACCCCTTTTCTTGGGGTTTTAGAGTAGGGACCTCAGGTGCGGTCTTCGTCCGTCTTCCAAATAAACCAAACCGGGACTTTGAGGTTGATATACTTGGGCTAGGAGTCCGCGTAGCAATGGACCGGGAAACGATAGATCCCTCTCGCGGTCGTAAATCAGGAACTATGCCAAGGTCGGATGGACCAGGTGTCAGTTCACGAGATGATGGCTGTACTGGGCTTGGGGACGGGTTTCGTGCAGGGAGTCCCGTGGCATGAGATGGTCGACGAATTGACTGAGGTTGTGTTGGTGAAGTTGTTGCATTCCGCTGGATGCCGCTTTGCCGGTGATTTTGCGGGAACGCGAAGCTGGCAAGATTGCTCTGTATAACCGTGATGGATTCGCCCAGCTGAGACTGAAGATCAGGAGTACCATCCCTACTAGGCCTCACCGGAGGTGTATTGCTTGCAGGAGACTTCCCCGGCGCATTTCTTAGTTTTAGCGGAGAAGATCTGGATGTGGGTGCCATTACTGGCTTGGCTGGGGCTTGAGACAGCTTTGAAGGACTGCCTTGTTCTTCTGAGGATGTTTGTTTGAGCTTCTGGGACGACTTCCGTGGAGGTGGAGTGGGAGGCAATGGCACCAGCCGTTGCTTCTTCGCTTTCTTTTCGTTCCCTTTGGCATCAACCTTTACAGTGGAATTTGAAGAGGAAGATATAGGCGACTCTCGCAGATATGGAAGTCCTTGTTGATCCAAGGCGATTTCTTCAACCTCGTTCGCAAAACTGCCCGTTCTCGTCCTCACAAATAGAGGACGATTTGTTGCAGGACTCCCTTGTCGCAGTCTTGGAGGGTTGAGTTTTGATGGCGCGATAATGCCTGGTGATTGTGAGGACATCGATGTTGGAGTAGTATCTCTACTGTAGGCTCCTCCTGGTCCGGGAGATTCCGAGAATCTCGTCGAAGGGCTGGCACTATACCCGCTACCGCTATAGCCACTATATCGATTGTAATTGCTGGTAGCTCCGGAGTAGACTGGAGTGCTAGATAATAGTGGGGTGGGTGGGGGAAGGTCATGTGTTGCCAACTTGTGTGGTATTTCTGCACTGGTCTTCGATCTCGCACGAGCATCCTGCTCCGGATTTGTACGGTATCTGTCCAACTCGGGGATAATCCGTGGCGCTTCCTTTGCAGCAGGAGTTCTCGTTCTTGACGGTCTTGTAAAAATTTCATTGTAGGCATCAGCTGATTTGGGGGCATGCTCAGTACTCGGGCGGCGTTCCACCAAGATTTGAAATGGCTTTGCTGGAGTTAGAGAAGCCGACCTATCTACTGTAGGCCGAGAAGCTGCAGACTGCTGTGCGATTAATGAAGGTTTTCTCCGCAGTACATTCCGAGACGACTTCTTTTTCAGTTCAGGGCCTGGGGCTCCAGTTGCAGGACTTTTAGTTTGCTTCCCGAATCCATAACTATACTTTGAAAGACCGCTGGACTTTGGTTCCGGAATTGACGTCGAAATCGGGAGCGGCTCGCGCAAGGCCGGTTTCGGTAACCCAGGTTTCTGCTGTGTCTTGCTCGCAGTTGATTGTCCTCGGCGCGGTACCATCCGGCCCGGCCTGTTCGCACAATCCATCTCTCCGCGTTCTAGTTTCTGTCGTGCTGATTGCATGGGTGTTCCTAATCTCCTATCCTTTGTCGACTCCTTTACCCTGGTATGGGGGTCGAAATCTGAGCCGTGTGATGCCATTGATGTTCCTTTCTATCTCGACATAACTTGGAGAATATTGGATAGTATTCCAACCTGTGCGGCATGCCAGATGCTATAAAGTATCACGACGAAGGATATCCGACATTGATAAATATGTACTGCGCGCTGCAAAGTCTTTATACCGACATGGGAAACATCTGATACAGTTAGTGAGCAGTGAAACCGTGCCGTGCGAGGTGGACTTACACGCAATTAATGGCAAAACAAAGTGGTTAAGCTTGCCCGCGAGGACTTGATCTCTAAACGGAAAGAAGCTTGAAGCAGATGTGTAGCTCCAGCTACTGCTATCATCCAAAGTATGCCGAACTTATTAGGCGTGGCGGAAACCAATATACCTGGGACTCGCACGTGCAGGATGCTAGGTGATAACGCAAATAGGCTGGAATATATAATGCACCTCCAGGGTATGTCAAGTACGTATATGTGCGAGGAGAAAATGGGCCGCCGCGAAATAGAGGGAGGAATTAATATTCTGATAATGACAATAGATTGAGGGGAGAACTGAGAAAAGGGTGGAAGTGCGGGAGCCGACGGTGAAGTATTAAGGTTGGCACCGCCGGGCCAGGATGTTGGCGCTGGCGTTGGTGTGGGAGTCGGTGGGGGGAGGGGGCGATCAGTGGCGTGTGGGTACCAGAGGGCGGAGACGAGTATTTAGATCGCACTGGGCGAAGGGTCGAGCCGCTAAATATTCGATATTGATATTGGTATTGATATGGTAGCAGTAATGGGGGAGGATGGCCCTGGACGCCTGATAGATCCGACTACGCACTGGCTGCCGAATACTGCGATTGCGAAAGAGGCGCTGATGTTGGTGCTCAAGGTGCCAGCCGGTGTGCGGTGTGGGATAAAGTAGAGGAGGCGCCCAGGCAAGGGCTGGTCCATGGGATATATATGAAGAACTCGACGAGTGGTTGCGGTGAGCAGCCGTCGATATGTGGTACGTAGTTTACTGCTTCCAGGTCATGAATTGTGGCGTCGGGGCTCGTTCATTCGCAAATAAGTGCCAGCATCAAACGTGCAGTGGACCAAAGCCAGTGTTGCTAGAGCCAATGCCACTGCCATAGGAGGGAGTCACAGGCATCATTGCGCATATGCCACAGGATATCCAGTGCTGCCAGGGCGAGCATCGTCTTGTTAACGGCCGCATGGTAGGGACCGTGGCGAGGGCAGGCCCAGAAACCAGAGACCGCCGGCGAAGAGCGAGGAGTACAGGGCAAAAGCAATACTCCCGTGCAATACTTCGTGCTCCGTCAAAAAGATACGCTCAGCGCTGCTGCGCCGTGCTGCAGGTCGAAGACGCCACCGCAGGTCGCAGTGTATTCGGGACCTATAAGATCCAGGCAGAGATCCAGGCAGTTCGTGCAGACCGGTTGACGGGGTTGATACGTAGCAAGGCAGAATCTTTGTGCGCCGTCGTCCCAAGCTTCTTCGTCGTTAGACGCCGGTGCATCATTCGTCGGCTAAGGCCGTCAGGGGGCACAGATCGGAGGCGTAGGATGCCAGGAGGCTCCAGAAGCCAGAGTTTCGTGGTCGTGGGAAAAGCTCAAGTCGGTGATGCGTGATGATGGCGCTTGTCGCGAGTGGACGAGGACAGGAGAGGAGATCTATTTTTATGCCGATCCTTCTTTGCTCCTCGAATAATACAGTAGGCACTCACGTCCCTCCTCTTCCACCAGATCATGTGCTTGTCATTGGACCTGCGTCCGGCCTGTCACCGCTCATGCCCCAATATCTGATGACCAGCTTTTCAGCGTTTCCTCGGCTGCCTCCACCCCCGAGCTGCGGACTCTGGGCACTCCTCCCCATGTACCGGTACTCAGTTCGTTGCCTGTCTTGACGGCCATCATACCCTTAAGTCAACGCCCGGGCGACGGACAGGCAACGGGCAACGGGCGCCCTGTAATGTGGCTATTCCGGGAATCTTCAACGTCGTTGCACAGCTAGACTCCCTAGACTCTCTATGGCAGCGGCAGCGGCAGCAGCCGTAAACTGGCCAAACATTCTGTCTTACCTTACCACGGGCCGCCCTGTGATTTTGCAAGACTTGCAAGACATCGAGAGTAACCGTGAACCCCGGCCGGCAAACCTTGGTCGTGCTATTGGTGGGTGCCGAAATATCCCCATCCAATGGATTTATTAATTCTTGTTTCCGGCGCCTGGTAGGCCCGCCAAGTCAAGTAAAGCCCCCAGGGACCGTGGTACGAGTACTTCGTATGTTTTCACATACCCCGCCGTCCGTTATAACTCCCTCCAACAGGTCATGGAGAATGTTGGCTATTCAGGACGCACCTGAGCATGGCAACTGTTAGAAATGCGCTAAAACTGGCGATCGTTGCGAAGACTTTGGTGGGGGTCTCAATATATTGGCTACTCGTATAGTAGGGCCTAGACAACCGGGGAAACAAACACCGGGCGTATAGGCAGCGTGATTGGAATTCATTGGCCCGAGAGTTGGCAATTCCTACCAACAGATTTGATGTCCATGTCTCTGTCGCTTTCCGATACTTCGTACAGCCAGCCCCCCGACTCTTTTCCTTAGATTATTGCGTTGCGGCGGCCCCAACGGCGGCCCTGAAAGGCTGACTGACTCACAAACAACCACGGTCAGCCGCATTGCCTAATTCCCATTATTTCCATGGCAGGTCACGTTGCAAATCCCCGTGAAGCTGAAGCGCGCATTAGCGATCGCCTGTGCGTTGGCAGCGGCAACCGACTACTTGGTACTGTACTCGTACTACGTAGCTGTGGCGAAGTCTGTGCATACGGCGTCCTGCGATGCACCCGCCACACTTGGAAAGAAGATTCTTGCTTGAAATTCATGCGTTGACGTGGCAGGCAAGAAAGAGTTTGATGCCTTAGATTTTGCGGTGAAGGCGATTTCATTTTGATGCCCGATCTTGGTCCGATAGGGTCCTTTTCGATCCACCACACCAAGAGGCATAAGAGGCATAGAGGGGAATAGTAGTCCGGGTATTAATATGGCGGGTTACGTTGAGCAGGGTTCTATGGCTGCTAATTGGTCACTCAATGGTAGCTTGAGGGTGGTGGCTGTCGTGCCTTTGGATCCGTTATCAATAACGTGACGCCGAAGTGGTGTGCTCAACCTGGCTCCTTCAAGCCTCCTCAAACTCATTCATGGACTCTGAATGGACCCGGATTTCGAGGGATTTCTGCGCAAAATGCTTCCCGTCTTGAACTCTTGGAACCCTCATGTTGGACAGGGGCTGATACCACCTTCCAGTCCTTCCCCTCGTCAGCACTCAGTCTGTCGACCCTATCAAGTTAGCTAAACCCATCTTTCCGCCTTCATTCGCCATGTGGTCTTATCAAGGTCGCACCTTGGAGTTCAGTGAAGCTCCCGTAGCCCAAGGGTGTCCAGCGGTCGAAGCGACGATGGCGGTTGTTGCGGCCCGCACGTGTGGCAGCCAAGCGGCCTATAAGAATATCAAAGTGCAACTTGTGTAATTCATTCGTGCCGCACAGGCTACCATCAAATATCAACGGTTCACCCTACCCGTTCCGTAGAGACGAGCTAGCCGGATCAGTTGGAAGACCCTGAAAGAGACGAGACGCCGAATTCGCCCATGCCCTGCCTTTGAAGGATGAGGTTGAGGAACGCCGAAAGATTCCCCCGTACCACAAGCCACTGCAAGCCATATACCCACCGACGTGTCTCACCGTGTATCAAATGGGAAAACGAAAATGGGAAAGGTATTGCACTGGTATAGAATGACACCTTCAACCTCCGAAGATGGCCATAACCTCCCAGGATCACTGCCAGTGCTTTTCATATTTCTAGTATACAACCGAGCCGTGCTAGCTCCCCGAAAGAGACAATTAGAAAAGCCATATCGTGCCAATTCGTAATTCATTCGTCATCCTCTAAGCAGCCGTCTGGAACCTCTTGGCTCGTGCTTCAGCCTTTGCCTTCTCCGTTGGATCATCAACCACTCGTCCTGAAGGCTTCGAGGCAGGTGCCGCAACCTTGGGTGCTGGTGCTGTTCTCCGGTCCGGTGTCTGTCTCTTAGCGCTCCTGCCGCCCTGCTTGTCTTCCCTCCCCCTCTTTGGTCTCCGCTCCGGCAGAGCAGAATCCAAGCCCTTCACCACTGCCTCGTTTTCTTCCAGGCCAAACTTCTTTGCGCGTTCCGCCAACTTCTTCGCCTCCTCGTCCTCGGGGACGCCAAATCTTTTAGCACGCGCTGCGCGCTTCTCTGCCTCCTTCTCAGCATCAGTTTGTTGGATACCAGCGGTGAAATCTGGTTTTGGTTCCTCTTTCTCTGGGACTGGGGCAGCTTCTGTTGTAGAAGCATTTGCTGACGCGGCCGGAGCTTCCGCACTCTTCGATTCGCCCTCAACAACCTTCAAATCATTCGTCGCAGATGGGTCTATAGCCGCTTTCTGATTGGGGACCGCTGTAGGATTTGGAACTTGTCCCTTGCCTCCAGCCGCAACTGCTGCGGCAGCTGCTTCGGTTGTCGCCTGTGGGGCCTTAGTAGTATCATCTTCGTCCCAGTCAATCTCGTCCTCGCCCGCTGCAAGTAGTTTCAACGTTAGCATAGAGACAGATCAAGCTGCTAAAGGTGACGAAATGCATTGAGGTAAGGATACTTACTGGCTCCGCCCCCGGACTTCTTGTCATTTTCCTGCAGGCGCCCAACGAGGTCGGCTTTGTTTCCGGATATCACCAACCCGCGCTCCTGGAGAATCTTCTTTAAATCGGGCACTTTGAGCTGCGAATAATCCGTCATGGTGATCGCAATGCTGTATTCGGTTTCTGAAGCCTGGAGAGGTGAAAGATTGAAGCTGATTGAAGGAGGGATGGAGAGTTGTTGATGTTGGATTCTTCACTTTCGGAATGCGCGTTGCGAAGCTGCGGTTGACGTGAGGTGGACCTACGGATGTGGTCTAGCGAAGACTAGGGTTGGTTTATCCGCCTACCGAATCCCCCTTACCCTTCCAGAAACCTATTCATATTTCCTACAATACTAAGAAATTTCCATTCCATTGCGCGACAAAATATAATAGACACCTATGTTTCACAGCAGATATATACAAAGTACATATACCTTATTAATATGATGCATCTGGTGAGCGAAGTGCCTAGTTGTGCTTCCGACACCTTGTGCATTCTGGTCCAATATTATTGAACTGTTTCCGAGGCCTGATATTGAATACCTTAAGGTCTCCATCGAAACTCATTATTGAATAAGGTAACCCACCTCCTCTAACTCCAAGAGTTCGTGATCTTGTCTATTAATATCCCCGGTGTGTCTCGAGGCGGTTGATCATCAAGGTATTGCCATCGAGGTGCCGTTCAGAGAGGAGCCCCAATACTTGGTAGATACTCATTCATCTCATGATTCTAGATACTGTACTAAGCTCCGACAATGAAAGAAAGCCAAGGAGGTTGGCTAAGGATAATATCTCTCATGTCCCTACCAAATGCTAATCCACAAGACTCTTTTCATTATTAGGTCTTAGATTGTTTTAAATTGTTAATTCCATTGAATATAATAGTGTCAACTTTAACTAAATAGAGCGGTTACCAGTTGGTTGCCTTCTTTCCCTCCTATCTAAATCTCGAAATACTCATCGTTGCTCAGGCCCTGGCTAGCTAATCTAGTATTTCTATACCTATGACAGTGCTGCTTGTGTCTCTTGCATCGGCAAGATAACTCGAGGTAGAAACTGTTTTGCAATCTTCCTTCTCTTTTCATTCCCCTTTCCCAGCCACTATGTTGAATTGTCGTTCAATCTAGCTAACTGCCATACCAACCTGATCAAACTCCTCGTTCCTCTGCATACCTCCACACAAGATTCTACAAAGACCTTGCCACTTAGTTGTTTCACATTGTCGCCGATACAGTAACGACTGGAGCACTACCCCCAGCACATGGACCATGATATGAACATAATTATAACCACACATCGTGCTGTACTACCCACCAATTCCCCAGCCCATCGGGCACATACCCCAAAGAAAAATATATCAAGTTAACTAAACAAGTAGCGTGCCATCCCTCCCAACATCTGCACCCGAGAAAATGTGCGCATCAGCGGAACATCCCATTGGGTCGCAGGTTTTGTCGCACCTGCATCCATCACTTGCATTAGGGGCTGCATGCAACTCACCTACCCATGCCATTACTTTGATTCCCGAGAGATAAATAGCTTTATTCTCCAATTAAAAATGCGACGGGGATGAGATGGGACGAAAGGATGGACGGCCGAGTTTGGCGGTGGTATGGCGGTTCGTGTTTCATGCTGCTAGGATCGAGATGCAAGAGCTAACCTTGGTAGGTAAGTTATTAGCAATGCTAACGACTGGGTAATAGTGCGAAGGAAATAGATCAGCACAATCACAATTTAGGTCCTAGGGAATGTTGGTATTTTGGTATCAGCTGCTCGGAGGGTGTAGTTGGGGGTGGTGTTTAAACTAGCAGACGCAGTAATTCTAGCGCCAGCAGCATATGTTCAAATAATTGTAGTTTAAAAATTGTTGTTTTAGAGTGATGTTATAGCTAGTTACATATATATTGTTTTAAATCAGAGCAGTCCATAGACAAACTCTTTGATGCTCCAGATATCGAGCCATGGCCAATAAGAGCCTACTTTGTCTAAGTAGGTAACTGTTTGTTTTTGGCAACCATCAACTCGACCAGTCTCAACTTCCCTGCTCGAATATCGCAAGAGAGAGTGGAGCTAAGCAGGAAGAGTGGGCCCAATATACATAGCTTTCTCCGTCCCATCACACCTTGCACCCTGTCTTCTAGTACCTGCCAACCTTGGCAGCATAGTAGTCTCCGGCTGAGGTAGATAATGCATTTTCCATCAGATGGATATTGCAAAGCGAAGAAACATCCGCGGACAGCATATGGCCACAAACCAAATATAATCCAGGTTGTGGCCGAGGAATAACAATGTCAGGCCCATACTACATCTCCGTACCTGAGCAACCACTCCGCCCCTTAAACGACAAATATCCAACTGACACAAGCGGCCCGAAGTGAACTGACAGATAGTTATGGTTGCTGTGTGGCGTTGAGAGGAAAGCATCGGAGTCGGGAGCAAGTAGTTGCATTGGTAGATGCCTCTGGAACCCGATGAAGACAACAAGGCAGAGAGATATTCCTAAGGCTTGCTTCTTGGTGGATGGTGTAGCTTCTGGTGGTTTGTGGCGGGATGGCAACCTCCCTGTAAACCACTCGGTACCTCATTAGGAGCATCGGAATTTGATCCAGAGTCCGTCGGCTTGCTGTATAGTTCGTTGGGAAAACGAGCTGTCCAGGCGATGATATAATTGCCAGTGGCTTTTTGACATGGCCGATTGTACTTAGAGTTGGAAGGCACAGCCTAGGTTATGGGGTATATAACCAAGGTAAGTTCAATTTGGAACGAAACTGCAAATGGTGCAATCGATACCATTCCCATGTACTAAAACCAAGCACCATATAAATACGATGTCGGTTTTAGATATCATTCATTCTCACTTCGAGAAGCATGATAGCGCGTCTGCCATGAACGGTTGCAGTTGATAGTTTTCATCCTTTTACCGGTTGAGAACAGGTATATGTTGTAGAGGCAGTTAGATGTTGGGAGTGTTCGAAGAAAGAGAGAGTATTCTTTCTCATCAACTAGGCTCGTCAAGCCACCCCCATTCTTTAAGCAGTTGCTGTACACGATAATCAGTAGCCCAACCGAGATCAGCTTCAATTCCGCGCAAGAGATCCAAGATCATATGTCGCTCGCGTACCTCAGTAAGACATTGCCCAGCAACAAATAATGGCTGAACTTGGTGTATTCTGACACTGTCTTCTGGGCCAGCAAGTGCCATGCCGCATATTTTGTAACTGTGATCACGAACCTCCGCCTCGATTGAACGATAAGAATGAAGACGGTTTGATATAGTCGAGCGGCGTGCAGTTGACTCTTGAGGTTTGTTGAGTAAAAGGATAACCCGGGCCATATGGTATGATTGCATAGTTGACCCACACATAGGTATGCTGTACCAAATTTCGGGAAATATTGATCTCGGATCATCAAGTGAACGCGTCCCATCCATAATGGGCAGCTGGTGAGTACAAGGCCGAAAGGTGTCTGGCAGACCTTGATGCCATATCTCAAGTTCCTTTTCCAGCTCTCTCCATCTGTCAAGAAGCACCATTTGATTCAGCCCAGTTAAGCCACGCGGGCTGGCTCGGTCCTGAGGAAATACACTGTCCACAGAGTCTCCAGACGCTAAAAAATTGACAATTTTTGACATTATCCAAATCAGTGCATTTGAAATCATGTCCTCGCGCATAACTAGATTCCTTTCTGGAAACTGCGAGTCTTCTGTATTGCTGGCGATAACTAAGCCTTGGTCATCGATATGGAGCCCTGCAGCTCGCCACAGACCGAGGTCTTCTGTGTCCAATCTTGTATGACCCTCATTAATAACTATAGTCGAAGTGAGCATGATGTATACAATAGAATTATCTTCTCAAATTGGTATCAGACTTACATGCTGCTAGAAGATCCTGGCGAGCGAAATTCCAAAACGTAGCCTTCCGGGCTCTTGATGGCTTGATACGTGGAGTTAGTGACCCAGGGCTGGTAGGGGACCAAGCTGGCATCATGCCTTCCTCCTCCGCGAGATCAAATAACGTCTTCGTTCCATTAAGATGGCGGGACCAAGCAGTATTTGCATTGTCCAAAAACTCGTATACACAAAGAATGGCAGTTGCTGCAAGAGTATCATCGGCATTACTAGACGGAGTTGGTCTAGATACGCGACGTCTCTTGTTCGCAGGGCTGCTTAGAATGCTCTGTGGAGATAGTGCACTTCCCTGATGGAATGTTTCTTCTATGCTCGTTATTGGTGTCATTGGCACATCAAGACTCCCAGGGTTAGACAGTTCCTTCATCAAGAGGGATATCGCTAGGTCATAGTACTTCGCGCCGATATAAGACCAGTCAACGGTTTCTGGGTGAGGGTACGGCTCCATATTTGATGGCCGGACAACGATTCTGTTGTTAGTTACTTGCCTTCCCTGTACACGACCAAGTTGTTTCGCAGCATATGCGCATGCAGAGTGCCGAAGGAGCGGGATCGATATGGCGAGGACCGGAATATGATGTGCAAAATAACATCCTAGATCAAAAAGATCCATCCTATTATGACTTAGAGACACTACTTGCAAGGATTTGTGATTCTTACCATTGTCCAGTCGTCTCGCCGAAATGGCGGAGTAGAAATGCTACCTCGGGATCTTCAACGGGAAACGGGCCGTTTCCTTTGTTGGAGTTGGAGATTGGGACGACAAGAGCAGGATCAAGCGGAGGTGATGCTAAGCCTGGACAAAGTCAACGCTCCTCTTTAGACAATAGACAATACCCCACCCCAACACGTACTAGCAGATCCTTCAGGTCCAGCAGGGTTCAAAATGAAATTCAAATTATTCGAAGAATGCGGCGACGCAGTGGCATCTAGTGACGCCTGCTCAGGAATTGGCAATGGCCGGGCATAATGTATGTTGCTCGTGGCAATGGTAGAGAGCGCTTCAAGCCCATGTGCCTGGTCGTAGTGTGCATAGTTAATGCTAGCACGCTCCTCGATCTGCGGTGCGACAATGGGGGTTGAAGCTGAAGCTGTAGCTGGTGGGCATTCGAGTTCGGGGGTCGGTTCCATGTTGAAAGGGTCCGTAACGTTGCAAAAGGTTACTGAGTTTGGATCATTAGTCTCTTGTTCTTCGGGTGAGCGGAATGCCTTCGGGCTCGAGGTAGAGTTCGACCTCGAGTTCACATACGTACCTGTCTTTGGAACGTCTACCCAGACATTATTCCGATTGAAGGTATTGCGATAAGCATAGAACCCCCCTAGCCTACCATTCCCATTCCCATTCCAATTCCCGCTGTGGTTCCCGTTCGCAGAATCGTCTTCCTGGCCGCCATTCATAGACGCATTCTGTTGGTGCCGGAACACAACGCCATCACTGGGTTGGCATTCGCGCGAGCCTTTGCGACATTGGCCGCAGACAGGCTTTGCTTCATCGCATTTGAGTTTCCGTTGGCGGCAAGTTTGGCTGTAGCATAAGCAAAAAGTTAGTGTTGGCAACGAGGGCTCGGCAGCTGGTTTGCTTTGGAGGAGAGGGACAAGAAGCCGCAGCAAGGGTATAGGTATGTGAGCATTGGGAATTTTGAGACGCACCATCCCGTCCTCGACCTCATTGCCTCTGCATCATGGTATCGTCACGAATTCTGTACGGGTTTTGGCAATAGCATGATTCGGAAACTGCGGCGACAAGTTCCTTGAGGATAGAGGATAGAGAGCTAGCGGCGATATCTCACTATTTTTCTACAAGCCCAACGGCAATAGAGTCGGGGATGCCCCAACCGCCGAGGAACGGTTCCCCGCGACTCGTATCCCGCGGCCAGGCGCTGCGAGACTACGACTCTCAATCTCCGAAATGAAAATCCTACAAAGTACTCTTTAGGTATTATTATACCTAGATAGTACTATATCTACACTGGGATACCTCGAGGGTACGGACGTATGTACGTACCCCATGGTCCTCAGCACATAGACCGAGCGAATTCTTTCGCCGCCATGGCAGCACAATTTGATTTAGCTCCAATCTACAGCCCAATGGGCGGGAAACAGGTGCGGATTTCAAGTGAACCATCCATACGAAGTACACGAATATTTATTATTAGCCATGCCGGGGATTGCGTCGTATACTCGTTTTCAATATATGAAAGCCCTCGAAAGTCCTTAAGCCTCCTCCACTCTCGTCGGCAACCGAAAAAGACAGGCCAGATAAAAGTTTTGTGCTACTAAGTTTCAACCCTACTTCTTCTCACCGCTCCGTACCTGTTACTGCTGGCTCTATCAGTATACGCTTATATGACTACCTATGCCTGGGCCTTGATAGAAGATACACGAGGTGCAGTCCCGTCAACATATCCCAATTTCAATCCGCTTGGCGTGAGTTACATGAGCCTCGCCCAATTAAGACGGGTTAATTCGTCACATCATATTACAAGATATTGTGCTACAACAAAATCATTACAATCTCAAAAGAAAAAGTGCCAATCTTTGTCGGTAAATACGTGTGCAGCTCTATGGGCATTGATATAGAGACAAGATGGTAGCATAGAGTGAATTGGGCTGGTAAGAGCAAATGGGCCTGGTTACGAGTCATTAAAGGTGTCTTTCTCCTCTTTAGGCTCGAATTTCCTTGGCCTGGAACACGCTTTGGACGCCCTCAAAGTCAATTGATAGGTCCCGATTGCCCTCGACTTAACATTTCCCGTGTCTCCCTCACTTTCTTGAAAAGGCAATTGGCCTCTCGTCGAACACAGGCTCTCTCTTTAACCCCAGCCAGTTCCAGGTAAATAATTTGCCCTGTAATTCGCGTGTAAGGCATTCGTTTTGTTATGCTATGACCAAAAGGGGAGGGGGAAACTCAAATACAGGGGTAAATGGACGATGTCATCATTCAAAAACTATTGATTAGTAAGTTGCTGGTAAGTGACTTGACGAATATTCTGGTTGCTTTGCCATAGGTAAGCAAGTTACTTGAAATTTAGCGGATTTTGTCTTAAAATAGGATATAATACTAATACACGACTTTGCAATACCCATCTTGTTGATATACTTACTATTGCTCGCAAGTATTTGCCTTTTGTTAGATTGATATAGTATCATATATAGATTGTTAAGGCGGGAGAACATGGCACTTGACACTAATAGCACTACATGGTACGGACCTACAGCACTCGGTCGGTGAGTTACAGCGTAAGCGTTACTAATAAGTAGCGTGGAATGGAAACAATCTAATGAACCCAATTACTACGTATTATCAGCAAAGTGACAGACTTTCAGACGACCCCCACCCATGGCCCCGAATATTCTTGGACAACACCGCGTGGCCAATGGCGCCGCGTATTTGCGCACCAATCCTCATACCCCGGTTCTACGAGTCTCGAGACGGAGATCCCTTCGACAATATCTAGTTCAGACATTCCAGTGAAGGAAGGAGCCTAGCAATACATTCGATCTCGAACTCGTCCTCCCGGATATCGACCATTTCTGCGGTAATCGACGCCCTTGAATTCCCAGGACTAGGCTTTTCGGCAGCCTTGCAGTATCAAAAACACGAACGCGCCACCACTGCACCTGTCAACCTGTCAACCCGTCAACCTGTCAACTTGAGAAAAGAGTGCGAGGAAGGGCATCTTGACATGCTGTGGCTTTCCGTCCACCTGCCGGGCGCATTTCTGGATTGGAGGTGTCTACGAGATCAAGGCACCGATCGCGTTTATTGAAAGCAGTGAGCCCCGAGGCATTGGCGACTACGTGATGAGTGAGGTTCAACTCGAATCGAACGTTGAACACTGCGACCGCGGCCGCGTCTACGTCGGGAACCTCCTGGCTCTTTTGCACTCGCGGATTTCAATCTCCTACCGTCCCGAAATTGAGCATGTTCTCATATCTGCGACCCCACCACAAGCGTACCCCATCGATCCCTTCGTCGCCAGTAGAACAATCACACTCCTTTGACCCACCCTCACGTCCTGTCGATAATGGCCACGGGCATCCTCAAGCGTGGCAGGATCCTAGCTCTCCAGAATGGGCAGACCCGTCGATCTCACGGTTGACCTTAGGAGGTACGGACGCCTCCTCAGGAGCGGACAACCTCTCGAGGCCTAGAGTGTATGAAAGGGAGCCAAGAACACAAGCCCGGGATGCTTCAAAAGGAACGGAGAAATCGCGAGATATATTTTCGTACGGCAATTACCAGAGAATACCGCCTGGGTCGTCGCATCGACCAGATTCAGCTGGAAATGCGACTCTGCCGAGTTATAGTAACCCACAGCAGCCGACCCAAACTGGCATGGCCACCGATATGGCCTCGAGACAGAAGTCCTCTGAACCAAGGCATGCCTTTGTGACCGCCACAGATATACAGAATAGCGCAGTGCCAACAGGCAGACGGCCAACAGGTGGAAGGCTACCACCTCCAGGAGCAGCCCCCGCTCATACGGTGTCGACTTTTGAGCCAGCCCAACCCAAATCAGGGAAAGGAAGATTGAACCTGCTGAACCCAATATCGCTTCTTGCTCGTCGAAGAACGTCACAGGCAGTTCCATACCTTGCTCCAGAAACGCTTACGACCAGTAGGGCTAGGGATCATGTCTCTGAGAACTTGGACTTTAGGATACGAGGAACAGTTGTTCATGATTTCAGTGCTCCTCGACCTCGAAACAACCTGTCGTATACCGATGTGCGGGCGGCAGAGGCCACGAACACCTCTTTTACGCCATATCAAAGAAGTCCTAACCCACAGGGTGACGGACGCCATACACCTGTATTCACGGAGAACTTTGAAGAGGAACAGTATCCGGCAGCAGGGCCACATGTCAGGAAAGCAAATGATTTGACTGATCTCCCACTACCGAAACCTCCCTACGCTAAAGGCGCCCAACGATTAGTTGAGCCCAACCCCCCTGGAAATAAGAGCAGCGAGCCGCTGCGGATGCAAATGCCAGCGCGGGGGGATACGAACGCGGAGGATCCCCTATCGGATGTTGGCCCCCCTGTACCGCCCAAAGCTCCACGGTCGATACTAAGTGAGGGAAAACGGATATCCATAGATTCTAATACAACACCACCAAGGCCAAATTTGTCGTCACGGAATGGTAGACCGCACAATGTCTCGGAGGTGCCGGCCAAGGATGCAGCCATTCCAAAGCATATGAAGAGTACATCGTCGAGGTTCAGTTTCGACATGATCGGTGCCGCTGAGCAGGAAAGGCTTCTGGAAGATAGGCATCGTCAGAGGGCATTGGAGAAAAAATCCGAAATCCCCAATGAGGATGACCAGGATGATGGTTTTGATGACGACTTCGATTATGATAATATGGACGACGATGATGGTTTAGAGGAAAGGATTCCCGGCGTCAATACTGATTTTGACGAGGAAGAAGATGTAGACATTCCGGTACCCAGCGGGGGAAATCTTGCAGATTTCACGTTCCAGCAATCCTGGCTTGGCACCCCATTGAGTCCTTCTAGTCCGGGCATGGCACAGACCCCACGAGATGCCAATGGCGAAGTCATCGGTTTTGCGGTGACAAAAAACTCACCACATTTTCCAGAGGGCCTGCTTCAGACCACTGCATTATCGCTAGTGTCTCCTTCATCACCTCCTATCGCCTCGCCAGGCGTTGATTCTCTACAAGGTCTGGGGCTACAAGGCATTGATGTCCCAGAGCCTATAAAATCTCCGAAGGCGCATATCGAAACACACCGTTCCCAGCCATCCAGAATCGATGATGATGATTTGTACTTTGATGATGGCATCATTACTGGCCCTGGGGATGACGAAGAAATTGCGGAATTTGACGAATCGATTTTCGATAACATCGATACTGACGAGTATGGGAGACCTCTAAAACCACTATCATCCATCCCCACCCTCTACTTACCCCCAACACTTACATCGGACCCATCTCCATCTCTTGATAACAAGCCAAAGGAGAGCCGTGGTGATGCAAAAGGAACGACGGAGCCAGTACCGCTGGATAGTTTACCCCTTGATGGCGGCCTAGCGCCAAAACCCTCAGCGGCAAACCGTAGCACAACGCAGGCTGCTGTATATGCACCGCCCACTCTTGACCTGACCCAAGACTCTCTAGCTGCATATCAGTCTGCCCTCGCGGCTGCAGCATTTGCAGCTGCTGCCAACGGCAAATTTCGGCGTGGGGGCTCTCCACCATTCCCCGTACACCCAGAGCAAGACGATGCCCAACCTGGTATGATAAGTGATTCTAGCCACACCTCACATTACGAACCTTTCTCCCCCAACTATGACATAGAGGACGACTTCGACTACGACGATGCCCTTGAGGACGATCCCATCATCGCCGCAGCTAATGCCGAAGCCCTTGCTAACGATTGTGATGGGTTCTATGGTCAAGAATTCGGGTTTTACTCGGCTCCTGCTGTAGGTGAAGCCGAGTACGCGAATGGTGGCTATTTCGGACCCCGCGGGTCAGAAGGGATCAATCGTTCACAGAGCGGAAGAGTCGTTTCTCGAGAGCCAAATTTGACGCCTATCACCGAGCGAAGCGAGTACTCGAACCGTAACTCATTCATGTCACCTTCAATGTACGGTTCTGGATCAATTGCAAGCCCGGGCCTAGCTCAACTAGCTGGTATGATCAGTTCACCGGAGTATGAAGGAGGCGATATGAGTTTAAATGCCTTGTTGAAATTGAGGAGGGGGGCATGGGGTGGCAGTCAGGCTAGCCTTCACAGCAGTAATGGGAGCCCAAAAAGTGCCGCGGGACAGGGGGATGGCAGCCCAGTTGGCGGTCTACCACCTTGGGCGCAAACCGGTACCGTTGTGAACCCTATCACATCAACCGCATCAGCATCTCACAGACGCAAGAATAGCGGGATCAGTTTCATAAGCGAAGCTCCTAGCGAAAAGGATGTGCAGAGCGACGAAAATTCAGGACCTACGAGCCCGAATTTGGCTTTGAGTGCGACAGCCTTGAACCTTTCCAAGCCTAGCATAGATATGGAAAAGGAAGAAAAGGAAGAAAAGGAAGAAAAGGAAGAAAAGGACAACGGTCAACAGCTTCGAAGACACAAGCACTCCGCTAGTGCAGAGAGCATCAGCTACCTGAAAGAGGAGGACCCTGTTGGCGGCCCGAGGTGGATTTTAGAGAGGCGACGGACTGGTGAAAGTGGCGAGGTTCTAGAACTGGAAAGGGAAGTTATTCAGGGAGGTAGGATATAGGGATCGTAGGGTAAGAGGGGACTATATTGATATCATGATTTGGAGCGCTTTTGGAGTGGATATCTGACAACTACTTACCTGGCAGGTAGATATATTGGGAGGCTCATGAGATTTATGACATGTGCGTTTATCTAAGGATTAAATGCAAAGCGAGTCGCTGTGTATCGTTTATAGGCGTTGATGTGCGGATACTATAAAACATCCAAATAATACGCGCAAGGTACAGAAGTACCTAGGTACTCGTACTAAGTGTTCAACTAGACCCCCTTTAAATGTGCCAATGTTTTTCGTAGAGGGAGTTGCATGGTCTGTTGAATGATTTCGCTCTATTTTCCCGAGTTTCATTATAATTATATGATGATCTACGGCTATGTCTTATGCTCGGCAGGAGAGGAGTTATAATTCCTTTTGGGAATAAAGAACAAATATAAAGGGGGATTAGAGAGCTAGAATTGATATGGCAACTGTGCATAGGTGGTTTCTTCTCTTCTTCAGCGTCCCTTTTATACAGTAGAATATCAGAACAAAAATTCTCTAATCTGCACGCAATTTTCCATAGAACAATAGGAAACATCTTTAGAGGCACTAAACGAGGCTAGAGGAGTTGTATGAGGCGTTCCTAGAGTAAATGAGGAAAATATTACGTAATAGTGCAGGGCTATTGGAACCCCAGTATCCGATCTTCAGGGGTCCACCATGTACTAGTCCCGATATAGCGAATTCTTGTACCTCAAAACCTTCAGATGTTCTTCGCGCTGTAATAACTCCCCAACCCAGAACTGTGTAGAGAGTCCTCACTTGCCTTATCTCTTGTCGCGCAGTTCCACTTCAAACTTCTAAAATGGCAGCGTCTGCATATCACATGGAGCAGATTGGCGAGAGAGGTGTGCATTTCTCCTTCCCCTCTATTCCTTCCAAGTCTGAACCGAAAAGAAGCACCCGCTGATATTTGAATAGCCTTCAATCACTCTTCGAACCAGAGCGCCGAAGCCGAGTATGACCGCCTGCGCGGTTTGGCGCATCAAGAAGCGGCCAAACGAGGGTCTTGCTTCGACCGTGTATGTAGTTCTTAGAACCTAAGCAGAGACTCCCAAGCTCACCATCACCAGTCCAAAAAAGCATATGCGTCGAATGATGGTGCTTTGGCGCATCAATTGTCCGAGGAAGGGAAGGGGCACGGCGCAAAGATGGAGGAGTATAACAAGCAAGCTTCCGATTTCATCTTCCGAGAGAACAATGCGCCTGGTCGCGTTGCGGACGATACGATAGATTTGCATGGGCAGTATGTCGAGGAGGCAGAGAGAATATTGGAACAGAGGATTCGATATGCGCGGCAGACTGGGCAGACACATCTGCATGTGTAAGTGCTCTTTTAGGTTGTTTCCTGCTGCCCCTCATATTCCTTGCGGTGATATTATTTTGAAGACTATTGGACTGATCTTTTGCTTCCCTATGATAGGATTACGGGCAAGGGAAATCACTCTACCAACCGTGTCCAGAAGATCAAACCCGCGGTTGAACGATTGTGCCAGGAGCTGGGCCTGCAATATGCCACAGAGGAAAATGCCGGTCGCATGTACATCAACCTGCAAGGTGGATCTGCGACAATGCCGCCTCAGAATGCATGGCCGTCCCCAGGACAACATCATGGTGGCCAACAACAAGGAGGATATCCTGGAGCACCCCAGCAACACCACCAGGGTGGACAACAACAAGGTGGACAGCAGCAAAACAATAACGACGAATTAGAAAAGTTGGCGAAGAAGCTACTACCGAAGGTATTGAAGAAGCTAGATGGATGCTGCCTTGTGATGTAAGCGCTATAGCAAGGGCGGGCGTGGAGTACGGAGTTGGTGGACTAAAGAGCTGGGTTGCATATATTTGGATATAGGGGTGGATCAATATGGGAGAAGGATATATACTTGAATCTATCTTGCTCTATCTTCTTCGTTAATCTTTGTTCCTTTCTCCCTCTCGAGAGAGTTCCAACTGCCCCCCCCTCCTTTATATGGCAGTCGTCGACAGACACGCTCTGGTGCGCGATCTAACCTTCGCAAAGAGGCTACCTGGGCCCGAGTTCAATGGTAACAATTGGCGCGTTCTTGGGATTTCCTAAATATTTCTCTAAGGCAGTTTCAAGATTTCCCCTAGTCCAGAAAAGGCCATCCCCGAGTGGGGGCCTCTGTACGGACCCAGGCCTACATTAGCATCATTATTCTAGCTAATTCTAGGTCTCTGTACTTAAATTGCCCCCCCTTCGAATATTACGGTGATCGCGACTGCCTTTCATTTCTGCGAAAGAGTCGCCAACCACAAGCATTATATATAAGCCACAGTATCCAAACTACCGAGCTACTTCCTGACGGTGCATTAATATATCCTCAACATGGCGCTCTAGAGCTTGCCTAACTTTCACATACCCATTGTCGTCAGGTCCATAAAATCTGCACATGGTAAGGTGGTTGCCCTCGATGGTATCCTTCTCTTGCAAGGCGTAGTCTAGTGAAGCAGAATTTGGTTCAACGATCTAGGTTATCACGTTGAGTTACGCTCACTTGTAGCAGGAGACCACACATACCCTGCGACGCAACAAGCCGATTGGCCCATAACCCCTACTTTCTTGAAAGGTGTCGATTTTCAAAGTGTTGGCCAGGAGCATTTTTGAAAACTCATCTGCCAACATCGTGGAATACTCGGCGTTAGGTTTGAGGTTTCTCAGATTAGAGTCGTTTGCATCTATCCCAGTCGCCACTGCAATATTTCGGGCGATTAATGCGAGTTTAACATAGTCTGATCCTCGATGTGGTGTTCCAAAAAATATTATAGCGGCTGTTGAGTCGTAGATGTTCCGGTAACGTTGATTCTGTGCTATGGAGCCTCGTGCCAGGCGTAAGGTCTAGGCATATTAGCAATTGAAACCTTGACGGAAGTATGTTTCGCATTGGAGTATTAGGCCTTCCGGGGACCCAGCTCATCCTGATGATTCACATGCTTCGAATCATTTTGAACCATCAGAATGGTGTGGGACACTTAGGTTGCTGCGGTTAAAGATTTCCTATCCCCTCCTCTCAAGCCTTCGGGTTTCTCTTACATACTTCTTTTAATACCAAGCCACCAAGGCTATGTGCAATAAAGTTTTTTTTTCTCGTGGACGGTTTGCTTCCACTACTTCGGGTCCCTCTATCTCTTCTTTCTGCCTCCAGGCGCTTCAATAAATCATTTCCATGCTCCATTATCCCATTTCGGCTACAGCTACCGCTGAAAAAGCGACTGATGCGAGAGTCATATCCAAAAGTAAGGATCCGACAGTTCGAGAAATCTGCTGGCAATAGGTCTCTTGGCCAAAATAGGCCATCATCGGCACCCGTGGAAGATACGGAACCGTCTCTATTTCCCTTGCGTGTGTGCTTGTGCTTGAGATGAGCACCGATCCGTTGAAAGAGAGAGGGAGGTTTGGCCGCTGATTCCGGCCCATTTTTGCAGGTCCAAGTAGTTTTTGGATGGCCTTGAATGCCATGTACAAAAACAATGCTGTAAAACGTGAGCGAGTAGAACACAGCAGAAGGGTAACACTATTGATATCCCAACCAATATGCCGTGCACACCACACACTTACTCAGCAACTGGACTAGCCCCTCCAGAGTAGAGAGCTCTGTGATGCCTAACAAGTTTACCTCCGTCGTCGGTAGAGTACTGGAATTTGTTCGAAGGGAAGCTGGCTCCGCCGCGGTGGTATGCTGAGACTCTTGAAGATCAGCCACGGAATTTATTCGGGACATTTCTGCTCCCTAAACGATCCTGTGCAACTCACTAAATGTATGGTATTTTCAGAGCTGTTATATAGTATTATGGTGGGGTGGCATATACAGCGCGTAGCACAGCCCTGTTTCTCTATTCACGATCCTTGGATCTCCACGAGATGCCTACACTGCAATGCAACCTATCGAATAGAAGGCTCGCAGCGCTTAGTTCTGAGTCGAGGCTGTCGAGTGGCTGCCGGAGTCTCGACCTGAAACATCATGACAACAGTTGGATCGATTCCGATCCTTGGGAACCAAGACAATGGAGGGTTTTATTTATACGCATGAGTTGCCATTCAAAGTCGCACTAGACTTTTGTATTGCGACTTGCAAATTATGATACTCTGGAGGACAGAGTCTTGAATGGGGACGGAGTATGCTTGTGAAGGATGTTGGCCGTGTCCGGCTCGGTCCGACGTTAAGACTGGCCATGTCCTCATAGGCAGTTTTGCCAGCCTGTACCGCCCACCAGAAGCGCTGGTGGCGTATAAATAAATGCTCCTCATGGGGTTTGGCAATTGTATACTCCGTAAGGGGTTGATACCTATTACGGAGTGGTGCATATAACTCTACACCCCCCTTTACCTCAAAATTTACTTCTCAGGATATAAATATGCCTTTCCTAGTTTATTTTTTATTTTTTTCTCTGTAAGCACCTTTTCATTTTTAATCTTTATATTCTTCTATATGTATATTATTTAACTAGCAATGTTTTCTATACCTCTACTAGCCATTAAACAAACGAAGAGAGGAGTTGCCATGCCTTGATAAACAATAAAGGAAACCGCTAAGCTGCTCACTCATCTAGTGTCAAGCATTGCTTCGCTTCAATAACGCTACGACTGTATTCCCCGTGGGGAGATGGAAAATTTGATCGGCCATGAACGCCCTGCTTTGCGTGCGAGAAAATCATCAAGCCAGAAGAGCCCAAAAACGAGAAAAAGGAAAAAAAAAGCAAAATGTCGCTCCTGAATCATCAGACAGCCTCGAACTCCGACGCTAATGCTCCCCTATTAACGTTTAAACATGTAATGGCCATACATACCGCCCACCTCCGCTCTCGCAACGGGGATCTTCCGCATGCCCCAGTAAGAAGCACCCCACTTCCAGTCTCGCAGCCCATCATCGAAAGGCTGGCCGTCTTCTTGAATCCGTACAAGCCAGTATCGTCTGCCTGCATCCTTTAGACACCATCCGACTCTTTTCACCGCGGGACTCTTCTCCAATTTCTTGAACACCTCCGCGCTGACCTCAAGCACTGTCAATGGCGCAGTCACACTCTTCAGTACGAGGCAACGCATTCCGAAGAGCGTTCCCAGATCTAATGCATCTATCGAGAGATCTGAGACGTCGATATAGCATACAGTGTGAGGGATCCAATCAACCTGCTCTTCAATCGACAGATTCTCATCGGGGATAAAGAGGCGCGTGATATCGGCGAGTTCTAGATTGCGACTGAGCCCTAGTTCTTCGACGTGCTTGGTAAGAGGAAGGAGAAGTGGAATGTGTGACGCATTCATTTCACATCCTTTGAGATTGAGGGAGCGAAGAGATGAAGGAAGAACAGGCAAAAGAGCCGTGACATCATCGCTACCTAGCAATTCATGGGACTTGATATCCATGGCGAGGTTTAGGCAGACGAGCGTTTGTGCTGCGGGGTGGGTGCTGAGGAATTCAACGACTTCGGGCCCCGTGAGGTAAGTACATTTACTCAGATTCAGGTGCGTAAGACGAGCGGATTTCGGGATGGAAAATAGAGCGCTGTTGGTGATTCGTGTATGTGCAACATCTAGGTGGGTCAGATGTGGGAGGCGAGGCAAAAGGGCGGAGAATATTGTGGAGTCAAGGATAGAGCACTCATGTAAGCTCAACCGTGTTATCGGAAGAATAGCTGGGAGGGGGGATGGCGAGGCGTGAATGACGGCGTTGAAAGAGTCCCTAAAGGATGTGGACGAGCAGGCACAAAAGTCGAGTGCTGTCAGCATGGGAAGGCCACAAAGTAGCTTCTGGATGACCTCAGAGTCCAGATCATCATCGATGTGCTCTTGAGCCAAGAACTCGCGAAGGTTTGGAGTGAGTGACAGACATTGAAGGAGGGTTTGCGGAATGAGGTTCAAGGTCTGAGCGCGCTCCCGGGCAGTGATTCCCGACCCTGTTGGGTTGAAGTGAGAGAAATCAAGCCGCCGGACAATCGTCCCTAGCGGAGGATGCTCGGAAACGTGAGATAGGAACTTGCGGAAGATCCGCGAGTGAGGAATCGTGATGTGGTTGTAGAGGGTTGCTAGAGTTGCCGCGTGCATCGTCCGTGACGTAAGCAACAGGGACATCAAGTCAATATTCCGAGCAGTGAAGCCATTGGGGGGGATATCGGTGGAAAGCTGGTCAATAATCGTGCCTAGAAGATATCAGCTAAAGTTTGTTTGCGGTGGGGTGCTGATAGATATTTGACTCATGTGTCATGTGACCACTGATACCGCGGAGCATCATCGTCCTCATCCTCATCCTCATACTCTAGTTCGAATGAGATGGGCACATTGAGCAGGCGCAATGTTGAGCGGGGTATGAAGAGAGGAGACTCACCAAGCAATTCCATCGGTAACGTCTCAATCTGTGACCGACCCGGTGGATACTTGCCACGGACCTTGGCCACCGGCGCCTCCAGTGCGGCCGGGGGGGCCTCGACTTGCCCATCCCAAGCCCATCGATTTCCTAAGGGTCTCAAGTCGCTGAAGCTCTTGCTCTTGCTGGCCATTCTTCCCCCGAGGCTGATGGATTTCCAGCCCTGGAACGTGTCGCAGGGACAGACATATCCCTGGAGCAAGGTCGTGCCCGCCGTCGTCGACACGCCCAAGGCATCCTCGGGGGGCGTGATGGAACCATCGTCAATCGCCTCCTCTTCATCCACGCCGCCGGCATCATATCTGTTCCTCAGATAGCTAGAGGTCTTGGACGTGGTAAAAGTCTGGGCCACGCCTGAATCGCCCTCCTTGATGCTCGAAAAGCTGGTGCGATCCCCGCGATCCATGGCTGGGCGGATGGAGCGTTTGAGAGGGCCGTTTGGATCCCTTATCTTCTGGAGGATGCTGATGCTGTTGATTTTGACGTTTTTGGCGCCGGCGTGAGAGCAGGCAGAAGCCGACACGGCGGCTGTTTGCCTGTTGGCCGGAGGAGCAGGCAGCACGGTGGTGGGTGTTGAGGCTGATGGCGCGATGGCCATTGTTGGGAATTAAAGTTCTTCGCCGGGGAAGCTTCTCGACTACGTGTCTTTATACGAAGTATTTAGACGGAAGTCCCCAGCAAGGTAAAAATCAAAAGCGTCAATCGGGGGGCGAGGGAATTGAGGATGGTGGATGGGGGATGGTTATGAGGAATAAGTGGTCCAGAGGTACACGGAGTACACGGGGTACACGGGGTACGCGGGTACTTGGACTGGAGGTGGAGTTTGGAGTCGCCGGTGCAGGTGATGCGATTCAGCGATGGGATGTGAGATGTGACGACGGGGGAATCAAAACCGGTGGTGTCGGTGGAAGAGTTCTGTGTTGTTGTGTGTTGAGTGTTGTGGTGGTGGATGCGGTGGATGTGGTGGATTGTGGTGATGGTCGTGCTAATATGTAATAATATGTAAATTTTCCCAGAGTGCCAATAATGACGCTGGTTGTGTCGCCAGTGCGGCGGCGGGGCGTGGATGGGCTTGGATGGGCTTGGCCGGTCAGACCAAACTCTTTGTCACGAAGGCCTCCAGTTTAGTCAAGGAAACTGTTGCGGCTATGCGGGGAAAGCCTAGCACTGCTGTAGTCCTACGTAGGATGGACTAGAGAGTACAGAGTACAGAGTGATAATGATAAATGATAATGATAAAGCCTGGTCCTGGTTCGGGTTCGGGTTTCTGGTTCTTTGTTCTTGGTTCTGGCTAAGGGCGAGGGACGAGAGACGACGGAGGGGCAGCAACAGCAACAGCAGGAGTGAGAGTGGCGTCGCTATAAGTACTTTAAAGTAGCCCAGGCCGGAAAAGAGCGTGGCGGATAATATATATTGACCAAGGAGGAAGTGCGTAGTGCACTGTACTTTGTAGGTATTGTACTCGAGCAGTCGGAAGAGCACAAGCCACGAGGTACTTGTATTAATTATTGCCAGCAAGCAGCGTACCGATGGTGGCGTTGGCGTTGGTATTGGCGTTGACGTTGATGGGCATTAGAAGATGTCAGATGCTGGTGCGGCGCGGAGGATCTGCCTGTGCCTGGGCCTGTACTTGTACTTCGTAGGTAGGCTATAGTGGTGGTAGCGATAGTGGTGCCTGTCCCTTGTGTGTGTGAAGAATGTACTCTGTAGTAAGGTAAAGAGGATTGCGTCAACAACAATACAAACCCTTACTTGAAAGGGAGCGAAGATCTCCTAAGGACGTTGCCGAATGTGTAGCCACTGGAATCAACAACAATGAAGGCAATACTACGTAGAGACGGTACAGTACCTAGGGACATCCAAGCCGTTTTCGCCTTTTCTTTTTATTATAAAATTTCCCTTTTTCGCCTCCCAAACCACGCCGCCAACCCTGCATCTGGGGCCCCCGATGCGCCACCACTCGTCCGCTAGTAGGGAGATGATGTCTGATAGTCATTGTCCGGCTTTGCTAATAGGTTGTATCCAACCACACCCTGCTTACGTGTGCGTATTTTGGCTTGCGGTGTTTATATAACTTTATGTCGCCTGCGAGCCTAATAACCTAATAAAAACCTTAACCCACGTACTTGCACCTGGCAACTGGTAACTGGTAACTGGTAACTTGCAATGCTACTTGCAACCCCAGGCTATAGCGCTAGACAGGGTATTAATAGAATGGGGTTCACCGGGTCCGACATATAATTGGTAATTAAGAGTAAGGCGGTGTCCATATACCTTGGGTAGTACTACGTATATATAGAAGAGATACGGACTATATATCCGCGCATCGTTGTCTGACTCTCCATACATGCCAAAACACCAACCTCACCCCTCTCGCGGCGGAAACAAACCATACGAGATCCGCTGCGCTGCGGAGAACTCGGACGGACGCGTGATCAGCACTGTTACTATGGGCAGTCCAGGGCCCAGGCAGAGATCATCGGTGCTTGGCATCTGGCATCTGGCGCACCAGCGACAATTGGTAACCTGTCAAAGGTTACTATTACGGCATCTTTCTGGCCCATTGGATTTGGATCCCCATGGCCCCATGGGGGTGGTCGCTGGTGAGAAAGAAGGATCAGATTGCGTGTTTTCCCCACTCGCCTTCCTCTTCGGCCATGGGGAGGACGATGAAGCAAGTTGTACGGTGCAACGATGTTTTGTTCGTATCTGGATACGGAGGACGACGATGGCAAGGAAAAGGACAAACGAAGAAGTTTGACCTCTCAACTGGGAAAGTCACCCAACTCCACGAGCATTGGCTCCCCGGTAACTTGCCATCACGAACACCAATTTGTACTCTGTATCTCCATCTCCATCTGCAACTGCATCTACGCCGGAAGCTGGAGAAACCCCCCGAGACCGCTGTCGTGCTAAGCTTAGAAGCGGCACCGTACCTGAAATGTTACGTAGACCAACCAGCCCGTCACATGAGCTGTTGGCATCCGTCTTGCAACTTCTAGTACTACATACTGCGGGATCAATATATGCGAGATCATTCCCCGCTTTGCGGTGCTGGATATGAAGCCTGAAGAGGCTGAAGTTGAAGAGCGGTGAGCCAAAGACCTCGACTTAGATCCACCTCGGATCGGTTCCTCTTCAAGTCCCCGCGCTCGTCTTGCCAAACCGGCCCCCATCCTTCACGGACGGCGAGCCAGAATAGCGAAGAGAGGAGCTTCAAGCGCCTCTGTGTCTCTTATACCCGGCTCCTTCAACCCCGCTTGCCCTGCGTTAGCACAGTGGTATCACCGCTACCGTAAGGTAGTAGAAAAGCAGATCTATTTAAGGTTTGGACTTATTTACCCCTGTTGAAAAGAATAACTACAATGCAAACCCTAATATATCTATGTAATATTTTACTTCGTTTATAGTATGTACTTATTTGTTGCTAGTGCTGCTTCGGCTCCCGTCGCTCGAAGCAAATGTATATAGGTACCTACCTAGGTAGGTAGGTAGTTAGGTATATGTGCCTGTGTACTACATAAGAATGTATCAGGCTGCTGGGTAGGGTTGCGTAACGCGTACTACTATACCCGTCCTGTTTGCAATTGTCCGGCTATGGTTATCCTTTAACTAGCCCACGTTCAGAAAGGAGAGCAAACAGTTTCATAGCCATTCCTTCTAAAGGATGAGCGAGTATTCTTGTTATATGCGGGTGCTACTGGATAGATTTGTGATAGGGTTTGGGCCGGCAGGAAGGGGATGATACATCACAGGACATGCCTGCACTACCCACCTAGGTAGGTAGGAAATCTGACGTATCCCCCTTCATCCATCCTGGTGATCCTGTCTAGGTTCCTACACAAGGCTCACAGCATCAGCCGTTGACCAAGTTACTTGCATACCTTCCATCTATCACTCTCTATAATATGTTTGACAATTTTGTCCATTCAGAAAGAGGTGGTATTTTATATGCACGATCCCATCTAGAAACACATTATGAACAATCTCTCTAATTCATTACCATACCATTCCAGGTTCCCACCAGAAGAAACACCAAGGCCTGACCCCCCAAATTTAAAACCCTCCGAATAATAATCATTAGATACCTACTTATGCTGTACGAAGTACGTCGTACTGATATCCAGGAGCTCGAATAAGCCCAGCCGCAAACCAGCAAGGAGTATCGGTCAAACTCCCCGTTCCGTGTCGCGCAGGTTGCAACCTAATGCTTTCCGGCTGTCTCTCTCCGATCCCCGGACGTGCTTCCGCGTTTATCGTCCGTTAAGCCGTTTCGTCTTAATCTTCTCTTTGCAATCATTACAAAACCATTTTGCTACGTCAAATATCAGTATTCACCATCTAACAACTTTGGAAGATATTTTAGGTAGGGAAGACAAGGCATACCATTACCCCTAGGCGCAACCTTAAGGCCAACACACTCTAGATGGAACCACTCCTTTTCACAGTCATCTGCATCGCATGCTACCATCTCTCCATAGCTCACCCCATTACAGTAGCAATACGTAAGTTCATCGGCACCGATCTCCTCGTCCTCGTCATCCTCTTGCGCAGTACTCGTTGCATCATCCACCTCTAGGTTCTGCTGCGCAATGATTTGTGCCGCAGCACCGGCGCCTTTCTTATGACTTCTCTTGTTATTCGACGTATGTTCTAGCGCGCTGCGTGCGGATCGTGATCGTGGTTGGTCGGGGAATGATGACATGGCTGGCGTTGAAGGCTTGCTGGCTCGCCCGCTCTTCGTCATCACTGTCGTTGCTTGGATGTTAGATATAGAGTCTCCGTTTGTGTCTGCATCTTCCCGTTTTGCTACACTACTCTTCCGGTGGCCAATGCCACCGTCAATAACTCCAGGGTCCGCCTTGTCAAGCTCATTAAAGATAGGCTCCCCCTTCGCGTTGGATGTCGGTTCTTTTATTGAAGATTTGACATCCGGGAGAGTGGTTCGTCCGCTGGCGGGTGCCACTGCCCCAAGATCTGGCGTGTTTGGAGAATTGCCGTTCAGCTTAGCCGACGCTGCAGGATCTGGCCTCTGTCGGTTATTGTCCACGATTGACTGTGTTGAGTTTTGCCTTGCTCTTGATGAGGGTGGCCTGCCACCATTGGTTGGTTGCGGGGAGCCTCTTCCTGTCGGCTTCAAGTCTGGGAAGGTACTTCGTATTGGGGAGGAGGCTAATGATGGGGACATCGCTGATGTTATAGTGTTGTTCCTGTTTGTTGTAAGTAGCTATACTTGAGAAATGAATGACTGTAGCATACCTCTTCCTTGTTGGTCCATTCGCTGTACCTCCCCCTCTTGATTTCTTCTTCGAATCCGGCCCCAAGCTTGGTCTTGTCGTTTTGGGGATGCTCCGCTGTCGAGCTCGAGGAGCTTGCCCACCAGCCCAGTCCGCCGCCTTTCCTTTCGTCGCCGTCCCATTACTACCAGACACTCCGCTCACGGCTCTTTCCATGACCACGCCTCCAGAAGGGCCTTTCTCGACCTTCCGGCGCTTTGGAGGATTCCCATTCAATCCAGAGCCATTTGTAATGCCCAACCCCACGCTCGGGGATGCATCTGCCGCTTTCCGAATCTTGCTGTTCCCATGGACTTTCTTCTGGTCTTTTGGTCTGCTATCGTGATGGTCGTCGAAGTCGGACTCTGCATGATGATGCTTGTGGGATTTCTTTGCAAGTAAAGCTTGCTTCCTCGCATCGCTTTTTGCCAACGCGTCTTCCGTCAGTTGTTGGGCCCCGGAGCTATTGTTCGCGGGCGCCACGTCTTTCCTTGACCCATTGCTGGGCCCTAGTTTACTTATTCTATTCTCCGGATATGCCCAATGTGTAGTGCTGCCATATCGCGCCTCCTCGCTAATTTCTAGCTCAACGTGAGGGAAGCAGTCGTCGATGCGGGCAAGCTGTTTGTTGAGAGCTTCCGCTGCCGTAGAGATAACGTGGTTCTTCTCATCAAGCGAAACCAGCATATTCTGCATTGTATAGGCGCAGTGCTGAAAGAGCTGTCGACGAGGGATGTTGGCTGGATCGTATGCGGCACTTGCAGTATTGTAAACATCCGCGTCGGGAACAGATGTGACAGAGGCGGGATGGCCATTGACGATTGAGCCACTGGCGCTACCTTGCGCACTCATAGGGATAGATTTCGGACCGGTATTATTTTGTATTTCGGGAGGGGGTCGTCGTTCGGGTGGAGGAGCATTCAGCGCAGCGTCGACGAGCTTCCCTAGGTCATCCTCTGGCGCAAATATTTTAGCATCAACCTCTTTCAGTAATGTAAAGTGTCGCATAAGCTCCTTTGGTAGAGCGGTAATGGCATCGGCAAAGTGTGTTATCGCAGGAAAGATCTCGATCTCTTTCTCCTCCTGACCGCCGCTGAGGGACCCTCTCGACGGGAACGATCTGGCGCCTGGGATTGAGGATCTGGGAGGATTTGTCCGAGTCTGGCGTATGGGCTGGGCCCTGCGACTGGACGAGAGGTCTGAGGATAGGGGTTTAACTGTCTTCATCGTAGGAAGAGGTCTTTCGTCCAGCTTTTGTGGATATCGAGGAGGGAGTCGTGCGACACGCGCAAAGTCGGATGCAGACGGTCAAGGTGGGAAAATTAGCTTGTGAATTCCATTGAAACTCGACGCAGTATGGTCTAGGGCTCTGTGACTTGTCATAGAAAGGTTGTGGAAACTCTGGTGTTGGGGGAGGTAGATTACCCAGGAGGGAGCCCACTGCAGTAGATTTCCATCGCCATCATGGGGACAATCGGTTTTGACAACCATGCAAACTGCCGATCGCGGTTTACCTGTTGGATCACGTGAGTGCCCAGCGCGCTACTGTAGGTAGGGGACCGGTTGCCGGAGCTGGTCAAGACCGTCATATAAAGTTAACAAGTTCGGTTCTTCTTCAAGGCTTCCGTCTTCCCAAATGTCCATTACTTCGACAGCTACTACTAAATATATCCGACTAGCAGCCTCTAACAGCCTTTTTAATATTTTGGTGATAAGGTTATCCTCAAGAGGCGATGCACGGCACCCTAATACTACATCTAACAGTCTCGGGGAACGGTAAACTCCTGTTCTCCCGAACTCCCCGGCTGAATAGCTCGCTATGCTAGGAAACAATTGCAATATCATCTACCTAATCTTAGTCTTCGGCTTCTTCAACCCGCTGCCGAGCCCTTTCTCTTCAATATGTTTCTGTCTCCACTGCCACTCAACAAGTACAGGCAGGAACTGCCAAAGGTCAAATTCGGGCCAGAGACAGTCCAAAAACACAACCTCGGTGTTCTCGTGGCATTGCCAGAGCAGAAAATCGCTCAGCCGCTTAACCCCACTCGTTCGTATTAGAAGGTCTAAAGGTGGGTCGCCAGCAGTTAAGAGATGCTGCTCGATGGTATCTGCGGTGATCGTCTCGGGGTCGGGGTAAATGGCCCCTTCCTGGCCACCCATTGGCGACTCTGCATGCAAGGTGGTAGTCGATGATACCGAATCGTCTACGTCTGAAGTGCTGGACGGCGTTGGGGAGTTGGAGCGTAGTGGCGACGTACTGAGATTCCTTGACTGTATCTTTTGTGTTATTCTTGTTTGAGAGAAGGGTCGCGCTTGTGTGGATATCGGCTTTGAATAATCTTCCACGGTGCCTGCGATTGCCATGGTTATCTCATCTCTGGACGTGTATGGGAAGCAAATGTTGAGGATGCAGCTATGCCAACCGTTAGTAGGTAAACTTTGCACTATGTGATGTCAACTTACTCTCCATTGTTTCTCGTCAGCTCCACCGCTTTGTCGATAGCCTTCAAGACATCAGGTTTGACCAGATCCCGCTGGCCTAGCACCCGAACACTAGCGCCATATCTGTCGAGTAACTCTCCGTGTTGTGACAATTGCGACAGCTTGATTTTTGCCATCTCCATCAACGCATCCACCTCATACTTAGAGCGCTTGAAGTTCTCGATGCTGAAGGCATAGACAGTAACTACCTTGACTCCCGATTTGTAGCATACTTCTAGAATCTATCCTCGATATGTTAGTATAAAAGCATAAAAGCAGGCAAGCTGGGAGAGATAGTACCCTAGCCAATGCCTCAAATCCTAGATTATGGCCTTCAACGGTTTCTATCTTGTGACTGCGGGCGAACCTCCTATTCCCATCCATCACAAATGCTACATGTTGTGGTATGGGGCCTTGTCTCAAGGCCCCAATAAGGAGTTCCCGCAATCGATGTATTCCCCATTCAACAGGAGGTGATGCGAGCATCCATTTGCGCAGCTGGGACAGGTGCATGGAAGACATGCCGGAAGCCACTGTTGCGTTGAGTGGTCGTTTGATAAGCCGCGTTGAAGAATAATCAGAACAAAAGAGTCGTTTCAGCGTCTGCAGACGACGTCAGTAAATTTGGGAGGACTAGGTAGAACGAGCGTGAGACAGTAGAGCTTTACAGTCTGTATGACTCTAAGATTGCTGCAGATGGCGAGCTGAAGTCTCGAGGGAAACGCGCCTCGGCGGCGAAATATGCACGAATTCTGGGGAGCCTTGCGTGCACGACAGGTGCTGGCAAAACGTCACGACCAGAAGGCTGACCAAACAGCTGGCCTTTTCAACCGCATCCACAATCACGACCGCGACCACAACATCCGCCGACATTAGCAAGCCGCTGCACATGGCAGATGAATAACGTCTTCGTGAATTGAAATTGCCATTCTAACCCTTAGATTTGACGACTTTCCTGTGCAGCAAGTATTCTCAATGCTTTCACGCGGCTTCGGCGGCGCGCCTGTAACTCGCAGCCTTACCTATGGCATTGTCGCCGCGTCGATCCTCGCAAGCATCACAGATGTCAAGCACTATTTCTTTATCCAGATTGATCCTCACCTATGGCGATACCACCAGCTATGGCGGGTCTTTACATATCAGCTTTGCTACACAAATTCAACCGAGGTCCTCTTCGCCGCAATGACCTTGTACAACTTGAGGGTAGTTGAGCGGCTCTGGGGTTCCCGCAAATATGCCGTAAGAAGAGGTTCAGTTATTTCCCGAATGTTTTGCTAATAAAGGCTCCTAGTCCTTCATTATCCTCTGCTATTGCCTGACGGCACTGCTACCACCAATTATCTTAGCACTTATTCTCCGACCCCTCTCTTTTAATAAGTTAAATTATCTCCCCGCGGGACCTACGCCTATCATATTCGCGGTCCTGGCACAATATCATGCCATTATCCCTCACATATATAAATATCGCGTCGCAGCTTCCGCCGCCCCGCCTACCAACGAGCCCTTCGTAGGCCTTACTTTCTCCGACAAATCCTACGTTTACCTCCCAGCAGCCCAGCTGTCTCTTTCGCAATTTCCAGGCTCCTTATTATGTGCATGTGTAGGCTGGGTTGTGGGGTACTCCTGGAGAAATGAGGTGTTGCCTGGTGCCCTCGTTCGATGGCGGATTCCGGGGTGGATGGTGGGAATTAAGAGTAAGAAGCGCGAGGAGGATTTTGAGGCTTTGAGACGACGCTTGGAGAGTGAAAATACCGGTACGGCTGCAGCCACTGGATCAGATGGCCGATTAGGAGGCGAGGAAGGCCGGAGACGGCCTTTAGGGGTACAGCTTGTTGATCAGTTCAGAGGTGCCTTTTGACGAATGGCAATTCAAAAAGTTCTAAAAGAGTATTAGCCACGGCCCATGTGCATCAAGCACGCATCTACAGATATATAATATTTTATGGTCAAGGTCTCCTTCTGTGAGCACTTTAAAACAGAATCTAACAAACTTGATAGGCTGAGAGGCTATTGAGATACGAGCAACTACCGAGTGGTCAAAATAGGTTGGAAATGGGAGTTTCCAGGCCGAGTAACAACTTGTGTATTAAACTCCGGTCCGTCGGCCATCCATTACCAAGCCTGGCTCTGCCGTCGTGACTTTCAAACAAGGTCGGAGCTCACCTCCGTAGGAAAGTCGATTATATAACTTCTAATAAAGATACATATTTTCACGGGGACTCAACCCCAAAAGGATAATGATTAGATGGTCTATAGAGTTAATTAACTGGCCATCAAACATGTGGAAGACTAGCTAGCTGCTATTGAGCCACGCCTTCATGCCAAAAATGTTTTGCATGGCAATCGTTACCCATATCTGTATAGTCCGTCTAATATTTCTATCTTACCCTTTCCTTAATACAATAGAGAGTCTCCTATGCCAGTAATGTCGAGGTTAAATATTGAGATCTTTACAGTACGGCAATTTATACGGTTGATACTCATAGGCAATAGTTTGCTACGATCTTATACCGCAGACTTCTAGCCCAGAGTTCGATTAGAGCGCATAATTGCAATCTCGTATTCTCTAAGAGGGAACAAACTTGATTCCTACATTTTGCTCTCTTGGCTTGACTTGATAAATAGGCAACGCTAGTGAGTGATGGCATTCTATTAATAATATAATATATACAGACTTCGTCCATTTGTACTGCTGATCAAGACGGCAATAACCAACTGAAGACAAAAATTCCAGAGTGATCACTATGCCATTTAACCATGGGTTCCATAACCAGTCTCGTAATTTAAATGGCGGCACTCGCGTTCAAAACAACTCTCCTAGGGCCCAGCATATCTGTGGTAGAAGTCCGAGGCGATGGGCAAAAGTTTGCTCCAGAAGAGGAGCGAGGTCCACAACGCAGCCTCATATCACCCTCAATATCAAATCCACAACATACGAAACATAAGCAGCTTGCGCTCTTTAGCCACCATTGATCCATTTTCTCAAACCCCATCTCAACCCAACATTTCCAGCATAGGGTTGGCTTTGATTTCGGCTCCGTCATGGTCTCTTGCAGGGCGCCGGACATCAGGTGGGCCGCCGATGATACGGACAATACCAAACTGTTTGATCTTTCGGGGATACCAAACACGGGGTCAGTAGTAGGACTTCTCGAGATAACGGATGCTGGGTTGCTCAGTGGCCGTGGCAGGATTCGAACTGATGATGCAGGAGAGTTCTGCCGACTAGGGGACACAGAGACTCGTGCTACGGTATACTCGTTATTAGGTGAAGCTGTATGTCGATGATTCAGAGAACTTCTTAATGTTTTGAGCGCTGCCTGCCTGCCTTTCCGATGAGGGCAACCTGGCTCCGTTGATATGTGCTGGGATCTGCGCGTTACTTGCATTGCTGCCATAGGGTTTATGGCGACGGAGCTGGTAGATTCGATAGCATTCCGAAGTGAATTCATTTCAGAGTCTCTTGCAGTAGCGGAAGCGGTAAAACGGACTCGCCGTCCGAATCTACGCCCCGCATTGGTCCCAGAGGTGTTGGTCAAGCGCGAGGTGCTTGGAGAGGCATTCGGATTGCAGATATTTGCTACTGGAGCATGATTAAACGGATGCTGATCAATTGGAGCATATGCACTCCTTGTTGGTCGGAATCGGGGTGCTCGTCTACCTACTGGGGCGGACACGGCCCGGTTTGCAGTGGGTGGGTCAGTCCGCGATGCATGAGATGAGAGTAAAAATCCTGATGCTGATAGACTGAAGAACCTTTGCAGACGATTGGGTTGCGGATTGACTAAGTGGCGGCGAGCAGGAAGGTTTTGGGCTTGAGTCCAGGAAGGCATTCCTGGTGGCGTTTGCGGCCGAGGCAATGGCGCATGGAGTGGGAACTTTGGTTGTGCATATATTTCATGTATCGGCAAGAGCTTGAGTGTTGTACTCTCAATAGCTGGGCAACCATCATAATACGATGGCTTGATAAGAGCGAGATCGTCAAGGCTGAATGAATGCCTTCGTCGTAAACTCTTGGCAAGAACAAAGCTGTCACGGTGATTGAGGGGGTTTGGTAGGTCATCGACGGACTTTCGGCGTGCAAGAGAGTTCATGGTGGCACAGCTGTTTTGTTCGGTAATAGTTTTGAGAAGTGTTCCATGTCCATAGAGGAATTGTGTGTCTGTGGCAGAGGTGTCTATCATATATGGCTCCGCGGCTCTCGAATTCTGATGGTTTCTAGCTGAAGTTTCGGAAATGCTGTGGCAAGGAATAGACGATTCTCCCCCTTTAGCATTGTTTTTGTTTCTTGGCGAGTTATTTAATGGTTTATATATCGGCAGGTTGAAAGACTCGGACCCGTTGTTGCCTTCCTCGCTGTTGTTTGCTGACAAGTATTGTGCATCGTAGATTGAATTATGCGGGCTTGGAGGATCATCTGAAGAGTTGGACCAGAGCACAAAGGACGTCTTACGCCGGACTTGCTTATGTGCTGTGGAGCTGGGAGACAATACTCTCGGGAGCAAAGGCGGTCTCGATTGAACTGGCAGACTATCTTTCTTCGTGAAGGAGCTGGTGATAGTAGCCATCGTGTTTAACAAAAAGAAGTAGGATGCTAATCGGGCAATGCCATCCAAAATGACAAATAATGCTGATTCAATAGCCACAGGGATAGGTAAAGAACTGGTGCAGCAAAGTTGATGTGACGATCCATTCGGACGCGAAGAGCAAAATAAAACAGGCAAGACCTATCGGCGATGTACTTTACTAAGTACCAACATAGCACCCACATTGCTCCTTCTTCATAAAAAGTAAGTTACGGGCATCATACCCGACGCAGGACATTTACTATTGGTGAAAGAGATACTTTAGGTATCTATATTAAAGCCGTCAGTTAGTCTATTTAAGACCCGAATATTGCAGATTATTGGGTATCATGCTTAGAGTGTGATATCGAGAAGCCCGAAGTAGAACACATATTCAGGATGCATCTATCCCTTCCGCACTGAGCGCCTTTCTATATTCCCGGGTTGCCGTCTGCAGAGTTCTGATAGTCGGTTCCATCATCTCCTTGACTATCTTCTCGCCTCCTCCGACGGAATTTGAGTTCCAATGAGTTTTCTTCCCAGTTTTCTCCCAAACGTCCCGAATGTGTTGCTTTTGTTTGAGAATTACTTCTTCTTTTTCCTTCTCGGCATCGGCGGCAACTGAATTAATACGGTCCATGGCCCGCTCAAGGGTCTCAACCACTCGTTCTAGTTCACCAGCACGGTCAGCATCACCCGAGAGAAAGATGACCCAGAAATGATGCAAGAACTCTGTCGTCGTCGCATGTGTCAAGGTCAAGCGGTCGAAAATTTTCTGTGACAGGCCACACAGTGATGACTGAGCGTCGGATCCGTCAATCTCCATTCGACGAGCTTTTATCCCTTCTAGAATTTGTTTTTGTGCCTGCGCAATACTGGCTTTGCTGCCTACATGAGGTTGCTTCTCGCCTTCTTCCTCCTCACTATCGCTCTCTTCTAGTACTCCTATAGCTGAGCCCAAGTCGAACGCGCCACCAGCATGGTCGCCCATCCCAGTGGAATCGATGTCTGCCCGCAATGCAGACTGTACCTGCGAAGGTACCTGCTTGGAATACAGCGCAGATTCGGCAGACGCTGTTGACTTCTCATTCGCAAAAAATCGACTTTGCTCCTTGATGTTCAGCATGATCCGATTCTCCTCTGGATCACCTTGCAGGTCACGCAGCGCCAGAGCATTAAAGGTTTCCTCATCCATACCGATGGGGGCCGCCGGATCGATATCAGACGGGGCAACATGAGCCATTAACTTTTCGCTCAGACTGTTTAATGTCCGGACGATAGGTACCTTGGCTGCCGAGCCGGGCCTCATGGTGAAGTCTGCTCGGTTGCCACGGCTCATACCGCCCTGGTTCTCTTCATTGCCCTCAAGATTAATGGTATTCGGAATGTGCAATCCCAGGAGTGTCGGACTGAGACTAGTGTCATTGCTGGCATCGAGATATCTATCGAAAGTAGGATCCGTGCCGTCCTCCTCAGAGACTCTCTCGCCCTTGAGCTTCTTGAACAAACGACTAAGAAAGAACCTTGACCAAAACTCCGTCTCGTTAAGCTTAGGCACATTCTCATCGTAGACTCGCTTTACCAGCGGGTGCTGACTGAAAATAAGCTGCACTTGCTCGGCACTTATGTTCATTTTGAGCTCTCCACCAACCTGGCGTGGCTTCACTGCTGACAACACGTTATAAGCTCCCTTTTTCTGGTTGATATCAACCGCATGAGCTCTCAGGACGCTCGTCCGAGTGGACCAGAATTGCGAATTGAATTGAGAGTCTGATGTACTGTCTGGTTTTGTCCGCCTCGCCTCCATATAAGTCCGATGTAAAGCTGGATCCTTCTTCATGAGGGACTGCTGAAGCTCGATATCGACCTTTAGTGCATTATCATCGTACCAGCGGGCTGACCCAGAACCTTGCTTCGACGCTACAGCACTGGCAATGGCCATCGCAGCGGATGCTCCGCCAGCGCCATTTGCTTTGCCCACGCCCACATCATTAGCCTTCGTGGCAGTGATCAGACTCGTCAAAACATCTTTCACAGAGTTGGCCTCTCCACGAGGGTTTGATGGCGAGTTGAAATGGAAAAGATGGGTGACCGGCTCAGCTGCGTCAGGTGACTTGTCGAAAACCTTTAACATGACCTTTGCAGCGGATTCTGGCGTCTGCTGCAAATCTTGAACGTTTAGTATTAAACTAACGGCACCAAAGAGGTCTTACGTACTGGTAATGTTTGCGACTGCAATCGTCACTGCCTTCCCCAACCCTTGGGCACCCAAAGGGAGCCACTGAAGCGCCTTTTGGTCGCTGGTAATGCTCAAGGCACCATCTTTCTTTTTATAAGCAGCCGACGCTTTAATCGCCAACGCTGGTGGTGGAGCCATCTCTTCAATGGCTATATGCTCTTAACTAACATCTAGACCATAGGCGCTGCCTCGCAAAGATGGTAAAGGTGACGGGCAGCCTGGCCTTCTAGAGCATTAGGGACGCCAAGCTTAATATTGATCCGGGGATGCCCCAATACACGAGAATGGATAGACGGTACTCGTATATCCTTCTCGGTATCAACTCGGTATCATTCGAACCGTGTCCGTGAGATGATGATACTCTGCAGCAAAGGAGCGGATCCCCTTGCTCGCAAACCTTTGTCCTCTGTGCTTTTGAATTGGCGATTCTCTATGCGTAGGCACGAAGACGTTGATGTTCTTGTCTTTATTGGCGATTGGGTGCTAGATTTCTAGTTATGACCGTATACTCGTACTGTACGGAGCACAAGACTACAAGCACAGCACAGCTCGTCCGGTACCTTAAGGTACACTCGTATGCGCCAATTGGCGAGTTCGGCTGCGGCTGGCTGCGGCAACAGACTACGGTGCGCTGCTGGATAATTATTTAGACGCAATTCTGTCATCGCCCATCCCGGTTCTCGTGTTTCCGCTTCCGCTTTCCGCTCATACAAAAAGACTTACTCTGCCTCTCCTTTTACCCCAATTCTACACTTCCGATTCCCACGTATAGCTGCCGCCACCGTTGATGGTAGCGCATCTTTGTTCTGATTACCAGTCTGCCCCTGCCCTTTCTTCATTGTATTGGCCGGCACAATGCTTCGAATGTCCCTCCGGCAGAAGAGCAGCCAGCTCCTCAAGGCTGGCTGCGCAGCTCGATCGCTCTCCACGACCTCGCGCGCTCCTCTAGTATGTGCGAATTCTTCCGTCAAGTCTGGTCTCGCGTCAAAACGGCATCCAACCTCCGTTGTCTCCCAGAAGAGATATACTGCCGCCGTCGCCTCAGCTCCCGACCCAAATGACAGTTTTTTATCCGGAAATACCGCAAACTACATCGATGAGATGTACATGGAATGGAAGGAGGATCCATCAAGTGTACATGTGTCATGGCAGGTGTACTTCAGGAACATGGAGAGCGGCGATATGCCAATGTCGCAGGCTTTCACTCCTCCACCGACCCTCGTCCCAACACCTACTGGTGGCGTCCCGAGCTTCATGCCAGGTCTGGGAATGTCCGCCGGCGTTGGCTCAGACGTGACGAACCATCTGAAGGTTCAGCTTCTGGTTCGCGCATATCAAGCTCGTGGCCACCATAAGGCGAACATCGACCCTCTGGGCATCCGCGCCGAGGCTGAAGAATTCGGCTACAAGAATCCAAAAGAACTTCGACTCGAGCATTATCAATTTACGGAAAAGGATCTAGATACTGAGTATAGCCTTGGTCCAGGGATTTTGCCTCGTTTCAAGAAGGAGGGCCGTGAGAAGATGACGCTGCGAGATATCATTGCTGCTTGTGAGCGTATCTACTGTGGCTCCTACGGAGTCGAATATATTCACATCCCCGATAGGGAACAATGCGACTGGCTCCGTGAGCGTATTGAGGTTGAGCAGCCGTTCAAATACTCCGTCGACGAGAAGCGCAGAATTCTGGACCGTCTAATCTGGAGCTCGAGTTTTGAAAATTTCCTGGCGACTAAGTACCCCAATGATAAACGATTCGGTCTCGAGGGCTGCGAATCCTTAGTACCAGGAATGAAGGCTCTTATCGACAGAAGCGTGGACTATGGCGTCAAAGATATTTCCATCGGAATGCCCCATCGTGGACGTCTCAATATTCTCAGCAATGTCGTCCGCAAACCAAACGAGTCCATCTTTAGCGAATTCGCGGGTTCCGCTGCAGCCGAGGACGAAGGATCTGGAGACGTGAAATACCACTTGGGGATGAACTTTGAGCGGCCCACTCCTTCTGGCAAGCGTGTCCAACTCTCCCTTGTTGCCAACCCTTCTCATCTGGAAGCCGAAGACCCGGTTGTCTTGGGCAAGACCAGAGCAATTCAACATTACAATAATGATGAGAAGACACATAAAAGTGCTATGGGGGTTCTCCTTCATGGAGATGCAGCTTTCGCTGCTCAGGGTGTTGTTTACGAGTGCTTAGGATTCCACTCACTGCCGGCATACTCCACCGGTGGTACAATCCACTTGGTGGTCAACAACCAAATTGGTTTCACCACTGATCCCCGATTCGCTCGCTCCACTGCCTACTGCACAGATATTGCGAAGTCAATTGATGCTCCAGTCTTTCACGTTAATGCCGACGATGTAGAGGCTGTCAACTACGTATGCCAATTGGCAGCTGATTGGCGCGCAACATTCCAGACCGATGTCGTTATTGATCTTGTCTGTTATCGCAAGTATGGTCATAACGAGACAGATCAACCATCTTTCACGCAACCTTTGATGTACAAACGTATCCAGACGCATGAGCCGCAAATCGATATCTATATCAACCAGCTGTTGAAGGATGGTAGCTTCACCAAGGAAGATATTGATGAGCATCGCAAATGGGTCTGGGGCATGTTGGAGGAGAGCTTTGCGAAGAGCAAGGATTACCAACCAACATCAAAGGAATGGACCACATCGGCCTGGAACGGCTTCAAATCACCAAAGGAATTGGCAACAGAAGTCCTTCCCCACAACCCAACCGGTGTGCCCGCCCACACCCTCGAGCATATCGCTGAAGTTATTGGTACCGCACCAGAGGGCTTCAATGTTCACCGTAACCTGAAACGTATTCTTTCAAGTCGTATCAAGACCGTGGAGGAAGGCAAGAACATCGATTGGTCGACAGCTGAGGCGCTCGCTTTCGGATCTCTCGTCAATGAAGGACACCATGTTCGAGTCTCTGGTCAGGATGTTGAGCGTGGAACCTTTTCGCAAAGACATGCGGTCTTCCACGATCAGGACAATGAAAAGACCTACACTCCACTACAACACGTTAGTAAGGATCAAGGCAAATTCGTCATCTCAAACTCCTCATTGAGCGAGTTTGGTGTGCTGGGCTTTGAGTACGGCTACTCCTTGTCGTCACCAAATGCTCTTGTCATGTGGGAGGCCCAGTTCGGTGATTTCGCCAACAACGCGCAGTGCATCATTGATCAATTTATTGCGTCTGGTGAGGTTAAATGGATGCAGAGATCTGGCTTGGTTATGTCATTACCTCACGGATATGACGGACAAGGCCCTGAGCACTCGTCTGGCCGTATGGAAAGATATCTTCAATTATCCAACGAAGATCCTCGCATTTTCCCACCGCCTGAGAAGCTCGAGCGTCAGCACCAAGACTGCAATATGCAGATTGCCTATATGACAACCCCAGCAAACTTGTTCCATATTCTACGGAGACAGATGAACAGACAATTCAGGAAGCGTAAGTTCTCAGCCAATTTGTCAGGGTTTATTACTTACATAATCTAGCTCTTATTATATTCTTCTCGAAGTCACTCCTTCGCCATCCTATAGCACGATCGTCAATTGAGGAGTTCACGGGCGATTCGCAATTCCAGTGGATCATTCCCGACCCAGAACATGGGAAGACCATTGCCGAGCCCGAGGAAATCGATCGTGTTATCCTCTGTACTGGTCAAGTCTACGCTGCTCTCCACAAGTCTCGAGCCGACAAGGGCATCAAAAACACAGCCATTACTCGAATTGAGCAGCTGAACCCCTTCCCGTGGCAACAACTGAAGGAGAATCTTGACACATATCCAAATGCTAAGACCATTGTCTGGTGTCAAGAGGAGCCTCTTAACGCTGGTGGCTGGAGCTTCACGCAGCCAAGAATCGAGACATTATTGAACCACACACAATACCATGATCGCAAGCACGTCATGTACGCAGGCCGCAACCCTAGCGCCAGTGTGGCGACTGGGTTGAAGTCCCACCATATTAAGGAGGAGACTGAATTGTTGGACATGGCCTTTAGCGTGACGCAAGATAAGCTCAAGGGAGAGTAGAGGAGGTCCTGGGAAGGTACTGTAATTTTAGAAGGGCTGTGGAAACGGGATGAGAGATGATTGATGCACAGACAGACTTTTGGGTGATGCATAGATGTGTAGGTGCGATGCGCAACTTGTATTATTTTAGTGCATTGCTGGCAATTGAAAACGTGACTGGTATATAGCTGTTTTGCGAATGTATTAGTCGTAGGTTCCATACCTACAGGTAGGTAACAAAATGTCTCTTCTAAAATATAATACATAGTCTGCTGTCTTGGGGTCTGAGTACAAGTACGGAGTACACCGTAAGAGTACAGGGTACGAAGTGCTGTGCCTGTTTAATCGTGGTCCTGCCGATCCCGTCTCCCGTCTCCCGTCCTTGGGTCTCCCTGTCGCGCATGTACTCCCTACGTCATTGATGATTGTGGCCCAGCTTCACAACTTCGCACGTTAAGCTCAATTCATATGTCAAAATGTATGGGCAGCGATGACCTTAATCAGAATCTTTACAGTTAGAACTCTCATATCTTAGTCGTACCAAGAATGAGACCCACGTTTCGGGTGCTGCCAAAGTGCATCCCGTCAAGGACAGCATCGAATTCGCACATGCTCATTCTTGCAGACCTACACCAGAGACAGAATGCACAGCAACAGCAGCAACCGCGCAAACCAATTGTTTTTCTACGCCGAATACAATCACAATATACAAGTCGGGAATTCTCTTCACGCAGGTGTTCTGAGAAAGAAGGATACACTGAGAAAGGCAAAGCTCCACACCACAGGGGCCGGAACGAACAAGAACAACAGCCCAATTCTCAACTCGACGATGTTATTGGGGAGCAGACAGAATTGCAGGCCAAGACGCCATGGCATAGAGAGGGATCTGACATGCCTCCTGTCAAGAGGATGCGCAGTGCTTCTGCAATGACAATGGGTGCAGTACCCTTCCCATCCGGACCTTTCCACCATGCCCATCTCTTGAATTGCAATGTAACCAAGGCTAACTTTCCGCAGGCAAACTCCTCACAACGCCCTCCCGTCTCCTCAAATTGATCATCCCCCTCACAACCTTGGACAAAAATTCTGACCGGAAATCCATTGAACCCCTCGCCCTCCTCGTCCACCCCCAACAACCCCTCTCTTACCTCGAGCGGCTCATTCAATCCGAGCTACCTATGATCAAGGGCCAGGACGGAAAGGAAGTAATACCCCGGATCTTTTTCCGGGCAGAAGATAGCGTTCAAGGTGAAATTAAACGTGACCCCAGGTACGATGAGGATGTGGAACAGCAAGAAGAAGGCAGCGATGAGCAGATAGTCGATGGGAAGGCAAGGAAGCCTGGGAAAATTAAATCACCCTCACCATCACCAACCGGCGTCCAGGACGGCGAGGCGCGGGACAAGAGCCAGAGAATAGAAAGCGATTTAAGAGGCGGGCCCGGCGAAGGAGGAGTAGAAGTCTACAGCGGAGAAGGCCGTGAAAAGGCTTCCCGCGATAGGGAAATGAGGAAGAAGAAATTCGTTCGGTGGTCTAGTAGCACTGAAATCGGTGATTTTATCCGTGATGCCGCGAGGGGCAAGGAATTCGCTATTGAGATCGAGGGCGCAAATAAGGAAATAAGGGTTGGTGTTCCTAGTTTCAACGATCGGACGCATTACTTGCGAGTCCGGTTACGAAAGACGTCGAAGCAAATAGCCACTCTAGCAAGTGTGAAGAAGGAATGTGACGAACTAGCTCATCGCGGCGCACAAAGGCTGGCGATGGGTGGGTTCGGTGTGCTCTTGGCGTGGTGGGGTGCTATCTATCATATTACCTTCCAGACGGATTATGGTTGGGATACAATGGAGCCGATCACAGTATGTCTTGTCCCTGTCCGCCTCCACCCGTTTAATTTGCTTGGCTTCAAAAGCAATTGTCTCACGTGTACACTACAGTATTTGGCAGGTCTCTCCATAATCATGATGAGTTACCTCTGGTTCCTCTGGCACAACCGAGAAGTCTCCTACCGCGCAGCCCTAAACCTCACCGTCTCTCGCCGCCAAAATAAGCTCTATCAAGACCGCGGTTTTGATTTACAGAGGTGGGAGGCACTAATTGAAGAAGCGAATTCCTTGAGGAAGGATATTAAGATCGTGGCGAATGAGTATGATGTTGATTGGGATGAAAGGGAGGATGAGACAACCGAGGCTGTGCATCATGTGTTGAAGAGGGAGCGGGAAAAGACAATGAAAAAAGATGATGATGAAGCTGATGATGCTGCTACTGAGGAGGAAGATAAGGAGGCAGTAGAGAGACGGGAGCGCAAGGAACAGAGACTGGAACAAAAAGAAGAGAATCAGCAGAAGGAATAAGCCGTTTAGTGGACCATAGCCACATCTAGCCATTCACTAGTAAAACTCATGCTCAGATATAGGGGATGTAGTTATATAAAGATATATTAGACTAAGTAGATGAATATTATAACCACAAGCACGGTATTCGCTTCCCAGTTTCCAATCCGTGGGTGTCCTACTTTATGAGTTCAATATTTGTAGAAAGCACAACCTCGTTCCTAGAGCAATCTAATATGCCTACATATTTTGCCAGAAAAACCTACAATTCACAATCGCGTCCCCACTAGTGACCCCAGCATTGTTTATTGCGAACGGGGAAAAAGGACCAAGTTAAGACTGAGTGGGTTTATATCCAAGTTACCAGAACTACCTAGTATACATACCTTAGGTGTGGCACTTTCTAGTATGTGCCTTGTCATTTCCTGTTTCTGCCATTTCGGAGTGATTTTAAAATGCGAATGAGGTACGCAAACGCTTGCTTTACGATATATATCACATACAACTCCCTTTTATGGAAATACATAGCACCTTGGGCTCTGTCAAACTCCTTGAAGGCAAGTAGGCGGGGGGCGAAGAAACCTTGGATAAACATCATATTTATATACTGAGGTCCTATTTGTCTAGGTAGGTATGAAGGGTTGGCACCTCTTTGATGCGGCCTATGTTTTAAAAACACATAGGTGCTTATGAGCGAGGGGCTTGGCCAGGTTAATATTTCATATTACACTGGGAGAAAGTCTTACAGTAACGACATGACCGAAAAGACAGAAGGAGTGCGAGCTATAGAGGGAAGGTCACGCTGCTGTGGATCACGTGTATGTGCTGTACATATAAAGAAGTTCTTAGATTATGAGACGCCGCTAGTTCTAGTTCCCTAGAACCAGAAGATATCCACCACTAGTCTGTCCACTGTGCCCATGGCCAATCCCAAGCTGAGGCTGTCGTATAGGCTGACTTTCTACACGTCTCTAACAGGATCATAGTAGTCCTTCGAGCTCCCCGGGGGGCATTGAAGATAGCTCTCACCACCCTGCATATAGCCTTGCGTGCTTGTGCCACTGGTCCCGTAGGTACCAGATGGAGACCCTGTGGTCTGTCAGCATGCACTCATGGTTTGGCTGCTTATTTCAGCATCAGCTGCAAAGCCATGTCGAGGCTAGGCACAAACCTTGTGTGGTGTGGTATTGTGGGGTATTTTGACCTTCCTGCCGTCAGAACTTTGTACTAACAAGGGGAATGGTACATCGTCCGATGGTCGAAGCCGAGGTTATTAAAAGCTACAAAGCAATCCCATCAAGGATTAAATTTCTAGACGTGGCGGTAATAAAAGTGAAACTAACCATAAGCTGTGTAATTCGAAGTATGATGCGACATCTGAGCTTCAGGATAAGGCTGACTTGTATTATTGGTCCCCATTGGCCAATGGCTTGACTGATCGCCATCTGTTTTGGCGGAATTCTTGTTCCTGCCATCTCTATACCGAAATTTGTGGTACAAAAACCATCTGGCGATCCAGTTTGGGCAATCACCCGGCGCGGCAAGGTTCCAGTAATACGAGGTGTGTGCATTTCCAGATCGGGAGAGATGGATCATTGCCTCATCCTTGGCCTTCTCGTTTATGTCACTCCAGTCATATGGAGGCTGTTGCTTGCCATTGTGCTTGAGGTGGCGCTTGTCCTGGGTTAGCCACTTGTAGACATCATCGGTTTCCTTCTATGATGGCGGCAATAATCAGTAAATACTTTGGAATTGACCGAAATCTAAAGATGAGCATTAGATCGCACAACAACGCTTACCGCCATCATGGAATATGTAGTGGGCGCCAAGTTGAGATGCGTCATTAATTCCTCTTTCCTCTGGCTCATGGCTAAAGGAAGAAGTTTGCCGGACATATCGATAATAGGTTCCTTGGGGTTTAGCTCAAAAATCGGAAGTGTGCAGAAAATGATGGGCAGTGGGGGGTTTAGTAGGATAAGCCGCAGGCCGGAGTTTGCCCACCTAAAGAGTGGGCCTATCTTGTTATCAATAGAGATATCATTCATCTCGTGGGTTGGCCTGGCCCCATGCTCACCATTACCCCTGAGCAGGTTACGGAATAGGAGGAGAACAAGGAACTTGCATGTCTGCATATGCTTCTACAGACTCTTGGGATCCTTGGAAGACTTTGAACACCCAATTAGCGTGTGTCATGTTTCTCTTCGCCGCATTTCTGGTTGCTTTTTGACCGTCAATCCCCCTGCTCTCTTAGGTCAAATAGAGTAGAAATTTTATAATAGGCTAAGGAGGACGTGCATAGGTGTAAATTTAGGTATTGCAGACCGGCACACGTACGAGAATTCAAGGAGTTAACGGGAAAGGCACTAATAAAAAACGTGGGGGTATAAAATATCGCTAAGAATTCATACAGGATGCACTACAGAGTACAGCAACGAGGAGTTGGACAAAAGTCTTTCTCGATTCCCCGGCTCCCCGGCTCCCCGACTCCAGATGAGATACCGCATCCAATCTCCAGGTAAAGCCTACTCGAGGGTATGTCTTTATTGAAAGCCTGGAATACTTGATAGCGGCTCTCGGAACGGAAGACACGACAGAGTCTATGAATGGGCCAGAGAAAGTGATAAATGCAGACGTAAAATATAGGGTCAATAGAAATAGTGATTGGGCCTCGACTATACCAGGAAACCCGCGTCATATGAATCAAGTGTGTGTCCAGAACACAGCTTCTGACATTGGGGGATTCATTTTGCGGTACTCTTAGCTGGCCACGACTTGGATCGAATCGCCGATGAAATGATTGAGATTAAGCTACCTATGTTCCGAGCAGGGGAGGGACGGCTAGTAAATCATGCGGAGTGCAGAACTATAAAGTGATTGGGCAACAGAAGGGTGCCAGCCTAGCTGCATGTCCCAGCACTGAATGAGCGAGGTGGAATGGAACGTTCCCTCGCGGTCGGCATGCAGTACTCCATACCTGGCTGGATTCTTTGGCGTAATTCAAAGGATATAAGTAGTTGGAGGCAACAAGTTCCAAAAAAGGAACTAGGTTGGTCCTAGTAGTGACCCGACAAAAATAAGATGGGCTGCGAGGGCTGTTCCCCAGGGCTAGAGGATTGTACGTCACCCAACTACTTCGGTACTTTCAAAGCAGAGCTCGAATGAAGACTGGGACAAGGGCAAGTGCATGGTAAGAACCGCTTTGAATAGGGGGAACAGCGAGGCATCTTTGTACCCAGAGACCAACGGTCCATAGACGGCGTCATGCAATACACCCATCAACCTCGCTCCAATGGAAACACACACTAGTAGCACCACTGGAGCCCTAAAACCCCCGCAAGAAGTTGTAAGGCACGAAACGCCCGCCAAGGATATAGCACTCCTTACTTCAGGACAAAGCACCTTGTAATTTTAAACGCCTGTACAGTACGTACTTACGCCGATGAACCTAGGGCAGCACGAGACGGCCAGAACCGGCTAGAGCGACAAAGTGAAGTGTCTTGGGGGGAACCGGCAATGACAGTGGTGGCCTTAGGGGATATTCTCTCTCTCAGGCGCCATGTGCTTCAACAGCAGCACTATTCATGGATATTTTTAAGACTATCAAGTGGAATCAGTCTCCTGTCTGCACAGAATGGTGTTATTTTAGAGGAGACTTATAAGTTATGCCCTCCCAACGGGACTTGGCCCGCAACCTTAACTAGGCTGATCACAACCGTACTGGGGGGCGATAAGGAGCATGCGTGGTACGACTTTAGCAGTCGTAACTAGGTATGCAACGCCGCCTGCGTGGGGTGGCTTTGGGCGGGCGTTCGTTCAACGGTCGACTCGGGAGCTGCCGGCGCGATACGAGAAACATCAAGAGACTGCCGGGTCGCGATGCTGGAGGCGCGGCCACAGATGTACAGTAACAGGTATTATGCGTAGAAGAGGACGACGAGGAACTGGTGGAAGATGAAGAGTTGCTAGGTTAGTATCTCCTGGTAGGTACGAAGCCTGCATTACGCCCACGTGCCCTATTATGAGGTCACGTTTAAGCTGGCTTCAAAGGGGCGCTAAAATACTGGTGACGTTCCGAGCACAGCAGAGTACAGTAAGTAGCAGGTAATCAAGTACTTGCATGAGTACTCGAGAAGCGCCTGTCCTTGACTCGTATGACTATTTTGTTTACATCCCTCGTACATACCACACTTCACTCCTTGGTCGAGTCGAGACAAAACCCCCCCCCCTTCTCCTCCTCAACTGGCGTTTGCTTGTTTTACTCTGCTGTCAAGCACACAGCACACAATGGCGCCTGCGCCGGATATGGTGCGTCTTCCCAATGGACAGAGCCTGACCGTCATCCCCGTTTTTGGCGGCTTCTTTTTCAAGGCCAACGATCTCAACCTGCATCCCAATATATTCCCCGCAGGCTGGACTGTGATCCTCCAGTCTGAAGATCCTACTTCCGACGACCCCGAAGCCAATGCCGACGCTGAAGGGGGCGAGCTTCATGCCACCCCTCCTCCCACACAACGTCGCCATATCCGACCCTTCAGGCAACCCACCTTGCAAAATGACAGCCTCTTCCTCTCCTCGATTTCGAATCCCTCCAGCAGCGACTTCAATGCCCCCACAAGCCCCACGCGGCAGATTGCGATGATGCTCTGGGCGTCGCTATACTGGTACTTTCATCAGCCAACCCCAAACCTTACCCTCAGTACTACGGCCTCCAAAAACACTCCCGATAGCGGGAAGCCAAGGGGAGAATGGCGCATAAATATTAAACGTGAGGGCGTGTTGCGTGGCCGAAACTTACTCCCGAAGCTCGAGCGAATGGGATTGATCACATCGGATGATTCCTCTGTGGGACTAAATCCTGAGGAGAGTACTCCTGGGGGTTGGTCAGAGATGTATACTTCGAGGAGAGCTTTTTGGCAGCTACCGGGCAAGCTCTTTCTATTCACCCTCACACCAGCGGTGGGGTCACCTTTTGCAGGGTCGCCCTACGGCAGCCGTCCAAGTTCGCCCGTCCGAACTGAACAATGGAACAACTCATCAAGTAAACCGGAATCATCAGAAAATGGCACCCTAGCTCCAGGATTGTGGTCTCCCTCAGCCCCAGGTCCATTTGCATCAGGCAGCCACTTACCAACATATTATCCACCCCCGCCCCTCCAATACACTGTAACATCTGGCGTACGCCATCCAGTGCGTCCAAAGCCCCCCCGGCAAGGAGAGGTATTCTATACCCGCTATATCCCAAGCGTAGGCCAATATCTTTCCTTCCGAGTTGCTTCATTATCTCCAAAACCTGTTGCCTATCTTGGACCTACAGCATTACACAGTTCAGCAAAGCACCATAGTCACGGCTCCTCGTTATCATCTCTCCCATCGCATATTTCCCAGGCTTTTATTTCGGATTCTACAACCCCTACTCGAGCAGCTGACACAGGGAATACAGCCCTTATGAGTGACCTTCAACTTCTAAACAGGTGGATGAACAACCCTCGAGTAAGCAGTTTTTGGGGCTGTTCAGGTCCTGAGAGTACCCAAGATGCCTTCCTCCGGGCAAATCTCACCTCTGCTCACTCTTTCCCCGTCATCGGTCTATGGGACGGGAAGCCCTTTGGTTATTTCGAAATATACTGGGTTAAAGAAGATGCGCTTGGCAGGCTTCTAGGAGACGAGGCTGCAGACTACGATCGTGGTTTTCATGTTCTCGTTGGCGAGGATGAATTCAGAGGTAAGCATAAAGTGAAATGCTGGGCCACGTCCATAGCGCATTGGGCCTTTATGCAAGATTATAGAACGAATGCCGTCGTTCTGGAGCCGAGAGTTGACAACGAGAGGTAAGTCATCTTGATCTCAGATATGCGTCAGTTTAGAATCTAATTCACATTATGCAGGTTTATCTCGCATTTACATGAGTCAGGGTACTTGAAGGAGAAAGAGGTAACATTCCCGCACAAGCAAAGCGCCTTTGTGAAGTTGAGGAGGGAAAACTTCGAGGCTCCCATCTTGTGATGCGCCTTTTCCTCCAGACAAAAATCATGACAAACCCAAAGTGCGAGTCATCTCTCTGCACATTTTGTGACATGATACTGGAACAAGGATTCTGCCTATCTAATGGACCCTGTCCGAGGAGGAGCCAGATTCTCCTTTGCTCAAGTTATGTTCAAACACATCTATGCCTGCAAAAGCTATCGTGCTCTATTTCCACCCTTGAGCCTTTTGGATACCTTTCCACGTATACCTTAGTTAGAGCAGACATATCATGGGCCACATCCTCTCCAGGTTTTCTAGCTGGGAGCGCTTCTCTTTCTATCTCATACCCCTCCATCTAGGTAGTGGCGCAACATTATATGTACGACCTAAGAATATCTTCATCCGTATCGACGCTAGTATTCTAGGGTACAAGAGGCAGCAGAAACGAGAAGTAACTTTTGTCGGCTGGGCTACCGAATGCCAGTTTGTGGTAACCGTTGTGGAAAGTGGCACGGGCTACCTACACTCCTTCGTAGTTTCATAAGGTTGACGGATAGAAGAGATTCCTCCAAGTAGTTGCTGCCCTGTATTTAAAGTAATATATCATGTCTAGATTAAAAAGGCACCATTTTTCTTCCTCAATCACCCGCAACACTTTAGTCACCAAACTAAAATACGTTTCATATCAATATCAGCATTTCCCCCGGCCTCGCCCGTTGTCTGCGTTGTCTTCACTAATTTTCCTGCATATTCAGACTCACCAACTGAGTCCAGTCTTAGCACCCGATGCAGTGCCCCGGTCATAGATATTTAGCGCTTCAACTACCTAACCGGGGCACTTGCTCTAGATGTGAGCCAAGTTATCCGATTAAAGTGTCTCTGCAACAGCAGATTGGATTGGATACTTGTCATAAGTCTCCGCCATCTCACAGTTGTGAAGTGGTCGGCTGGTGATGGGAAAGCGAGATCTACAAGCTTATATTTTATTCTTGTAACAAGATCCCACTCGAGGGAGGTATTTGTAGAGAGGCGTACATAAAGCATTACATATAATGGCCCTGGCATGGTACTTATAGTGCGTATCTATTTGGGTTTACGGATAACCACAGCGTACTGGCCATCTGCTCTGCTTCACGGTGATCATCTCAACCGGCATGGTTTGGGCTTCGCCTGAAAAGTACAAGTCTACTCCCCACCGGACTTTGGCGATGATTTAACTCCGGCTTCTCTTAGCTGACTGCCATTCCACAATCTCCTAAACCGATCAAAGGCTCGTGAGGAATTAATCCGAGTACTGTTACTCAACATATTATATTTGGCTTTCCCGCAATCGTACGCTTGTAATTCATATTAATCGGACGCATCTAGAAGGGTTCGAGATAGTTATGTTTGATTTTATAGTGCTTGATCATGTCGACATAGACATCTCAGTCTTTGATGAGCGACTTGATAGTGCTTACGGGTATAGCCGATGTTCTTAAATCCTTTCTCACATTAAGGATGTTCACACTTCCATCGTCGGCCTCGGTGTTGAACCTGCCCATGTCTACGAATAGAAACTGAACTTGTCAATATCTTGCAACGCCTCAGATATGGACATTAAAATATTATGCTTCAATGTCTGTCTTTTTGATGACGGGACAGCTTCTCATAGATGAGTACCATCTCTCCCATTCTAGTTCTGGACATGGGTACTTCCGGCCTTGATACTTAGGGTCGCAGTGATGGTTGGCGGTGGCTTGTTTTGAGAATACTTTATCACAATCGGGATGTTTGCGGAGATATGTTCAACCACAATGCTCCCAAGAAAATTCTTTCCAGTTATACCGCCTATTGAGTAGATCATGTGGAAGTTGTGGCATCTAGGGAATTTTGCACGTAGTTTATTGGTTGCTTGGGTAGTGTTTCTTGTCTCATTAACTGTTGGATTAGCTGGAATTAGTCTTCACCGTCTTCTTTGTGGCAGTCATGGTACCGTGTTGGGAGTTGTGATGAAGCGGCAGACGTCAGTGCTGCTCACACCCAGAGTTAAAAGTAGAGAAACAACGGGCTCCAGAAGACAGACTGGAATTCTGCCAAAATCAGCTGAGTTATTAGCTACCGAAGTAAGGAACGTAAGGTACTTGTTGCGCACACTCTATACTATCTATACCTTGGTAAGGGGCCTCCTAGGCGTAAGACTTTTGTCCTATTCGGCTAGGATTTAATTTCTAAACAGATCATCGTAACTTCTACTACTATACCCCACTCTTTACCTTGTTGGAGAACCACTACAGCGCTCCTCGTCTTCGGCATAACTGTGATAAGTAAAGGGGGAAGGCTCTCAGCAGCTGATAAAAGATTAAAAAAATGCCAGATAAGAACAGGTAATAGCTGTATTACTCAATATAAGAAATACGGTACGTCGAATATCCTTATAGCGAAGTTTTACTGTTCGACATGCAACAAAACTCACAAGACCCTCGCTAACGCTACGCGAACGCTCGCTAACGAGCTAGAAGGGAGAGAAATGTGCGATGTGCAACAAATCGACGCCACGCTACGCCTGCGCGAACGCTCGCTAATGAGGCGAGGGGAGAGCGAAAGTGCGATGTGCAACAAACAAATCAACGCCACGCGAATGCTCGCTAACGAGTCGAGAGGGGAGGAAATGTGCGATGTGCAACAAATCGACTAAAACTGATAGCCAAAGTGATGGCGCTAACAATTCCGGGAGACAGATGCAACAAGTCAGTTAATACTGTAGCTACTACAAAGTATTCGGCGCTATCAATTTCGCGTAGAGGAGTGCGATGTGCAACAGGTCGGTTAAATCTTAATACTGTAGCCATTATTCGGGGCTAACAATTTCGGGTAGAAGGGTGCGACATGCAACAAATTGGTTAAACGTAAGACTGTGGCTCTTCCACTGTTCTGTGCTAACAAATCCGGGTAGAAGGGTGCGATGTGCAACAAAAGAACTTAGTAAGCAGTTATCCTGCTCTGGAGTACATACCTTAGGTAAGGTAGAGAAGCAATCAAGAGCTGTGTAGCGGACATGACCTAAAACTTGAACTTGCCTTATTGGTAATTGCTGAGGTGAGACGGATAAATCTTCTCTAAATAAGCCAGAACGGCCAAAGACAAACATAAAGACGTTTGCTTTCCGTTTATATTTGCATTTTCAAATCCTCCGCAACGACATCCAGATAATAAGCCACTAGAGGAAGTGACTGTTATTTAACATTTTTGGGGCTTCATAGCCTTCGAATATCCGAATGTGTGGAAATTGACGGTTAAGCAAGCTGGCCTAGACCCGAGGTTGGTAAAACTTGGCAAGGAACGCCCAGGTGTCCGATCATTCCGAGGATTTTGCCAAAACGGCAAGTCGAGCGGCACATGATGGGGTAACATTGTATAATGAGTAGTAACAAGTCGGAAGCCACGGGCGAATCGAGTACGACAAGTATTTAGGTATGGCAATCTGAGATGATATCCTCCCGCTGGCGAGGGGATCAATCATTGGTTGGAACGGGCTGGACTGCACCGAGCCTGATAGACACGGAGGCCAGCTCATCTTGAAAACGAAACCCCATCTCTTGTGATCCAAGCCGTGGTGGATGAGATTTGATAGAACGATGCTGGCATCTTCCCCGCTAAGCCTAGCCGCTTGGGGAGTTCTAGCTGATAGCGGGACAATCAATGTATCCCATGCTAGCGATACTGCCAGCGGCGGCCAGGAGAAAATGTAGTCAATATGTCCGTTATTGGTAGAGACATAGTGGTGGACGTCTTCAAAAACGGTCTTGTATCTCCAGCTCTAAGCTAGCGAGTTTAGTCGCGATTCGAAAGGGATACTGACGCTCCTTTGCTTTTTGGCATCGATGAAACCCACAATGGGTTATCAGTGTGCCTCAAAATAATAGCGAACTCTCCTTGCATTGTATCATTAGCATTTAGTGGACTTCTTAATCCCCCAAGCTCGATATCTATACGCGGCCATGCACAAATCTGATCACCTTTTCTTCCAAACTTCAACTTCTGTTTTCTCCTTTACCAACTTTGCCAGAACGTGGGCTTGCTGAATTCCCAGAACATCCCCAATGGACAGCAAGTTTTTAACAACAAAACATCGAACCTCATCTGTCGCGATGTCCATGATGCCGGCAAACCAAAGAGGCCACATCAGAAATGACCCGCCTACCATGGGAACTGGAGGTAAATCGGTCCCGGATGGATCCCGCATAATACGATCTAGCGAAAGCCCTCGTGGTGGACTACCTCGTCCAATATGTTGGGGCACAGTGGCTAGGATATCGGCCTGTAGCTCATGTAATGTGTCCGTCGACACTTGGTATTGAGCACTGTATTCCGGCTCAGCAAAAATCGGCGGTTTGGACGAGAAGCCATCAAGCAAAGCTTCTCGGATGGTTTGATTCACCATGATCCTCTGTATTCGCAAGGCGTTCCACATGAGAGCCATCCAGTAGTCGTAGTAAACATGGTATCTGCCATTAAAAATGACATCCGAATCAACATCCGTGAGAACTAGCTGATACTGCCATCCAGGATAGGGATCCGTGGCCATCGAGAGAAGTACGCCATCTAGCTCTAAGGCTTTGGAAAGAACATCCTGGGGACCCTGCAATATTCCTTCTCGGATACTAGCACGGAGGTCTGCATATTTCAACATAGACTCTTGGATTTTGAATCCCGGTCCTCCATCGAAGGAGGATAATTTAAAAGCCTCATTCATAAATTCCCGAATATGATCCGGAGCACGCTTCGACTGATGAATACAATTAACCAGTAGACCAGCGGTCACTTGCACCATCATTCGCCGGCCTCCAATTGTTTGCACTTGGCCCGGTCCGCGTAACTTGATCACAGCAGCTGCGCCATTGAGGTGATCTATCCAATTCTTGAGGGAGTCTTGTTTACATCCCGTCACCGTCTCGAAAAGGGCAAGGATCTCAATTGCCATCAACGTGCTGTCCTTTTTAACATCGTCAGGATGTCGAAGAGCGGCGGTAGTGAGCTGGATAGCCTTCATATATTGATATCGAGCATTCTTCATGAGCGAAGGAGCACATGCTCTATGTGAATATGACGCTAGACCAACCGCCTTCATGCTTGCTATGAGGGCTTCGTCCAAGTCCTGGGCTCGGCTGAGATCAAGCACACGGGTGAAATGTCCCTTGCTGGGACCGTTCACATCCATAATGAAATTAAAGGCGAAGAACGAAGTAGCTCGGTCCTCGAAGTTCATGGGCAGAGTATAGGAGGCTGATAGTGAAGAACGGCCCTGCTGGGGGTCATTGATAGGGACAAGTTCCTTGCTTAGAGGACTGACGGCAGAGACCAAGGGTAAGGGGGCTGAAGCCTTCAGTCTGGCTTCCATTGCTTTGAACTTCCGAGCCACGTTGGAGCTCTCATCACGGAAGATCAACTCCCCTGGGGCCCTATACCCAGGACAGACCCTCTTAGCTTTCTTGCACTGTGTGCACCCTTCCGGCACTTGGTCACACTATAAATTGTCAATGAGAGTGCTTATATCAGATTTGTGGCGCTTCCCTCCAGCATAGGGGCGTCCCAGCCGCCCAAAATATGAGTTACGGCTTGCACCTACTCTTGTCTTTCGCGCTCTGCATGCATGACAGCCTCCAGATGGCTTCCCGCAAAAGACCATGCTTACAGCTGTTACAATTGCCTTTTAGGGCAAAACTGACCCCGATTGGAACAGGTACCTCCTTCACCGCGGAGTGCTCTTCCTAATGTGGACAGATACGGAGCACCTCTACCACCGATCGAAGGTGCCGCGCTGTGTCATGAGAGTCTGGCAGCTACTGGGACCGATATTGGTGATAAGCTGGTACTCTCTCACAGAGTCACAGGATCGTGCACGGGTAATGCTGTTTCCGCAAAGGTGGCCCAAAAGTAGAAACATCTGAAGCTGGAGAAGTTGGGTGGTTATGAAATGACGGTCACCCATACGTACGCTGTAAGTGGTCTGTAAGTGGTTAGTCAGGTTGCTCGGGTATCCCCGCAGCACTAACTGTATTTGGGTCACCAAGAAGTTCACCAATCAACGTCGTTCGGAGGGTCTATCCGATTAGTCATTGCGTAGGTAAACAGTATTTTTGTTTTTGTTATTTATTCTATACAACTTTCCTGTGAAAGCCACCTTCAACTTCTTCGTAACAACAGCAAATGAGCGACAACAATGCTATCAGCTACAATGGATAATTGGCGAATTACCGCGGCTACCACACAAACGGTGCTACCGAGTCTATAATAAGTGCTCTCTGCAAGTACCGAGGTTGTTTCAGGAGCAGCTGAATCGGGAATCACAAGCTGGCTCCGGGTGTGCAGCATCAAGTGATTGCTACGTTTGAGATACTGCTCGCAATTATAATATCTACGCTACGCTCCACTTTCACTATCTCGGTATATTTGTAGCAACTACTGCTCTAAATTCATTTCATAGTTACTTACTTTTTCTTCAGAGTTGGTTTATTTCATTGTTACCAGCCCGCTTCCTATCCATTCCGGCACGGGTCTTATCACTATAAGCATTCACGATCGCCTCTCCCTCGTCAAACCATGTCTTGCGCTGTCACGTTTCATTCTTTAAATATATACAGATCAGCTTCGCTCTCCGAATAGGACCCAAAGATCTAAGAGTGTTTTCGATCATTCAAATCATCAATTCCCAGGTTTCTAGGAGTCTTGTACATTAGCAATTAGATTATACCAACTGTTGTGCCAAGGATAAATCTAGTCAAAGCAATCAATGCCGTTGCTGTTGGAATTAGATATTGGATTGGGCCTATGGTTGGAGTTCGGTTTCATCATCAACTTCCCATTAATTTCATTAGCCTGATACTCGCACATTTCGTGCTTCAGCCAGAACTACTTGGAACAAATAAGTGAAACTTACATGCCGGGCAAATATTCCGGGGCCTTACGGCAAGGCTATTCACAGCTGAATCCAGGGGCTAGCCGTTCTTGGTATTTAGCTCGTGTATTATGGTTCTCGCCATGACTTGGGCGGGCAGTCTCATACCACCCTTGATTGTCTCCTAGGCCATCATTCTATTGACCAAAGGTTACGTTCTTATCATCAGATTTAGCATGTGGGAGAGCCCTACTGCTCCCAGGATCTCTGCTCGGAAGTCATTCTCCTACCCAAAAAGCAATGAGCTCGCCGAAGCAACTATGGACGCGTAATGCAGGAATCGTGATGTATATCAATTGCGTCAAATGGCAATGGACGGGGTATTTTGCTTCGAGGGTCTTCTCTTTGCGTTAGTCCACCACTTTTCTGCTGGCGCAACCGGCAGAAATCCCTTCGACTACCTGCCCGGACTCAAAAGTATATTCCTAGCTCTCTCATGCATTTCAACTTCAGTTCCTAACCACCCCAACACCACGTACGAATCGCTATAAAACAGATCAGAAGAGCCTTGGTTCGCTATGTATGCCTACAACGGCTTCTCTAAACATTATCTCCGGTCGATTTGGGCATAGTCGGACAACTCGGCGTAACCATCCTCGCTATCGTTCTCAACAGCCAACCTCCTTCGCCCGTACTATATGCTACCGCTCGCCCTAGCTAGAACTAAAATTCGTTTTATGCCTTGTGCTCTCCTCGCATCACCTACTTCCGCCCCAGCCTTGCGTCCATTGTAGTTAGCCCTGCCCGTCGGCAGGAACACTTGAACAATTTTTCCACTAAAGGCTTTAAACAGTAGGTACGGTCCCCACGTGTTCTTCGGGGGTTGAAATCTCTTTTACCTCATTAAACCCTGGCTCTTTTAAGCTCACATCGTTTCCGAAAGGGCTGCAGATTGAGTTTGAAAGTGATGCGGGGAGTCGCTTTGCCATGGAATTCGTTGCTCTCGCTACGTTGGGGTGGCTAGGGCGTGTGGCCATTTGCGGGATGGGAAATGTAAGGATTTAGAAGGAAGGAGGAGCAAAACTGCAGAGGGGAGTTGTTGACGTGGGTTTGCGCAAATGGGAGGGGGAATCCGGTTAGGAGCAACCCCAGAGCTTTGCATCGAATTTGTTCTAGTGCATACTTGTACAGTGATAAATACGCCTCATCCTTAATATATCTGCTATGTAATAAAGTATATGTACTGTCACGACTTATCTCGGAACCTCTGATACCTCCCACGTAGTCGCAACACTAATACCACCCAGCTGTACATTCTCGGGCACGCCCACACCCGCGTTTACATTTACCTGGTTCTTTCCAACCCGCCCGTGTAATGGCTTCAAGTCATCCATCTCCATTTCCCCTTGCTCCTCCTTCAGTCCACCATGGGACTCCGCAGGAGCCCGCTCCTTACTTTTATCCATACTCTTCACGTCCTCATTCTGCGATTTCGGCTCCCAACCTACTTTGACCCTTCGTAAAACCCGTCCATTGCTGCCAGTTTGAGCCACTTCCCATTTCCACTTAGTTTTCTTGAAGCCGCGGTCTTGGAGGAGTGAGACGAGCACTGGGGCGTTGGCAACGGCTGTTGCGATGAGCATATCTATGGAGGCGAGGAGGGTGCGGCGTGGTTGGAGGCCATGTTGGTCGATGACTGTGGGGATTTCTGGTTGGAGCTGGTATTAGTACAGCGGTTGGGATAAATGTTATGGGAGGACGGTTAGGAGAGATAGGATATGAGCCAAAAATTAATCCGAGACTGCACTCGTTCAAGTAAAGATAGTAACCAAATCGATACAGAGTGGAGGGGAAAATAGACGGCATATCAAGAATGTGTCAAACAAACTCGGTGCACTTACGGTACAGGGTAAATGCTACACTAATCAGCGGTAGAGAAAGGCGAATGAATATATGGAATTTCCTGCAGTTCCTTTTAGCCTCTATTCAATCCGTTCATCCAATAGTGCAAAAAGGAGCTTTTGAAAGGGTGTAAAAGTCATACTGTGTTTTTGGTAACTGGGACTTCAACACCATCGGGAGGGGGAGAACCACAAGCGCTAGATTCGTCAGGATATTTAGAATACCCATGACGAGTAGAAAAGCATATCCTTGTCGACATTGTGGTCCCGGATCTGGGACGACTTGCCAATAGTGCGTAAACGGCTGGCAAGCTGACAGCACGCTGATGATGGTAGCTATATATGTGACAACCAGGAAGATGTGCAATGAGCGGAAGATGGTCCGGCGGGAAGATTTCCAGGTGGAGTGGGTAAGATTGGAGAGGAAGACGCTTGTGCTGTATTTTATCGCCCAAAGACTAATCTTGTGAGTGCTGTTTTCTGGGCTTCCTCATGGGATCAAGATAGTTGACTTACTACGTGACGTACATCACCCGCGCGGCTAGCACCAGTTGGCTTCCTATTTCCCGCTGGTGGATCCTCTCTGGCGACAATGATGTACTGATGGTGTTGTTAGTTCCGAAGAGGAGGACGACGTGTACGAAGGCCATCCGTATCAGGAGTGGCACGATGGCCAGAAGCATAAGCCCATCTTCAAGGTATATCTTCTCCGTCCTGACATATCGCCCGATAATTCGAAATAATATGGCGGTGATTGCATAGATCGTACACCACTATATAAGGAGTCAGGGAATATTGCTATGATAATTGAGGAAAACGGCAGTCGAATATCGCGAGCCATCTTTGAGAAGTGGGAAGTGCAGTAGGCACGTTAAAGCAGTTATCAGATACGAGAAAAGGGAAGGAGATGTTAACGGTGCTCAAGCCCACATACCCAGCTCATAATAAGTATTGGTTTGTCCTGCCGAAATTCTCGAGGCTCAGGCGCCTCAGGAGCAAACCGTCGAAATATCTCCATGTCAGCTTAAACAGCAATCTGGTGGTGAACCTCGAGGCAGAATTGTCGCTCCAGCGCCGTCGTGGGCGAAAGATATGGAGGGAGAAAGAGCCATGGGGTTTCTTGAAACGGGCGAAAAAGGACGGAAAGCGTCCACCGAGCTTTCTGGAGTAAACGCTAAACACTAAACACCATGCCATATGATAGACGGCAGTTCTAGATGCAGGGAGGCTTCCATCATTCGATGCTAGCAATCTACACATGGCCTATCAAACCTCCAAGCCCCCAGGGAATTAGCAAAGGGAAAACACCATCCTCGGCGGCTCGGCGCCACGAGGAGTATCCGAGTATCATAGGTGCCTGGCCCTGGCAGTTACTAGCTGCAGGTTACCAGTTACGTCGTGGTATTTGGGGTTGTGGACATGTGGAAGTTGTGGGGTGAGAATCCCCTGAATATCGGGAATAAGGAACTAACAACACTAAGGTCGTTCTGCGTGTAACATCGCTCGAGCGTACCTTGGTAGGCATGCAATGATAGCGTGCGGCCGTGCCCTATTCGGCCCCGTAGGAGAAATCCGATTAAGGGAATAATAAGCCGATACTCTAATATCTGTGCTCTGTAGGGAGTAGCGAGTAGCGAGTAGTGTGTACTCGAGTAATGAGCGAACCAACTTCACAAACGGGGTGGAACCGAGATAAGTGTTAGATTAAACGCAACAAAACACTATGTTCTAGCAACTTTCAAATTGCTAATACGTACTTGATGCTGGTGCAGTTGCACTTGCAGTTGCAGTTGCTGACGCCAATATAATATGGGTGTTTGTGTTTTATTTGTGGTTCCTGTTGGTGCTAATGTCGGGGTTGGAGACTTGTTTGACGCGGGGGAAAGGGGTCTCAGTTCCGTGATAGCACGAGCCAGCGGCAACCCCAAGTTTGACTTTACGGAGCTGCGGGTTACGGGGCTGAGAGTGTCGAGTACTTTCTCCGTATGCCGGAGCGGACACTGTATTGGGATCGGGATGGGGATGATGATGGGGAGAGTGGTTGGGATGGTTGATAGTGATAGTAGAGGTGCTGTCCCGGCTAATGCAACTGTTGGAACTTGGCAGGTAATACAATAGAGCAGTAGGTGGCAACCAACAAGCAGCACGCAGCAAGTAACAGCCCATCCCCACACATGATGAGGCAGCCATTATTCTACCCAAGTACTCCCAGTCCCAGTGGCTGAATGGTAAAGACAAATAATAATGATTATAATTACAACGACGAAGTACCACCAGCCACAAGCCTACAAGTCAACAACTCGAAACACCCCGGACTCCCAAGTTCCCACACGGGCCAGCCATTGTCATATGTGTTATTAATGGTTGACCTATTGCTCCCTATCAAGTATCAACAACTTCGCAACTTGTCCGCGTCTCAAGCCGGGGTCTGGCGTGGAAGCGAGTTCTTGTTGCACTTGCTGCCGGATCACGTAGACGGTCTAATTCCCATAGGCTCGATCTCGCCGGCGCGTTTCCCCTTCGTCTTGCGCGGGCTCGTTCGTGCCCTTGCACACGCTTTCCACCAGAATGGCATCCTCCGTGCGGAGGCGTATTATGCGTCCGGAATGCTCAAACGTGCTTGGTACTCGGTACCGTTCTCACGTACAGCACCAAAACCAATGAAAGCCACCAAGGTCCTTCTCCGGAGTCTAGCAGTCTAGCACACTCCAGCACCCTCCACGCTACTCGTAGAGTACTACTGATAGACTCCTCCGTACGGAGTACAGGCTACAGTATTAGCCACCCGCAAGCGCGGCGTGGCTGAAGGGTCCACCCATGATGTGATGTGATACCGGCACTACTGGCGATCGGCTGAATCGCCGCACCAACGATGTTGTGCTTGTGGTCGTCTGTGGGGTTGGTGGTTGATTTGCCCTTTGATACCGAGGAAGCGTTTCCCCATGCTCCCGACATGATATTGATATTAGGGGCCCGGGACCAGGCCGTGAGCAATACCAATAGTACAAAATTCTCCGCGTTGCCCAGTCGGACTCCCAATATATCTCTAAGCACCCGCCACAGCCCACTAGGTCGAAGCTGTTCTGTCCGTGGGCTGCTCTAGAGTCTAAATAGTGTCGTCTCTCGAACCTCCACCACTCCTCCTGTCCCCGCTATCAAACCACATCGCCACGTTTTCACAATTTTCCGAGTAACGGTGCCAAGATACATACCTACGGTACTTACGAGTATCGTCGATGCGGTAGTTCACGAAAAAAAAAACCCCCGCCATCACGGCCTCGAGGGAACCCCTCCTACCTGCCTGCCGCGAACCTCTCCATACCTATTTGTTATTGACCCTCCCCCAACGACCCCTTGATCCTCAACGACAAAAACTGTAATGGCGCAAGACGTCAAGCTGGACAACTTCTCCATAACAGAGATGGAGACCACTAAGAGCTACGCGGATTCGTCCTCCGCCGATTCCCCTCTACTTCGGCGGCCGGAAGGTGCAAAGGTCTTATCATCGAAGGTATTTGACAGCTTCCGAAGTGGTCCTCCTCGCAAGGTCGCGGAGCCTTTGGTTGGCGAGAATGGGAGGGTGTTCGATGCGCAAGCTGCAGCATTCAACACTGCAAACTCGCCTCTGGTTAGGAAGCTGAAAGGCCGACATCTTCAGATGATAGCAATTGGCGGGTCGATAGGTGACTATTCAAACCACGCCTCGAATGGGGAACTATAATCGCTGACAGCAAAACCCGCTAGGTACTGGTCTATTCATCGGCTCGGGCGAAGCTCTTGCCACCGGAGGGCCAGCGTCGCTCCTAATTGCCTTTATTCTCATCGGCGGAGTATTGTTTTGCACCGTGCAAGCTCTTGGGGAGATGGCTGTCACATTCCCCGTCGCAGGCTCATTTTCCGCCTATGCTACCCGATTTATCGATCCAGCATGGGGCTTCGCGTCCGGTTGGAATTATGCAATGCAATGGCTGTTCGTTATGCCACTAGAGATAATGGCAGCATCGATCGTTCTGGAGTTTTGGTCATTGCCTATCCCTGGATGGGCTTCTATAACGGTGTTTCTAACCCTTATTATCTCGATTAATTTATTCGGAGTCAAGATTTATGGCGAAGCTGAATATTGCTTCTCTATAATGAAAGTCACAGCTGTCATTGGGTTTATGTGAGTAACTAACAACAGCTGAACAAACAAAGGCTTCATGTAACTAACGATATTTGCAGAATTCTGGGCGTAGTGATAAACTGTGCTGGCACACCAGATTCGGGTTATATCGGTGGCAAGTACTGGGCAGATCCAGGGGCATTCCACGGTGGCTTCAAAGGCTTCGCCAATATTCTCGTCACCGCTGCCTTCTCGTTCGCTGGGACAGAGCTCGTTGGTCTCGCAGCAGCAGAGACGCAAAACCCCAGCCGAGCGCTGCCTACAGCCATTAAGCAAGTATTCTGGCGAATTGCAGTCGTATGTTCCTCCACAAGGCGGCCCGAAATATCGTCAACTGACTGGAATGACTAGTTTTACGTTATCTCCATCGCCATCGTTGGTTTGCTGGTCCCATACACCAACCCACGGTTGCTAGGCCGCAATGATGTGGACAGCAAATCGTCTCCTTTCATAATCGCCATCACCGACGCCGGGATTCAAGGCCTCGACTCGGTTATGAACGCTGTAGTAATGATTGCTGTTCTGAGCGTTGCCAATTCCTCCATGTAGTAAGTACAGGCCAGCCCTATTATCCCGAAAGGGATCTACTCCCCACCGTCCAAAGCCCAACCAGAATACTAATATTTCTCTCCAGCGGCGCAACACGCACCATGCAGGCACTCGCGGAACAGGGCCAAGCACCACGTATCCTCGCCTACGTCGACCGCGAAGGCCGGCCGCTAGTCAGTATCTTAATCGCGTCTCTGGTCGGCTTGCTCTCCTACCTCTATGTCTCACCTATCCAAGGGCCCGCCTTCACCTGGCTTCTTGCGCTCTCGGGCCTCTCCTCTATATTCACGTGGCTCTCTATCTGCTATGCACACATCCAGTTCCGCAAAGCTTGGGTCTTGCAAGGTAACTTATTAACTGACCTTATCTACCGCTCACCAATCGGCACCAAAGGGTCATGGGTCGGGCTCGTCAGCCTGCTTCTAATTCTCGCGGCGCAGTTCTGGGTCGCTGTGGCGCCTGCGGGATCTAGTAATGTCAGGGGTGTCGGTGAACGCTTCGCCAACTTTTTCGAGGCGTATCTGGCTATGCCTGTTGTGCTACTATTTTATGTTGCATATAAGGTTTGGTACAGGACGAGGTGGGTGAGGGTTAACGAGATAGATTTGCGAACGGGGAGGAATGAGTTTGAGAGTGAGTTGATAAGGCAACGGTGGAGGGAGGATAGGAGTGTGTGGCCGAGGTGGAAGAAGATCTATAGGACGCTCTGTTGATCCCTTACTCTGTATCTGATTTTGCCCGGTGCTAATGTATAAAAATATACCCCCGAACATATTATTAATATACTATCTCTAATCGCCTAAGAGCACAGTATTCCGTATGTAGCAGGTCAATAGATAAGGAACCTACTATACCTACTGTACCTACCTAGGTATGGAAGGCACCACGATATGGGGTCGGTTACCTACCGAAGGTAGATAAGCCACTTCTACCAACGGAGCTAGGAACCTAACGGCCCACGAGTCACGGCTACCACCTGCATACCTAGTAGCCGTCAGCAGCGTGGCTTGTTACTTCGTATATATCAGAACACCACTTCCAATAGGATAAGCCACGCTTGTGCGAAATATTTATCTTCGATAAGCCCCGCAACATACATAGGTACCTATGACCTCCTTAATTACGTACTCCGGCTTTTCCTTGACTTGAAAGCGCCAAAGCCAAAACTAACTATCTTTTTTACTTCTAGTTATTGGTTGGACATACTCTTCGGTGTATCTCCGCATGATACACATAGACCCTTTGCATCCATGAAGGCGCTGGAGATGTCCGTAGCACCAGTAGACGCCACATAGTTAGTTCTAAACTTCCAGGACGAAAATGTGTCATCAGAGTCAATGTCTCGGATAGTCGGAGAACTGGCGGGCCGCTATGAGCTAGGCTACAAGGCGAAGGAACGGCACGGACTATATGATAACTACTAAGGAGGCATCAAGCGCTGATGCCTTAATTCTCTGATTGCCCAAGTCGGACAATTACGCCTTCTTTCCCAAGCCGCCAGTTTAGTCGTTTCAGGTTTGAGGAGTAGGGCTGCAGGACGATTCTCGTTCGAGTATGTTAGGTTATATTGTATCGTATCAACATTATCATTATAATATATACATTTGACGACAGATTTTCAAATGTGTCAGAAGAAGCTTAATACTGTACAGCCTTCCCAAATAACCAGAGAATTCTACCTCGAGATATTCGTATCGCGTGACATCGTATATGCTCATGATAATCTGTATCTCATGCCCAGTAAACGCCCCAATTCATCTAACATGAATTGCAATATACCAGATACATGATGAAGTAACACATGATGATGTATGAAAGTAGAAAAAAGTGAGAAGTATTGCACACCTTAGTACCATACCCTATTTAGAACTTGTATGAAGATGGATAAAACCCCATCAAAGAAATCGAGAGTGAGAACTACTAAATCACTGAAAAGAAAAATTTACAGAAGCAAAATCAAGACCAGCCGAGGCTTGGTCATCAAAAGCTTGAGGAAGAGAAGAATCGAAGAACGCCATGGCGTCGTTCGAGAAACTGGGAGAGAAATGAGAAAAACTGTCATGACCATACATTGACGAGTTAGCAAATGAACCTTGTTCAGAAGCTAGATCGTTAGACACGAAGGCGTCGTTGCCTGTGGCGGCGTAGATGCTGGGAATCGGCGATGTATGAGTGAGGAACGATTCGTCGAAGTTGTTTCCGCCCGATGTTTGTTCGGATATCAAGACCTGATCGTCGAAGTCATTCTGAAGCGGTTCGTCATCGGAATCGTCGACATCCTCCTGCGAGGCTGTGCGGGGGTATTCGGTCGCCTGTTCCTCCACTTCCTTCATCCAGAACTTCAACTCAGCCATGACGGGCAAATCGCCGCCACCTTTCCCAGCACGTTTCTCGCCGCCACTACCCTTAGCAGTCTTGCTTCGGCCCTTAGCCTTTGGCTTGAAATGCGTGCGCCGAAGGTGGGCAGCGGCATTGTAATATGCGCCATATTTCTTTTGCTGACAGCATGCCTTGCATTTCGATAAAGGCACGACAGGTTTGGGGTGACCAGAGGTGGTTGGCTCGATGCAAACCCATTTCTTGACCATTGGCTTGTGCTCTCGGTCCTGATGCCGTCGCAGTTCGTGTTCGCCGCGAAACCCATCTGGGTGGCTCTCACACTGCTTACAAAAGACTCGATCGTGTCTTGGGCGTTGATAGGTAGGCTTCGAGATAGCAACTTTATCTTGTGAGCCGTCTTCCGATTCGAGTCGATTGGTCGCTCGTGACGAACTTGTTCGAGACATATCATTCTCATCGTCGCCGCCTCTCGGCTTCAACGGCCGCGCAGCAGCCACAGTAGCAAGCAGGCGCTGTTTACTTCTAGATGACGAAGCCGAAGAAGTACTTTCACTCGACTGGGATTTCTCCATCTTCGCACCAAAACTAGGAGATACTAAAGCATCGGCAGAGGGGAAAGAATGTGAAAATTGAGAGTCATGACTTGCACCACCGAGCCCAGCAAGAAGATGTTTCTGCTCCTCGCTAGACGAACGGGGAGTCTGGAAAGTTGTGAACGAAGCATTGACATGATCAAACATATGGTGATCAGGGGAATTGATATCTGTGAAATAGGAAGCGTTCGAATTAACTTTCATCATCTGAAAGCTGTCGAGCACAGGCTCATGGCTCTGTTGACTCATGCTACTTTGCAGCGTGGTTGCGATCGTGAGGGTGTCGGTGGTGGGTGTAGTTGGTGTTGCCCCATAGAACGAGCCGGCTGAAAGATGGCTGCTGTTCAGCAAGGCTGGAGATGATGTTGAATATTCGTTAAAGGCGTGTGTTGGTGTGCCTACTGTTCGCGAGATAAACTCACTCGGGTCCTCGCCGACATCCAGTTCCTCGACCTGTTCGAGCGTGTGTCCCCGTTGCGATATCGATCGTAGAGGTCCGGAAGTCTGATGGGAGAAGGCGTAGGTGTTCATGGATTGGTCTTTCATCCAGGTCTCCATCGCCAGGCTTTCTTGAGATTCGGCAGGGAAGGGTGGCGGCATCGCGGCGCTTTGGGTGAACCCGAGGTTGCCGCTGGATGCTGAAGAGGCTCCTCTCGAGTTCGTACGGGCCATCGAGGGTGCGGGTGCCGAGCGTTGGGAGAGGGTTCTTGATCGTGGGGGTGGTGCTCCGCTCAGATCCTAAGTATCATTAGAGCCAGGTATGGAAACAGGACCAAAGAGTTGTCCTACAGAGTGTTGCCGGGCCATGGTGGCCCCGCTACTGGACATGCTCCGGGAGACATTTACACCTCGACGGTGACGATGCTTGTTGATAGGAGACCGCGGGAGTTGGTATGACGGAGCACTGGGAGGGAAGAGAGCCGCAATCTCGGCCTGGATGTGTGCGTTCTGAGCATCTATCTCGGCTTTCCTGGCCAGGAGTTGTTGGAGACGTTGGTCTGCATCGAGGGTGGTGTTGAGCCGAAGATCCATTGGCATGGTGGGCCGCTGTCTTTTGGGGGGGTGTTAGAGAGGTTTGATGTCAAATGGCCTCGGTGGCCGAGGACAAAACTGTAACCTGTACCCCGTATCGTCAGCAAACCATACACTTCTTTGGTGCAGAAATAACGGGAGCGGATGAGGGAGAGGAGAGAACAACAAACGTACTGCTGAAGAGCTGTACTGCTCGAGCAATGAAGGCGTTATGTTGGCGGTTCGGACTGATCGTTCGAACAAATAAGTGATGAGCGTTTGGGTGCTTGCAGACGCAAAAGTAAGGCGTGAGGGAGGAACAGATGGATGGATAGAAGGGATGGAGGAGGCAGACAAACTAAGTATTTCACAGTGAGCGATGGGGCTCTGTCAGAATGCCCTTGTCCACCGATCAGCCGGGGAGGCTTGGAGGGGCGTAAGACAGTTGTAGTGATTGGACCGTGAGGGATTATTGTGTGAATATCACGATGGAATGGGAATGTCTCGGTGGGTGTTGGGATCCGGGATGATCGTCGTACAGATGAGGGTGGTACAGCACCAATACAGCATCGTATCCTCCGCCGCTTGGGCACTTCCACATACTGTATATTAATAAGTTGCTTTTAATTTAAGCCGGTCTTCTCGTATGCTTATGGAGTAGTTACTGGCCTGGTGCTTACCAAGTACGCCCTTAAGAATTGTGGCTAACTTATAAACTTAAAATCTATAGACTAAGTCCTGTTTTTAAAACTAGTACCAGTCTACCTACTCAGTTAATCTACTTTAAGACTTAAATTCAAGGATCTTGATAGTATTGCAAATATAAATAAGGTCGGGGTTAATAACTGAGTGGTCAATACAACTTATGTGCTAAGCCTTAAGAGGCCAATAGCTTCATGTCACGGTATGCTGCTGAACTGGACGGTCCTCGGGGGTAGGTACGCCGTGGGGAACTGTCCGGTTCCAAAAAGCAGTTCTCCGGAATGTGCTCTTATCTCCAATCTCCAGTCCTCTCCCAGCACGGGCGCAGGCAGCCGGCCATAAGCATCTTCCCTCCAATGATTCCAGTCGTCGGGCGCAACTCACAGCCTACAGCCTGCAGCCTGCATGCTGCATTGCTGTAAGCTTCGACCTTCTCCAGACAAGCTCCCATGGGCGAGGACGTTGGACACGACGTGGCCACGCATTGCAGTCCCAGCCCGAATGCTGCGCCATTGCTCGTCGGCTTGCGATCCAAAGAGTGAAGCAACGAATCACCGCTGGCCTAGCAGGTTTCACTGGTCATCTATCTGTTGCCCAAGACATAAAAGCGAGGCAAACGCACCGCCGACAGTCCGCCTCACCGAAGTCGACCGTTGTGATTGATTGATTCCCCTCCGCTTGATTCAATAGCCCGAAGGATCCGGGTTTGCTTTCCCCTTCCCCCTTCCTCCTCCCCCACCAGTTATCTGCCGTTGATGTTGAACATGGCTGGCCATGGCTCGCAAAATTCTCGCTATGACCAAGAGAGCAGAGACGACTACGTACGTAGTACCTACGTGGCCATGTCGACTGTAACACCATTTGATGCTGCTCTCGCGATGGCTCTGTAGCGCCGCCCAACCACGCCTTCACATTGTACACCGACCATGACCATCTTGACCCACCCGTCCAGCAGAATCGCGAAGTAGCTTTCTCGTTGGAGAAGAAGCACTTTGGTGTGCATGTTAGGCTATGGTCTGGGTGCCAGGCCAGACTATCTGCTTGGAGATAAAGGTTGTCAGAACAGTCTCAGTGCCCTGATGATGCCCATCCCCCCCTTGGCGGCACATGTTCACAGGATCGATGCTGTTTCGCCTGGCCAAGCTTCCATGGACGCCCGACGCTGGTCTCTTTGCTTCATGTCCGCTTGTTCCAGCTTAATCGAGCACCTTTCTCAAAGTACGCTTATGGCCGAGTTCCGGAGGTAGATATCATCAGGTAGGCATTCTAAGAAGGCGTACCGAAAATCGATAATTTCTAAGTCACGCTTGAGCTATGAATGTTGGGACGAGGTGGATTCTTGGGCAACTCTGTCGAGACGATATTTTTGAGCTTGGCCCTGTTCCTCGTCGTGTCCTTCAAGTGTGGTGGCCTCCGTCGGCACATGATCTGAGCTACCTGGCCCTTCCTCCCATGCTTCCCATTTGGCTGAGAAGATATGAGGTGTGTCACCAAAACTGTGCTACCAAGCGTCTCAAACTTCGTATAGTTTTACTGTTCGTAGTCAATTTTGGGGGATGTTTAGAGCGTCTAAACTTGTACCCCGTAATGCGAGGGTTTCTGAAACTTGTGACTGAACCCTTCGATACCCGTCTGTGGCCTGTGAAACTGGCCGCCCATGATATAGTTTTTGAGCTGGATAAAATGCAGCTGTTGAAACCGGCATTATGCATAGAGGAGAATGCAATGCTAACTTAAAGGTGGAGCTTATCAAGGGCCGCCTATCTTGAAAATAATTGAAAATGACGAGAGCATTTAAGTCATCTGAGTTTCCCTGGGGAGGATTTCATGGGCGAGGTACGGAGGACATGAGAAGGGATTTGTCTAATTTCATATTTTCATAGACGAAGTACTTAGCAACGGGGTAGATATACATTGAACCCAAGGACCCCAAGGACCCACGCTATGATCTTGGGGAAATGAGAATAGTTATCTGTACTACGTAGATGTGTATGTTATAACAAATGGTGAAGTAGACTGAATGGTGGTTTAGTTCGATATATATACCGGTAGCCCAGCGCTTCGTAGCGTCTCAGCCACAGCGCGCGCCACAGTGCATCTGATAAGCACGCGATGATGACAGCTTGGACAGAACTGTTCCAATACTTTGAGGGGAACTTCAAAGAAATCTTTCCCATCATGCGTTAACCCAATCGTATTTTCCATGCTCCATATGGCAAGATGCGCTCAATTAATTCAGCCTTACTGGCCGCCATTCCAGTAGCTCTCGCAAGTCAGACCGGGTTCAGTGTGCACGACGATCTACTTGCATTCCCCCAGGTACATAAAGTTCCCATTGACTTTTTGCCCTCAGCTTACAATTAATAGTATGAAGTTATCTTCTCAGACTCCTTTATTTCCGAGACGACAGCAGATCTTGTACTCGACCAAGCTTCCTCGTCAATAGACACCCCTCCCACAACCTCAAATACGAAAAGTATCGAGTCCCACGACCATGCCTACAGCAAATCCCACGCATCTACGGGCGATCCGGCCTTCGACCCTGCGCGCGAAAGCTACGAGACCATGTATTTGAATGGCGAGCAACTTCTTTGTACAATTCCCATCGTTCATATACCCCCGAAGAATGAGACATCGGAGGCCGAGGCCCGCGTTGCTGAAAAGAAAGAGCTCGCGCGGGCCACCAACCGTGGTGGGGAATTGCTCCAAGATCTCGAAGGCAATTGTCTGTATTATGTCTCCGGGTGGTGGTCGTATGCTTTCTGCTACAATTCTGAGATCACCCAATTCCATCAACTCCCCCCCAAACCCGGCAAACCTGCGCTGCCACCGCAACGGGATATGTCTACGAAACAGTTCGTGCTTGGAAGGGCGAAAGGGAGTCAAAGCAAGGAGGATGAATGGGGGAATGAGATAGCGCCAAGGAAAGGTCAGAAAACTGCGCCGCCCAAAACGGAACTGCAAATCAATGGCGATTCGAGATACTTGGTGCAAAAGATGGAAGGCGGAACGATATGTGATCTGACCGGTAAACCACGGAGAGTAGAGGTCCAATACCACTGCAATCTACATGTCTCAGACCGCATTGGGTATATCAAGGAGGTTACAACCTGCTCCTATCTCATGGTAGTTTACACACCACGACTGTGTAACGACGTCGCGTTCATGCCACCGAAAGATAATAAAGCCTACCCAATCGTCTGCCGAACCGTCGTTCCGGAAGACGAACTTGAGTATCGGGTCCAGCTAAAGAAACTGGAGGATGGGCTCGAAGCCAGCCAAAAACCTGAAGACAAGAAGGTCAACGTTGGAGGCGTTATTGTTGGGGGAGGGCAGTGGATGAATAAAGAGGGACAGCGTATGCCTATCCCCGCTGGCTTCGGAACTGAAAATTTCGGCAAGCAGATAGAGGTTATTGCGAAAGCGAAGAGCAAAGCCGAAGGGGGCCAGGTGGAGATGGCAAGCGATGCTGAACTGGCAAAGATGGACCTCGATCCTAGCATGGTAGAGAAGCTAAAGAAGGAGGTCCAGAATTTGGCGAAAGACAAGGGGTGGGAAATTAAGGTTGTTGACCAGCCTGGGGAGACAAGAGAAATCCTAGGCATTGTTGGCACTGACGATGAGAACGAGGATGAGACTGGGGATGTTGGAGGCGATGTTGGAGGCGATGGTGAAAGGGATGGTGGAGGGGATGGTGGAGGGGACAACACACCGGACTCTAAAGAGGGCAGTCAAGAAACTTTTAAGGATGAATTATAGTAGGATCCTTATGACACCGTATTGTAAAATTATCATTACATGAATAATGACGTTTCTGGATTTTTGAAAGCTTACCACAAGGTATAAGCCTACTCGATTTCAACAAAATATTTAGTTTCCGCTCTAGTTGTTACAAATACTGAACCGGCAAAATGCTAGGCTATGGCCAGACTTTGTTATGCATATTGGGGGGTTTTCATCTGGTGAAATCTGATACCAGGCCCATTGCAACGATGTAAGGCCGTGCAGGAGGCGAATCGGTGATATAAGTACGTGAGGAAACACGCATATTCAGTCTACTATTCCAAAACAACAATTCCAGCCATATTATGATTCCCTCTATAGCCCCTTCTAGTCCCATTCGCATTTAAATTGGTGGCCTGAGATCAAATTCGCACCACAAAGCCTTCCTTGAAGAGATGTGGGAAAGGCAATATGCGTTGGAGCTTACGAGATACCAACCCAAAGCCATAGGGAAGTCCCTATCAAGGTAGCCTCCACGCAAAGCAGCCAACAATTTCTCCCTACGTCTGCTATCACTTAATATAGTCCCATCAGTCCAACACGGTATAATCTTCATCTGCGACACGGCAATAACCGGGGGCTCATCATCATAACCGTCTTCCTTTCCCCTAGGTGATAATATCTCGCCGGCATCGCCCGAGCCTCTGGGCCCAGCATCTGTAAGTATACACACACCAAGGGCCAAAATATAGGGGGGCCCAGGAATCACTCTCTTCCAAAGAACCAGTCAACTATTCAGGCATCCGAGAACAGGCTATAATGTGGAAGCCGAGTATTTGGCCCCAGTGCCGAAAGCCTTCAGCGACCGCAATACCTCGCAGCCCGTTGATAGGTCTAATATCAACACAGCGTTTGTGGAGCGTAATATTCGAAGGGCTTAAAACAGTATTAGCTACAGTACTTAGGCATTGCAAAAAGAAGTTGTATGCCGTCCAGAATACGTACAAAAAAGTCATTGCGCCCTAGGTCTCCCAAACGCCGTGTCACCGTAACACCGTCCGCCAGACCCATAACCATGCCTCACCCCTTTTTCGTCTCCCCCATCCAAACCCTGATCGCCTTGGAGCTATCATGTTGTACTCGAAATAACCCCCTCTCAGCCTCATCCAAACCCCTCAAAAACTCCACCCCATCACTTCCGACACCGCCCCCGCCGCCTCGTTGTCCCTGACCCGCATTACTTGCATGGTCGCTAATCTCGGCCGCCCTCGTCCTCCAACCCTCCATTAGAACATCACAGATCTCCTCCTCCTCAAACAGCTCCAATATCCTAGCACCTAGGCCATAAAAGTGCTGGGCCAATGCTCGTAGATCGACACTCTTAGGGTCTGCCTTGAGCGCATTCATGACGCGGGGTGCAAGACTGGGTGGTATGTCTAGCGTCACGAGAGATTTCGAGGAGGATGGCGCGGAGACGGCGAGCATTTCTGCGAGCCAGAGCGGCAGATCCACACGAGTACCAGACCTGAGCGTGTGGCCAGCATTATTGTCCAAGTAGCCTAAGGAGGGGACGTCGAGTTCGAAGGTGCAGGGAACTTTCTAGGAGAAGAAAATGTAATGTTAGTGGGGTTGAGCTAGAGGGGGAGACGAAGGGGATTGTCTGCTTACTTGGGCATCTGTCAAAATTGCATCGATGTCGTAATAGGACATTTTGAAAATGCTATGCTTGAGGACAACTGACTGGGAAAATTATAGACGTCCTGCGGTTGTCACCATGTTCATGATGTTCATGAATGTTGCCGCTCACATATTATGGAGGGAGACGCGCCGTAGGCCAAGCTATTTACTACGTAGTGCCAAACGCGACCTCAGGCGATGTTTTCTTGGCCTCGGCAGCCAATGACAGTAGCGCTGCGGTGACGTAAGTACGACTCGCTATATGTACTCCAAGATCCCCAGAATATTCAATTTATTCCGCAACCTCCAACTCCATTCCCCCGAACCACTACTTCCTTCACTGCACACGAACCGTGAAGCTGCAATCACATTACAATCACATCAATTGATATCCGAAACCATGTCTGCCATACTTGGTCGTACTAGCGCAGCTGCGCGGTCCTCGCTGAGAGCCGGAGCTACGAAGAAAGTTGCTCCTATGGCTAGCATGACTTTTGTTCGCACGAAGGCTACGCTACCAGACCTACCTTGTATGTTTACCTTTCCCAGCTCCAATTTTAATGTCGCTATGCTTTATTTCTAGCTGTTCTAACAATTGGACATGCAGACGACTTCGGTGCGTTGGAACCGGCTATCTCCGGCAAGATCATGGAGCTTCACTACAAGAACCACCATCAGACATACGTTAATGGATACAACGCCGCTTCGGAGCAGCTGGCAGCCGCGCAATCGAAGCAAGATATCGCTTCGACTATTGCCCTGCAGCCCTTGGTCAACTTCCATGGTGGCGGTCATGTTAATCATACCCTGTTCTGGGAAAATCTCGCCCCAGCTAAGAATGGCGGGGGTGGAGAGCCGGAAGGCCGGGTGAAGGTACGTACACGAGGTTATTTTATTATACATATATGGTTCTTGAGTTTATGCATTCGCATAACGCATTTTGCGGAGACCTAGAATCAATCACGAGCAATGGCTAACAAAGATATGTCTAGACTGCAATCGACGGTGTCTACGGCGATTTTAGCACCTTTAAGACCAAATTCAATGCCGCACTCGCTGGCATCCAGGGCAGTGGATGGGCATGGCTGGTCAAGGATAACGAGACTGGTCAAGTGCTCATCAAGACGTATGCTAATCAGGACCCGGTGGTGGGTAAATATACGCCATTGCTCGGCATTGATGCTTGGGAGCATGCGTACTATTTGCAGTATCAGAACCGGAAGGCCGAGTACTTCAGTGCTGTCTGGGATGTGGTTAACTGGAAGACTGTTGAGAAGAGATTGACATAATTTGATGGAGGGTGGGTGATTAGGAGATTGGGAATAACGGCTGAGCGGATGGTGACTGATGAGCCCGCAAACAAATGTTTAGGTTGTATCTTGAATAATGGAGAACGCTGGCCGTTGCCAAAATCTAGCGAGGCACCTCATACGTTTGTGGGTACTCAGTAGCTACCAATATATAACTTGATACCAATCATCTAGTCTCCTCGGTCTGGTTTCTCAGCATTATTCTTAATACAATTCCCATCCATAGTAAGTCGTTCAAGGACAGAATGAACAGCAACAAATAGCTGTGATCAGCGATCTAAAAGTTTCAATACCAACTCTACCTATTCACGATATATACCCCATCAACCCAGGCCCGCCAAATCGACCAGCTCTAAGCATGCTGTGCGTCGTAGATGCGGTACGAAAACCAAAACTCCTGGGTATCATTGGAGAAGTTAATTAAAACCCACCGAACTCTGGGGCCTCCCTTCTTCCATCCCTCTCCACTGCTTTCCACAATTCCCCTCCACATTCATCATCCTCGTTCATCCAATAATTATTTCCCAAACTCCCCTACCCTGTAGTCTTCATCTCAAACATCAGATTCGAGTCTCCTCTCCACTATATCCCAAATCCCTTGCAGTACGCAGAGGATAATACGGAACGCCAGAATCGCAAACGTCAATTCCAGTCCTGGGTATAAAGGTACAAGACAAACCCCGCCGTAGCATATGGCCGTTACCCTTAACCGCTGGGCAGGTACTAGTGAGTGATAATGCAGATTGCCACAGATTAGGCATGAGCATGATAATTTCTCGGTTCGTTGAGGTTATGGTGATAGACGGTGGGCGGTGGGCGGTGGGCGGATGAAAGGGAGGTAAATCCTCAGATCCTTTTCGCTTGGAGTTGGTTTTCACAATTCCATGATGGAATAGCATGAAATCACTTCTTGCTCCGTCTACTTCGTCCGCGAGAGCCTTCCTGGTTAGGGGTCAGTGGTTTTGCTCTTTTAACTTTAGAGATTAAAGACTTGAGAATATCTAGACAGAGACAAGAATACAAGGAGCAAATAAACCAACGATTCAGTTTCTCAATACACTACATCATATGCGGCACTACAATTTGAAGCACCTCGGTAAAACATATAAAAGAGTGCAGAGGGAAACGAAATACGCGAGACATAGCTCACCTACCTTTTCACCACCATAACCATGCTCTGCATAGTAACGATTCTCCTCGTGCAGCATGTTCAAGGGCTTTCCGTCAAACGTCAGGTCCGCGTCATCGATCGTGTACGGCTCTTTCCACGTCTCAGCATCCAAGTCCACTTGCGCATCGGCGTGCGAGTCCAAGGAGGCGGTTGAGATTAGATAGCATTGCTGTTTTTCCGACGAGGTAGAGTGCGTGGATGTATTGGACTGGTTGGAGTGAGTGGAGGAGAACGACGAGGCGGAGTTGCGGTTGGGGGAGTTGGTGTGAGAGGCGGCCATTTTTGAGAATAGTGTTGAGATAGACCTTTCTTATGAATAGGATTTGGTTTGCTGTGTATAGTTATCGAGGCACGGTGTACATAGGTGCTATGTTCAAGTATTTGGTTATACAGGGCGAAAAGCTCGAAAGTGGCGGGGAGCGATTCTGATATACACCTATCCGTATTTTTCTCGACGCGGTGGCTGGGCGGCAGCTGAACCTTGTTGCCACCGTGAAAGCGCGTGGAAATCCTGGATAGGGGTATCGTAGCGAACGGTGACGACAACAACTTGCAAGGCGAACAAGACACACGACACCGGACAGGTGGCACCTGGAAATCCCTTATACCTTGGCCCCTCGAGCCTTGTATCGACCGTTTACGAGTATTACCGCCCATCAGGCAACCCGAAGCCGCTCACCCAGGCCTCCCGCCCCATGCGACCCAGAAAAGAAAATCATTGCCGGTTTTCGACCGTCTGATGGCCGATGGGCCTGGTGCAAGGCGCCAAGTACAGCTACGAGTAAGGAATTCACAGTACAGTAATTCAGGTCAATGAGCGCCCCCAGCTTCCCAAGAAACACAAATCAGCCTGGTTTCCGGGGTTTCCGATGACAAATCTACGGAAGTGTCTCTGATGCTTCTAATAAACATCCCATAGGTAGATGTAGATGTACAGTACATGGACGTACATCGAGGATCCGTGACTCCCATTTTTGAGTCATCTTCCCTTTCACCGATACTTCCCACAGCCTACGGCCTACGGCCTCCGGATCGGCGAGTGTACTGTACTCAGAAATCGATTACAGTACGAGGTACAGTACCTGCCCAGCCATCTGGAACAAACTCGGTCACCGGGAGAGATCGGATATCCCATCCCCCCGAATTCCAGTGGTGGATTGGGCTTTGACCATGACGGACACAAATCGCTGATGCAGCCTCGTGGCCTCCCTCCGCCGGCGAGATATAGCAGCTGGAATGCCCCAGACGCCGCCCTGCCATGCTGCTGTCCAGTAAGCCGCAACGTGTGGTTGGTGGTCCCCCCTTCTCCGAAGCATCGTGTGCAACATCGGGTTATCGCGCATCGTGATCGGATCTCGAGATGGCGTTTTCTGGGATGCTGACTGGAGTATGACTGTCAGACGGTGCGTCTGGCGTGGACCATGTACGAAGTATTAATTGATGGAGGCTCGAATCAGCACGAGATAGGTGAGGATTCCAGCTTCCTATCTATTCATGCGAAGATGCTTGGGGGTCCAATCTAACGTTACACCCCACATGGGAAGGGAGGATCACATGCCTTATACGGAGTGCTCGGGGACCCATTATATTGATCGTATCTAGCATCAAGAGTCAGCACCGCGCCCATTTCGCAGACGAAATATTGGTGGAAGCGCGGGTTTCCATTTCATATTGTCATTGACGTTACGGTACATGTTCCCTGTTGCCCACGTCCAAAGAAACACCCCTAACCAACCCCCAAAACTTTACGTTTTATGCGTTTTCGTTACTGTACATGGTTTTCGCTATTTTTAGTTGCAAGATACCACCAACTTCCAGTGTGCAGTTGTCATCGTTCCCGATATCACCATCGTGTGACCAGCCTACTAGCCACAACTTGGATGCTTGCATCCCTTCTCTTTGCAACTCTCGCCGGGCTTACATTTACACTCGCAGCGGCCTCCTTCATGGTGTTTGCAAGAGTGGTTTCCGTGCGAATGCGGTTGGGTCTTGACCTTAACGATGAAGTTTTGGCCCGTGTTGGAAACCGCATGGACGAAGCAGTCATCTCCATATGGCCATTCGCCCTTGAATGCCGCCTTATCATCGTATTCGGCGTATGATTTTCTCTTAATGTCGTCACCCGGAGCCAGCAACGTGTGCTTTGCGACCTTCTCAGCCGCGTGGCGATCTGCGAATATGCCTTCAATTTCAGTTGTCTGGGCGGCGCCGCTGCGATCTGCGTCGTAGTTGATCGTGGTTTGGAGGACTACCGACCGGACTCAGTTAGCTTCTGCAATCTCTTACGTCGGCTGTGCCGTGTAGATCCCAAGTACTTACCGTAATAGAGCTGGCCGTCTACTCTCCCGGAACCGTCCCCCTTGAGCTTGTGGGTATTGGGAGTTGTCTCAATAGCGACTAAAAGCTCCTGGCCCGAACCCATCTTTGCAAAGACTATGACACCATCCCCATGTGTCCACTGCTTTTTACCATCGTTCTCATCGTAGGTGGGGAAGTCGTCCTTGATGTAGCCTTCATCCGTGAGTGCGGTTCGCGCCGCGGCCTTCGCCGCGTCAAGCTTGCTGTAGGTGCCAAGAATATCAATATATCGAGTCGCACCGGATTCGTCTTGGAGATAATCGATGATTGTACGTTTGATGCTAAAGAGCTGATCTGGGGTTGTTGCCATCGTGTTGTCTTGATACTAATTCTCGAGTTTCAAGGTTGCTTGGCTGCTGTTGTTTATAGGTTTGAATTTGAGTATTTGATGATCTAGATAGCTCTGGGGAGAATGCCTCGCGATTTATAGCGAATTGTCCTTTGCGGGCACTTTGCGTGTAGCCACTAGCTGGACACGTGAAATATGGGCTGATTATGGGCTGATAGCCTGGGTTATGACATGATGTTCTATTATGTTTTACTTTGAGCGCCTCTTTTTCGAACGTCATATATTTCGTTTGCGTTCTACCGTGGTCTGGCAATGGCAAAGTTTCTGAGTGCGGGGTAGTTTCCCTCGAAATCGCTGATTCGTAGTTGATATACCATAGCCAGCCTTCGGGGATTGCATATCAGCCAGGGGCCGTTATTACTTCGTACACTTTCCACGTCATACTAAGGTTTCAGAACAAACACCTATACCTTGGTTGGGGCTGAGGAAATGGATTGCGAACGCATAACCCAGATCTCTCCTGGCAGCATCCAAATTCTAACCTCCAGCCGACTCATTTTGAACAGCTTAGCTATGTGTAGACCTGCCCTATGTGGATAATTATATCAATGACTTTAATCGACACTTGTCGCACCACTTTTCTCGTCGAAACCACTTGATCGTAGAGATATATCCTCCGTTTTGGTCTCGACGAGGATAACAGCCCCTGCAGCGATCTCCTAGATGCTCGAGCAAAAGCAATTCACCCTGAAGCCTCCAATAACTATACGTTTATCATTGAAGGTGTAACATAGCGTGTCAGCCCATCTCCCCCATTTCAATAACCTAATTACTAGTTGCATAGGGCTGTAGAATATAGTGCCGTCAGCTGTAGTTGAAGCCAAGATTGATTGACCAAGCCATCGCAACCATGCCCATAAAAGCGCGCGATCACCTAGTGACACAACACCAAACACCGATTTCTCACCCCAATATCAAACTGCAACATCCCCGAATCCCGTGAATCACCGACCCACGTCCGGTGTCCCACCACCCGCAAGCGGTCATCGGGCAAACCGGTTTATTGGAGAACCCTCCTAGAGATCAAGTAACCCGGCGAGTCCGGGGATTCCACCGAAGCATTTCGTTCTCCGGGCCGTGGGGGAGGGTGGTACCAGGAGAATGGGGAGTTGTGCTTGGTGATTCCTAAGTAAGGAGAGCGGTGAGAAGATCGTGAGATTCCTGTTTTGCTGTTTCTTTGGAAAAGGCACGAGGGAAGAACTAGGCATTAGTTTTGCCGCAAGGTACTTGGGGTGATTAGGACGTGTTGTCAGGCTGTGAGATAGGCAGAATGCTGTTTGCAGTTCAAATCTAACTTTGAAGTTCCCCTTTCGCTGCCAAGCCATCCTATCCCCATCCACCCCCGCATTCGGCAAGTGGCGCCACCCGTATCTTTGACGTCATCGCGGGGTCGTTGGAGCTTGAGGTCATCGTTTATTTATGGTCTAATCGAGAATGTTCTACTCCAAATAAGATAATCAGTCTAGGTTAACGCTTACATTACCTCACCATATTATTTTCTTCTAAGCTCTTGTGTCATCTACCTTTATTTGTCCAGCAACCATAGAATATTACCGAGTAACACAATGGCGCCAAAGGTCCTCGTCGTCCTCACATCGCACGATAAGCTGGGGAATACAGGGAAACCAACAGGATGGTATCTTGTTTGTTCTGCCATTTATCCCACGCGCCGCAGAATATAGGACTAATAGACCTCAACTAGCCTGAATTCTCGCACCCCTACGAAGTGCTCGCACCACATGTGAAAATTACAGTCGCATCTCCCGCCGGTGGTGAGGCGCCACTTGACCCTGCATCCGTCGAGGCTTTCAAGAATGACCCGATAAGCACTAAATTCCTCAAGGAGAAAGAGGAGCTGTGGAAGAAGACTGAGAAATTAGAGAGCTTTCTGGGGAAGGCGGGGCAGTTTGATGCGATTTTCTTTGTTGGGGGGCATGGCCGTATGTTCTTCTCCCGCCCCTCTCGATTCAGAACTTAGTTACTGCATAATCTATGGGATACTGACATCAAAACACAGCAATGTTCGACCTCGCCCAGGATCCTACAGCCTCAAAATTAATAAACGAATTCTACGCCCACAATAGGATTATCGCGGCCGTATGCCACGGGCCAGTAGCTCTATCACATGTCAAACTTCCTTCGGGCGGCTATCTCATCGACGGACAACGCGTAACCGGTTTCTCCAACGAGGAAGAAGATGCTGTGGGTTTGACGTCCGCGGTGCCGTTCAGCCTCGAGGACAAGCTGCGAGAGGCGAGCGGTGGTAATTATGTCAAGGCCGATAAGGCGTGGGGCGAGAAGGTCGTCGTTGCGAGGGGAGGTAGGCTGATCACCGGCCAAAACCCGGCATCTGCTACTGGTGTTGGAAAAGCGATTTATGATGCTATTTTTGGGGAGTTGACTACTGCTGACGAGAAATGATGGAATGAAAAAAGGGTTAGTGTGTTAGAAATAAATGAATATCAATTTTATTTGCAGTGCTAGAGGAATGCAGTTACGATATTCTCACGTTTGCTCATCGATTTCTATTACAACCCGTGACGGCTGGCTGTAACTTGTCTCAAGTGTGAAATCTAATCTCGATTCCTTTGTGGTTTTTAGTTAATATTACTGTGTACATGATTGGGGCCATCCGATATAACAAGCCTTGCTTCATTGTATCACTAATGGTCTTTGTCTACTCGGCCGCTACAAGAAAACCCGTCTTATTTATTATTCCTATAGGCACAACGTAGCTTGTATTGAGCAACAGCCACCATAATATAGAACAGTGCTCCGAGAGGACCTATATAAACTCGAAAATAGCAAAACTCTCTAGATATGGAGTACCCGACCGTTTGCAAAATATGTAAACAGCAATTCTCGAGAAGAGGCCTTTTTACGGTCTTGGAGTGCGATGAGTGCCAGGCTGCGAAGGCCATAGAGGAAACTCCTTCCTCACCACTCTTTGGACCGCGACCCATTAGGGTGAGCAAACCCACCGCAGGGTTTGGCGGTAAACGCCAACACTCTCAGCAGTCGAGCAAGTATCCTTGGGGTACACCCCTAGGACCCCAACCCCTTAAAGAGGCGAGTGGAGGTGGTCCCCAAACTGACCCTCAGCAGATGACAGGGCTCTTTGGGTCTAAGATCGAACTCGAGGCAAATCACCCCACGCTTAGCCCTAAGCCTAAGCCAGACCATCCGCAGGTGACAGGGCTCTTTGGGTCCAATATCGAACTCGAGGCAACCCACTCCACGTTTAGCCCTAAGCCTAAGCCAGACTATCCGCAGATTTCGTGCGGTCTCTTTGGTTGCAATGCCGGATGTGCCCGAGGCCAATGTTCTCAGTGGCGAGGCGGTGCCTTTACCGCCGGGTCAAACTCGCAGCAGCAACTGAGGAATGCTTCCCTGGGCGGGGTCTCTGGACCACAAAGCTCATCACAACCTGTTACACCTACAGTCTCAAATCCTTCACAAACAGGGGGATTATTTTTACCCTCAGGGCCAGGACTCCCTAGAGCTGCGTTGGTAGACTTAAAACCCTTCGAATTCCTGAAGGCGGAGAATATGATGCGAATGGGGATAGAGATAGCAAATCGCAGACAAGATGAAGTTGAAGCAAGACAAAGACGGTCCTCATTCACTTTTGGGAACCAGTCTTATGAAGCTCCAAATCCCGAAGCAATCATAAAATGGAGCTACGACGTCGAGGCGGAATTTTCCCAACTCGCGTCTTCGTGGCTGGAGTCTTCGTGCAAGATGCGGGGCTTTTTGAAGAGAATGGATCAAAGTATCCAGGATGGTAGACCATTTTCGGCTGCGTCACAGAATGCCCCCTCCCACGAATAGTGATGCCCCTAATTCTTCCCAGGAGTTCCCTTTTCCCTTCGGGGGTTTCGGGGGCTTCGGGGGCAGGTCAACTCGATGATCGCGAGTGGGTTCTTGCCTCTTAGCACGCTGGACGAAGCATGAGGATCGGTTAGATTGCAAAAAAGCCTTCCTTTCTCGCTGTCCTTGAAATTTTTGCGGGCTGCAAGTGTGGCCTGCTCTAACTGGTTTATAGTATAAGCCGGGAATCCCATATCGGGCTTTCTTTTGTTCCTTTCTTTCTTGCGTAGCAATTGAGTTTAGTAAAGTCAGCAAAGGAAAATAAAAATAAATTCCTTCCGAAATTTGAAAAAGGCTAAAAGATGTGACATGTGATAATAGTGAAACCTATACAGTGGTTATCCTTGGTGGAAAGTATATGTAAGCAGAAAGGGGATATATATTCAGTCTAAGGAAGGTGCAGCATGCGCATTGGGGTATCATACTGTATATTAATTACTGTCCTTCTAACGTCTAGATTTAGATTTAGATTCTCCATTCCCACGGAGCCTCTTAAGATATATCCACACCAAAATACCCACCCCCGTGTCATTCCACTCAACTCTCACTTCTTACTGGATAGTTTTCTCACCCTCAGTTTTCTCAACCTCCACAGCACTGATCTGGTCCTTCTCTCTCTGCTGCTCCTCAATTCTCAGATCTGCCTCCACATAAATAGCAGGACGCTTCAGCTGTGTGCCAATCTTATTCCTGTGGATAAAGATGCCGGGCTTAGACTCAAAGAAGCGATCGATATCCTCGAGAGAGCGGTTCGCGGTCTCAGGGTAGAAGAAGTAGGTTATGGGAACGAAGGCGAAGCAGATTACGGCCCAGATGATCCAGAATTTCCAGCCGAGGTTGGCGATGCCGGAAGGTGTTATTTCTGCAACCTGGGAGGATGTTAGTTCTCGTGGTGCTAATAAACCTGTTAAGGGTTCGGCGTGAAAGGGGTAAATACCATATAGTTAAAAATCCAGTTCGTAGCCATGGCGAGGGAGGCTCCCTTAGTTCGCATTGCCAAAGCGTTGATCTCAGTGGGGTATAGCCATGGAACACCTAGGACACCCATGCCGAACGCGGCCCAGAAGACGAAGAAGAATGTTACTGCCACGGCACCGTAGTTGTAGGAATTCTCTGGTTGTTTGTCCGTTAATGCCAGAACGATGCTGATGATGATCCAGCACATCGAACATGCGGCTGCGGAGGTCATCATCACTGTGCGGCGACCATAACGTTCGATAACGAAGTAAGCAAGGATGGAGAAGAGTAGATAGTCGACGGAGCCAGCTGCAGCGAGAATACGCGCTCTGAAATATGTCAGTCCCCATTATAGTAGGATATAGCTCAAAGTCGACTTACCTCAGCTCACTAATGCCCAAAGCATGGATAAAAACGTATGTCATGTAGTAGCTCGTGACATTAATACCACTGATCTGGTTCATAGCCTGCATCCAAGCTCCGAGAATCATCCGTCGAAGAACCCCCGCTGGGCCCTTGCCACTGAGTAACTGGAACCATGTATAACTTTCCATTTGCTCACGGTCGAGAACATCCTTAATGATGGAGAATTGAGTCTTAACGGCTGGGGAGTCAACCGTCGCGCCACCTCCTTCGAGGGCAGCCAATACCTCGTATGCCTCGTCGTATTTACCCTTTCGGATGAGAAGACGAGGGGAGTCGGGTAGGAATGGGCACAGACACCAGATTACTGCGGTGAAAACTGCAAGAATGTTAACTTTCGAAATTCCAGGAGACTGAGTGAGGGGTTGGTAGACGTACAAACTTGGAAAGCAAGGGGAAATCTCCAAGCAACACTGCCGGATGCGAATGAGAATCCAAGAGTGAGCCAGTTAGAAATGGAGAAGCCCGTGATACAATTTGCCATCTGGATAATGACCAGTTTTCCACGACTTCCCATTTTGCTAGTCTCGGCCTGCCACACACCAGCTGTGGCCGTGTTCATGCCTGTACCGAGACCGGCAACAACACGGCCGACCAACATTTGAGGGGCGCCATAGCTGGCAGCTTGGATGATGCCTCCCAATGCAATGATAGTACTTCCGACTAAGATAACTTTGGGTCGACCGAGGATGTCGCCTGTGACGATAGTAGAGAGGGCACCGAAGAAACAGCCAAGATTATAGACACTGGTCATGGTACCCTGCAGCGACGTGCTTGGGTATCCCATCGTCCGTAAGAAATCCTCTCCGACGAGAACATTTCCAAAAACTCCCTTAATTCTGTCAGTATTTGGGATGGAATTGGAAGGGGAGCATTAAGAAGAACGGAACATACCTGATCATAACCATAGAAAACGAGGACGGTAGAAGCAGCGACGGAAATCTGTCAAACCGGGTTAGATATCGAGCATCAATCAAGAGTGGACTCCCTAGCGGGTGGGTGAGGATTGTATGGTTGACATACCCAAACGGTCAAGGCCTGTCCAGACCCTCCGAGATATTTGCGTGCCATGATAGGCAAGGGATTGTGATTCACTGTGATTCCGATTCCGATTCCGAGCAAAGTAATAACTCAATATCAAAAGACAAGACTGGACTTTTGTGGTCACTGGCAAAGACCGTTCTAGGCACAGACTCTTGCAGGATGACAGTGGGGAGAGGCCCCCATCTTATACATGTCACGAAGAAGCTGGGGAGCATGGAGAAATCGCGGGGTTGGCCTAGCGCGGTGTCTGAGGATATTGATAGTACGAGCTGTTGCCCCTATTTTGTTATTACTCGTAAACAAAGCAACAGAGGTTAGTTCCCCAGGTTCTCCAGGTTCTCCTGTCAGGATGTGCACTAAGGCCAACCGGCAAGAATTTCGGCATCGCCATTGGCCACCCTCGCCACCAACCTCCCCATCATTTTGTTGCTAAAGCAGAGTCTTGACTCTTGCGCTGCGGCGCGGGGGGCAAAGGTTGAATTGTGGGACGCTCCAGGTCATGGAGATGCAGCGATATTGGCAGACCAAGCCGTTCTGAGGTTATTCCCTTCCCCGGAAGTAACAAGCTCCCCCAGATATTTTTTTCTTCTGTCTGAGCCCGTAAGTGGCAAAGGGCCACTGACGTACCTGTACGTACTGTGGCACCAAGCTGGCTCTACCTGAGACACTTGGGCGCTCCATTGGCCCGAGAGGCAAGTATAGCGATTTTGAGATATTAGCATGCTCTTGTGACTGCTGTGATTGGACAAGAGGAAGCTTCTCTTGAGTCTCCTGTAGCGAAAGGAATAAAAATTACCAAAAGCGGAAAGCCGAGTGGAGCGCAGGCAACAGCGGTCAGCAGCACGGTTACCACAAGCCTGAAGTGCCATACTGCGGAATCATAATGCCATGTCACTATCACCACTATTTTCCCCAGGAGTGGGGGAGGCGCATATCGAATGGGGCATCCCGTGTGCTATTCCCGGAGCTCTGGTACTTGTTGTTTGCTACTACTGGCAGTCTGGCACTTCTCTGAGGCACCCTACCCTCGGGTAAGGGATAAGCCTCCGCACTAGCCGCCCGGGCCGGCAGATGAGAGATTGCAGTTCTCTGTTTCTCTGTTGTTTTCTGTTCAATCTCTGTTCAAACTCTGTTCTTACTATTACCCTGCTTGCCGACGCACTAAGTAACGTGACCCGCTCCCCATTCCGCACCCTCGGCAAACCTTCCTGACTCTAGGAGCTAATGCAGCAGCACCCTTACTAGCGGGGCGAGCCTCGCGAGCGAGCCGTACTTGGTAATAGTTGGTTCTTTGCGATCGTCTGTTGCACTTCGCAACGCTACGAGGTACACTACAGGTCACAACCCAAGGTATAGTAGTAAGTAGTACACGGACATGTACTGTACCACCTATAGGTACATTACTACGGAGTATTATTATTACCTACTCTAGCAGCTCTGGACTATGGAGATTATGGAGACTATGGAGATTTATGGAGACTATGGAGATTTATGGAGATTATGGAGATTATGGAGACTATGGAGACACGCACTTCGTACAGTCCTTACTTTTATATTAGAGTCATGTCTCATTCTTGAGTGGGCTTTGACCCATTGTCCTCTTCCTTCGTTTTTAAGACCTCAACTACGCTGAGTCCAGCTCCAAGCACCCCACCGCCGCTCACCCGGGCCCCCGCCAAAAGCCCGCCTCCCCACCAACTCTTGGAGAATGGGGGCTTCTCGCCGATTCAACGACTCCCGTCCCCAGCGCAATGGAATGAATGTTCGGTCCCAAGTCCTTTCTTCAGTACTTCGTACAGTCCTACGTATCCCCTCCGGGCTCGGCATACTAGACATAATACAGTACTCCGCCAGCACCGCGCGTAATATTGACCCACTCCAAGCGCCTCCGCCGGGTTTTCCTGCGGACGCGGGGTTCTCGAGCTCGTTCGAATTATTCACCTGGCGAACTACGAGAATAGCTACCTACCCGCTCTACCTACCTGACTGAACAGCGTTAACCCAACCACCAACAGCCAGCTTGCCTCAGGTACGTAATGGGCTCTTCCGTTTCACTATAGATAAGGGAATGGGGGCATTCTCCCCATTCACAGTATCCCACCACCCGCAGCCCAATAAAGCACCGCAGAGCATAAACGTCACCACTTACCACTGAAAGCAGACCTCGATCCTCAAACCACTCCGAGCAGCTAGCACCATCAGCCATCAACTTTAAGAATAAACATCGACAGCTTTGGGCCCTCGTTTTCGCCTCTCTAATCTACACACGAACTGCCTTCGAAGCTCCTCGTTTTTTTTTAATTACCTTCCCCTCCCCCCACCCTTATACGGAACGACTATCATATCGCCAGCGCCATGGCCATGAATGTGGAATCCAAGACGGCTATCGTAACTGGAGCTGGTTCTGGAATCAACCTCTGCTATGCACAGCTATTGCTCGAGAACCGCTGCAATGTAGTTATTGCCGATCTGGCATTGCGTCCGGAAGCACAAGAGCTGCTCGCCAAATATCCTTTGACAGGCCAAGGCGCAAAAGCCGTCTTTCAGAAGACCGATGTTACAGACTGGGCGCAGCTAGACAAGATGTTTGAGGTTGCAACCGAGCATTTCGGAGGAGCCGATATTGTGTGCCCTGGCGCTGGAGTGTATGAACCTGTAAGTTCTTCATCCCGCTGGTAGAGAACCAATGATATTGATAAAGTTTTGACAGCTATGGTCAAACTTCTGGGCCCCACCCGGATCCCCACCCTCCAAAGATGATCTCTCCTCTTCACGATACGCCATCGTCGATATCAATATCACGCATCCCATTCGGGTCACCCAGATGGCCATCACCCACTTCCTTACTCGAAACAAGCCCGGCGTGGTGGTACACATCTCCTCAGTCGCAGGACAAGTCCCATACTTCCCCACACCCGTATACGTTGCGTCAAAGCACGCAATCAACGGCCTCGTGCGGTCTTTGGGGTACCTCGAAAAGGCGCCTGCACCCATCCCTAAAATCCGAGTGAACGCTGTTGCGCCAGCACGGATCCTGACGCCGCTCTGGACGGACAATCCAGAGAAGATGAAGATGATCGGGAACGACGAGGCTGGGTGGGTGATGCCGGAGGATGTCGCCAAGTTGATGTTAGATTTGGTAGTTAAGGAGGAGTACGTTGGAGGAACGATTGTCGAGATAGGTAGCAGCGTCCGCGTAGTTGACGCCTTTAATGATGCGGGGCCCCATGGATCCGGCAACGCTGTGGTGAATGCGGGCGATCCCGAAGTTGAGGAGGATGTATGGAACAGCATGAAGGCGATTATGGCGGGCAAACAAAAAAGCTAGGTCGGCACCTTAGGTAGTGTAGTGATGGTTAGCGATACTCCGTAGGCATAGACGAGCGATGTTTTGAGCAACTGCATCTTCCGTACCTATCGAAGCATACACGAGTCATGGGTTATTGCCCGTTTCCCTGGTATACAAAACACATACTTCGAACCCATTATCCTATACGGGGATTGGGGATATAAACAGGCAGTTGGAGTACTTTTGTTGAATAGAACACTTAATACTTCTCAGTATTACTTTGTACGTAGGAAGTGCCTACTTTACGCGGCCTCGTTTCACGTTTGGTGCTCACTGGCGTTTTGTGGCGCAAGGTCCTGGTTTGTTGTGGCTGCAAATTATTATCGTGCGATTGCGATTCTGCCTGCACGAAGTAAGGTGCCGTCTGCGGTTCTACACACTGTACATACTACGTACCGCGTACCGCGTACTTGTAGATACTGTTTGCTATTCCGTGCGCACTTCACTTTACTTCGTACAAACAAACACAGCTTGAACAAATGACTTCCAAGCCCTCTCTTTGGGGTTCACAGGGTACGGATTTACCGTCAGACACAAATACTTCCGCGGGTGATAGTCGCCTCCCGTGCCACCATTAGTCTTAGGCTGCAACTTGCAAGCCCTTTGATAGAGATGGCGACTCTCCATTCCAGGGGTTGCTGTGTTCGCTATGCCACTTGCTTGGACTGTTGCTGGGATTATGCCAGGTCTGCACGGCACGAAAACGTCAACATAGAACAATCGCAGAGGGGAGTGTGCCTGTCGCCGGTTTCAGCGTAGGAAAATCCTCCGATCCTACAGTAGTAGGTCTAGTCTCGGTTCAATTATTTCTATAAACGATTCTGTTGATTGGTATCGCTATCGCCTGGTTTCGTTTTACCTCTTACTAGCTCCCTGTTTCCCTGCTTTGTGTTTTGTTCCACGCTGAGTCGTCGTATCGTTGTGTCGTCGTGTTTCTACTTGAGCTTCATGATTCTTCTCCCGCGAGCAGTTGCACAATAATAGCAGACGAAGAAGGAACACCAGGAAAGTTTGCGCTTTGCTTTGTCCATCAGGGCTCGACGTTCGTTGCTTCCCAAGCAGTCGCTACAGCTACAGCTACAAGTCTAGCTCCCAACCGCAACCGTCGTCGATCATCCACCTATGTTCGCAGAACGCATCGCATTCATATCAACCTGTTATCAGCGACGCTCGTTCGGTCGTTCGTTCCAAGCATAGCACCATATCAGCTTCTTTATCAAGGCCACTCGTTCCAGCTTATCCGCGTCGCTCGTTCCAACATCGCGTCCAAGCAGCGCGATCACACAGATTACTCCATACCTATCTATACTCCATTCTCAAACTTTCGAATCCTTCCAAACTCCTAGCAAACTCCAAAATGTTTGCAAAGTCGCTCGTTACTGCGGCATTGCTTGCAAATGCTGCTCTTACTGCCGCGAAGCTTTCACCTATCTCAGCCGTGGGCTCCAAGTTCTTCAATGGAAATGGAGATCAATTCTTTATGAAAGGTCGGCCGCCACACACCATTAATCATTCTCCAAGGTCTTGCTAATGCTCAAACAGGCATCGCATACCAATTGACCCCAGCGGATCCCTTGATCGATACCGAACAGTGCCAACGCGATGCGAGCCTCATGAAGACGTTAGGGGCCAATGCAATCCGGGTCTACCACGTTGATCCAAATGGAGATCATACCGGCTGCATGACTGCGTTTGCAGACGCTGGAATATATCTGCTAGTTGATCTTGACACCTTCAATACTGCAATCGATCCTGTAAGCTCCCCCTCCATTTAACTTCGCAAAGCTCCGACTCTAATATCTCGACAGATCGTGGCATCGTGGAACCAAACACAATTCGATGCATATGCGAAAGTCATGGATGCGTTCGCAAAATACGATAATACCCTAGGGTATTTCGTTGGAAACGAGGTTATTGCCCTAAACAACCAGTCCGAAGCAGCTACATATGTCAAGGCGGCCGCGCGAGACTTGAAGGCCTACCGGAAGAGCAAGGGCTACAGAGAAATTCCCGTTGGCTACTCTGCGGCCGATATTGCGGAGCTTCGTCCCATGCTACAGAACTACCTATCATGCGGTAGCAACGCCTCTGAAAGTATCGACATGTTCGGCCTGAACGCCTATGAATGGTGTGGAGATGTCAACATGCAAACATCAGGATATGACACCCTTAACGAATTTGCCTCGACCTATAACGTCCCTATCTTTTTCTCCGAAACAGGCTGCATCACTGCCAGACCTCGCACCTTCGCAGATCAAAGCGCGATTCTCGGTCCAGAGATGAACAAGCTTTGGTCCGGCGCGATCGTCTACGAATGGATCGCCGAAGCCAACGATTATGGACTGATTTCTTATGGACCTCCTGTGTCGGCTACTGTCACGGGGGCTAACATTGAGGGGGGCTTCTCGAGAGCCGGAACTCCCACTCCCGTTTCACCCGATTTCTCTAATTTGCAAGCCCAGTGGAAGACCCTTACTCCCACAGGTGTTGCGTCGTCGGCCTACAAGCCAACTTTGACTCCCCCGCCATGCCCCGCCTCCACAGCTGGCGGCTGGTTGGTTGACGGTGATGTCAAGTTGCCGAGTGTTGGCCAGACGCAACAAGTCAAGCCTACCGGCTCCAACAGTGAAACTGCAACTGCGACTGGCACTGCAACTGGCACTGCAGCTTCCCCAAGCAGTACGAAGGGCAGTGCAAATGGAGGAAAGGAGATTACGGGTATGGGTGTTGGCCTGGTTGCTGTTATGCTTGGGTTCATGTACTGGTTGTAATAAACCGGGCATCATTCCGTATATGGAACGAGAAGATACTTTTTCTGAGGAAAGTGGTTATTTTTCGTGGAGAGCACCTATTGTGGCCGCCCCGGCGAACTTCTCGAAAGGATCGACGAGGCGGTTGTAGGGAGGATGTGCTCTACATGGTATGATTGATTGACTGCATGATATACAAAGCGTAGGCGTTCTGGGTTATGCATGGCATTGGTATTTGCCTTTGTATGGCTTTTTGTTTTTCCCACATACCCCACCATACGGCGAGTGAGAGTCCACTCCCGGCACAGTGGTCATGAGAGACAGATAGGGTTAGAGATGGCTAGTGTTGCTAATCCTACGAAATATTAACGTTGTATCCATTGGGCTGCGTTGTGGATGAGTGATGTTGAGAACGGTCTATAAAATAATTTCTCCCCAAAAATGAATAAATTTGAAGCATGCGAGTGCAATTGATAACATCGCAAGTGCGGAGCCAGGATGCGTTTAATTTTAGTTGCTTTTTGCTTTAAGGAAGGTGGTAATCTTGGTGTTAAGGAAATCTACTTCGTATGTTGCCTCGAGCGAGCTAGGCTCGTTTCTTGTATTGGGTACCTTTAGCAACACAAGTCGGGTACCAAAACTATAGGTTGAGGTAATCGAGCTTCTAGATTTTGTCTTTGACATGATCTTATTGGGAAATGGATGTCTCCGTGTTCTGGTGGGCACGGTTAGGGTATCGAACGCGGTGAGGCGCGTGGTAGGTGAATCTGAGGAATCGCCTCAGCTTTGGCATCAGTTCACTTTTCAGCTTTAGATTGGTGAATCCACGACTAACCCTCCCGTTTTGTGAACCGAGTCTCCCACTGTCAACTCAATTCCCCCTTCTACCAAAAACTCGGGCTCTTCCTAACTTTCAATCCTCAACACCTCAACATCACCATCGCATCTGATCTCTCACACTTCCCCCTAAACGGAGTCAACTCTTTGCCGCCACCGCCTCTCATTCCAAAAAATTGTCCTCTTCAAGGACCTGCCCCCTGCCAATTCAGCTAGAATTCAATTTTCGTTTACAGGCACAATGGCCGAACCACCCACCTTCATTATAGGCCCTCCTGGCTTGGACGTCTGTAACGGCCAAGCTGACCGCACTTCAGTCCAATCCCCCTTGACCACAATCCGGCCTGACTGCTTGGTCATCGGTGTCCTCAAAACAAACTGGGACGGTTTGGAACTTCACCATGCGTATAAGCTCCGCGAGTTTCCGGGCGGCTTCAATCGCAACTTGCTCAACTCGTCTGGAGGCTTGTTTGGCGATCTGCTCAACAAGACGGGCTCTGCGAGAGGTACCTCTCCTCTGAGCAACACTACCCCTGAGCACCTCTCCTGTCCCCTTCTGCCGGGCAATCTCCAGCCTACCGCCAATATGACTTCTCTGGGCAACGGATCGGATGAGTCCGCCACTCCTAAAGCTGACCCCCTCAAGGACAAGGATGACCTTCCAAAGAAACGAATTCACCTCTCATTCAAAGAGTCTCATAGCAACGCTGAAGATGGCAGCCAAGTTGGCGATTCAACCAAGCTAATGCAAAACCATCCCGAGAAAATCTCAGCTTTCAAAGAAGCCACTCGCCCTCCGCCATCTGTCTTTCCGGAACCTTATCCAACACCTACCGGACTTCCCGTTCGTTTACCGCCTCACACCCCTGAGATCCAGGCCCTTGACGATGTTTACAACCAAAAGGAGCACCCTACCCTTGACAGCATCGTCGATGAAGCTGTGGATGAAATGACATCTCTGATCTTGCAGCAAAAAATTAGCGACCGCGTGCCTTATGCTCAGCTTGCGAGTTCGCGATTGCAGGCCATCATGGGATTGCGGAATGACTATCAGTTTGAACTGCCTCAAACCCCATCTGTGGCTCCGCCTGAGGAGTTGGAGGGAAAGAAAAGCTGCCTTGTGGAGAACACGAAGGGCGTTCAGAGTTCCGACGAATTTAAAAGCCCATGCCCAGTCAAAGATGGGATAGGAGTTAAGCGTCCGTTTTCTTATTTCGACTTTTTGGAGCCCAAAGGAGAGTGCAAAGCTGCCACCGCGACCGCTGCCGCCACGGTTTGTACCATGGTTTCTTCTCCGATTTCCACCACGGTTTCTGAGACGAATTCCACCAAAGTTTCGGAGACAATTTCCACTACGGTTTCCGACACCGCTGCCTTCATCACCAGGGTCAACAAACCGGATGGTCCTATGGAATTTGCCAAGTGTGTCGATAAACAGACGGGAAGAGGATTGCGCAGCTATCTTCTAGCAATGGGGAAGAGGTACGGAATACGGAGGGTTGAATGCACACACCTCTCGTTTCATGACTTCCGGCAAGATCCGCGGACGAAGAAACGTAAGAAGGATGCAATGGATATCGTGTATAGGGAGGAGGATGGATATAAGATTGAGGCTTATGAGGTCGATTTGTAAGTTGTTTATTGCCCGTATTTGCAGTTACACTATGGCTATTCATTCTTGCGTCTTGAACTCCTTGACAACATTGACCTTTAGAATATTCAGTTTCTAATCCAGGAATTAGGCCTACGGTTCATACAAATACCGAAACAGGAAGAATCTCAGAGGGGCACGAGACTTGGATCTCATTCATGATCTCCGTCCCGGAACTCATCCTTAATTACTATTATCACGCCGTACCAGCAGCCTTATACTCCAACAAAAAATTGCCAGAATCCTGGGTCGTATTCGCACTCCCACTCACCCACTGCGTCCAGTACGGTGTCGTGACAGAAACTTCTTACCCCAAGGAGCCGGTGTACTCTGCTGAGCCCCCTCTGACGGACCCATCCCCATCAACACTCTCCAAGGCTAAAGAGAAGGAGCACAAGCGTATCGATTTTGACCTATCCTTCTCAGGGGTCCCTATTTTCGAGTTCTCGGAAAAGCCAAAGAAGTTCCTAGAAGGCTGGGACATCTGGTGCATGAACAACGGCGAATTGAGCATGGAGGCCGACACCGATGAGCAGAATTGGAACGGCGGAAATCTAGGTCAATACTTAAGCATCAGTGCCACCAATGACCCTCGATACCTCCACGAGGAGGTGGGTGATGATTATTGGTATCACCACTATTTCACCAGCCTCCGCGACAATGTCCAAGACTGGAAGGCCATCCGGAACATTATGTCGGAAGGTAAGCTGAGGATTGTTGCGCGATGGGATGAGTCCCCGACAGAGTTCGACGATGTTTTAAATACCGATGTCGTTATGTGGGAGGAACGGAATAGGCTTTTCGTAAGCGACGATCCGAGAATTGGTGACGGTCTCGGTCTTCGTCTGTCCGCAAGCCAAAAGATGAGGCAACCGGGTGGCTTCGGTCGTAGTAAAGAAAAGAAGGCGAAGGACAAGCCGGCTAGTCCGTTGCTACTTACGGCTTGCCGGAGACCAAGGGTTGAGAAGTCATCAGCAAAGAAAGGAGGTAGGAACAATGCGGATGCCAAAAAAATTGCTTCTGTTAATGCTTGGATGGAGCGGAGATAGACGTGTTTACAGGGGGTGTTGAGTGTGGGAGTGGGCTGGCTGTTTACGATACCATTACTGAGCTTCAATTTGAGTGCGACCTGTCTTTCTTTGCCATTTTGTTCCTGCTTTACCTTGAAATCACATTATGAAGTCAAGTGTAAATATACCGGGAGGATGGGGATGTTTTCCTCGAGGCCGGCATTGCTAAAAGATGGTTCAATTAAATCAACTTATAACAATGTATACTTTCGTACTGTACCGTCATTGACAAATATCAATACTATTGACAATAGCGGGTAAGGCGACAAAAATAACATAAATCCGGTCCCCTCCTATTTGAGCCTATAGATTTAGTTTTCAGATCACTCATTCGAAGGGAGATTGGGGTATGTTTTGTTTAATTAGAATGTAGGAAAATTAAGGATACGGGCCATACTGCAGGTAAAAAGACTGGTCTCTACGGGGCAGACTTGTTAAAGTGAAAAATAAAATTGCTAACCAAAAAGTACTAAGTAATCATAACTCGCCCCCGACCAGAAGAAAAGAAGCATAACGAGTGGTAGGCGTCGGTGAAGGCGTTGCTATAACAAGCAAAACAAGCAATCCACCGCAATTTTATGATCTCGTCCTGTAGCTTCTAGGTATCGAAAAAGTTTGTAATAGTTAAGATTGTCCTTAGCTATCAAGATTGTTTATATATAAGTATAATAGCTAAGAATCTTTCTTTCGATGTCTCTACAGCCTCCTTGTTATCCTTTAGTCCTATATACTATTAAAGATCCAGCAAGTTTGCAACATCATCCTTATAGAGGGGAACTGCTCTTAATTGCGGAGAGGTCGCGCTCAGTATTGCGGAGGGTTGAATCTGCATATCTGAGTCCTGCTTTTAGATGCTCCTTGTTGTGTTATTCAGGGTTCTACACAGGCTGAGGCAGGGTGATTGCTTGGGCTATAAAACTCTTGATATTCAGCTCCTAGAAGTGCTTTAGTAGTCGCGCTTTTACAGCGGATTACAAGGAGCGGTGGCGAGCGAACGGAGGTTCTAGACAGGCGATATTGGTACTATTAGAACAGTTTTAGAGTCAAGGGGTGAGTAGTAATAGGATACCTACAAATGGTTTATCCTGATTCCTGACCCTGCACAGCTAACACGGGTGAAGTGGAGGAGATTGTTACTACTGAGTGTGTGTCGGCTTTAAAAGGTGAGCGGTAATGGCTTCTCATTTGTTATTTATTTCCCACTAGCATCATGTTTGATCTTAATTGAACTTTTGTTTCAAGTATACATTGATAAGTTGAACCCTGTTGCTTATATACATATATATATTCCTGCTTGTTGATCTTGCCCACGCCACCTTACTCCATCATACTTTTTCCGATTTCACTACTCCACCCCTTTGCACGTTCAAACCCATTGGAATAAGTACGGTAGTCCATCATCGCTTGGTAGACTTCTTCTTCGGTATTGAGGACAAAGGGGCCATATTGAACTACCTTTTGGTCGAGTGGGAGTCCAGCAATTAGAACTATCAAGGCGGTTAGCTTAGGTTCATTCGGAATTGGTTAAATAGCATCATTGACCGAGGGTCATGTAAAGAAACTAGAACGGTTGACGTAAAGGAAGAAAGAGCGAGAGCAAGGCCATCCCATGTCGAGGTAAGTTGGTAACGATGCTTCGTAGTAGGAGGGCTGCTCCTTTAAGCAAAGTATAATCGAATGCCTCTTCCGGCATCCATAGGAAGCCCACTAGGCTTTCAAGGGTCATACTACGGGCCCTAAAGCAGCGGGAAGTGTCAGGCCCCACAACCTGAGAGGTAATTGGCTCCGGCAGCTATACAGTACTCCAACCCACAAAACAGTATATCAGGCCAAATTAGCAGATCGTACTTCAACAACAGCATCATTGGTTTAGTGGTAGAAACTCTATTTGCTATACAGAGTTGTCATGTTTTAGGGTCCTGGTTGAGCTCTGCTGTTGCTGGTTTAACGGATTTCCGTGAGACGAGGGTGGGAAGAGGCAGAGCGGCAAAGGGTTGTAGCCAGGAATGATATGTAGATATACGGAGTACAGAATACGTTACGGAGGAAGATTACGGTACTTGGTGCGTGGTAAACAGAAACCAGCACTTCCCCTACCTCTGCACGTACCGGCGGAGCAATCCGTATTATGCACGAGCATGGATACTAAAACATATTGGCTTCATTCCAGCGAATCAATAGCAGTCGATGCGATGCTAATCAATGCAGGAAGTTTTAGCTCGCCGTTAGTACAGGAGTACGGAGTAGTTGGTTGGCGGACAGCTCTGCACCCACAGAACTCGGTGTTGGACAGCGGACAAAAACGGTACTTCGGAGCCTGCGCAGCCAGCCCACATACGGTATGCCACGTACACCGCAAGCTGAGGCGGTGGTGCAGATAGGCCACTACTAGAATGCAACGCGTTGAGACTGAGAACTTGGGCCTTTTTTTTAATGTACGTAGGCATAAAGTTAGGGCCTGATCTGACTAGTATAGTACAGAGGTACCGACGCAGCACCTGCCCGTACCAACCGTTGATATGCACGTGATGTGGCTTTGTCGTCGGTGCCCTTGAAGTTCCTCCGTACAGTACCTTGCATGCTGGCGCAGCCCAGGCCGCAACGCATTTAGTATTCATCGAAATCACAAAATGAGCCACGGAAGCCATTTCGACCGCGTTTGTCACTGGACCAATACCGGCGAACATGTTTTTAGCCAGAGTTTCCACGATGGCCGACCAGCTGGTTCCACGACTGTGAGCGAAACAATGGACCATTACAAATCGAACGTGGAGGACGAGAGTGAGAGTTCCTCGGAACAGTCGGATCGTATATCCCTAACTGGATCGTCGACACGATCCTCTGAATGTTTACTCGCCGGCTGCGGAAACGATGCCCTCGAACCTACTGTCGAACAAATCTACTCGACCTTCGCCAAAGGCCATTCAAGATGGAGTGCTTGCGTTGTCAACGCGGAGCAATTGCCGTATGGCTGGCTTCCTCCCTGGAGCTTGAATCCTTCCATCATGATGCAAAACGTCCCACCGCTGCCCGCAGATCTGCGTGGAAAACGAGATATTACGGGAAATACCTTATGGAACATACCAAGCCCTGAGCTCCGTGCCTCTCGTAGCTCGGAGAGCAACAATGATGCGTATTGGAACCCAGCGCTTGTCCACGGTGCCAGGAAAACCTTCTACCTTTTTGTCGAAAAGCCCACGATATGCGGAATGGCCACCGGGAATGATTCTTTTCGCTCTTTCTGTAACGACGACCAGCCAACTCGTCCGAATGGACTTGTTATTCTTACGCTCTGCTGGTCATATATCTTCTCGATAAAACTCCTTGAAATGCAGAGGAGGCGTATGGAATACTCCACGGCAGTTCTATTGCCAGTCACTTGTGACTTCGAGACACAACATCCCAAAACTATCATGCATCTTGGCCAGTCCTCGAGCAAACTTGTCAGGTGGCTTTGTGCTGTGCTTGCTCCAAGTCCTGGATGGTTCGCCAAAGGAAGCGTGCCTCCATGGACTGCCTATTTCAACCAGGATATTCCCTTAATTATCGGCACCGACATCTCTTACAATGAAATTAGTCAAGAAACGCCTCCCTCTTCTTCTGAGGCCGTTGAGCTTCTTATCGAACTATGTTCGCTGTACAATTTTAGTTCTCAGCCCTTGATAGCTTTCTCGATAGCCTTGCTAATACCTTTCTACAATGTCCAAGGCCTACAACCCCTACTTCCTATGCCTCGATTCCCTGCCTTCGCCAAATCGTCCCACAATCCTCCACTCTACCTTCGAGATTATGTATACGATCTTCGATATTATATGACAATTAGTGTGTGCCCGTATTATATTGGGTCGATGCTGTGGAGTGTCTTCTGGGAACCCGGTATCGACTGCAATGCTGTCAGTGCTTGGGTTGGCTCGATACACCAGGTTCTCGAGCCCGCTCTACAAGCCGTCGACACGAAACTCCTAGCCAATGTATTTGCGCTCTATCGTCCGGAACTTGCACCACTGTGGCTTGGTCTGTTTGCGAGTGGTTGTATCGAGATATGTGGTATGATTCGGTCTTACCTGACGAACCTTACAGAACATCCCTACTCCCCATCTCTTGCGCACCCTGATCCTAATGTGGCTGCGTGGACCGGGTCGAAGCAGTCATTCTTAGACGAGGAATGCTCAGTGTTATACGAATCCCAGTCTTCATTGGTCTCGAGAGCCGATCTATTGCGACATCGCTTTAATTTCCGACCTAGAGACTCCGCCGGCCTTTACTTCGGATGGCAACCATTCGGGGCGGTTGCGAAGGCTCAGGTCGAACCCGAGCTTTGGCCTCGACTAGAGTCTAGATCTTCTTCTCGAAGCTATGTATATTGGGTTTGGTGGGTTAACGGCGAAAAGGTGGTAGAACGAGGCCTCTTTCATGACAGGCCACAACTTGCCACACAAAAGAGATATTTAGTCATGCCCTGGCTAGGAAGCAAACATGAAAGCGACTATGTTCAAGCCTCTTTAAACCAGCTAGAGACAGATCCTACCGGGGTTGTGGTTCCAAGTCTTCGATTAACACCTTCAAAAGAGGCCACCTTCCGTATCTTGGACTGGGGCTCAAAGCTAGCGTCCGGAGACCGAACAGTTGAGGCAATGGCAATTCCGGGTGTTAGGAAGCACGTATGGCTGGCCGACGCAAGGGAGATCTCTTAAGCCTACTAACTGCCCTGCAAAATAGAATAGTTCTATTATTTAAATTTATCTTTCCCCTTGCCTTTGTCTTCTTGCCGCCCCTGCCCCTTGCCATCTAGCTTATCTTTCTCTCGCTCTTTTCCTTTGCCTTTGCCTTTATCTTTTCCTCTACCCTTGCTCTTAGCTCCTTTCCCTGCCTTCTTCGAACTCCCTTCACCTATGTCCTCGCGCTCTCCGTCCCCGTCTCCGTCTCCGTCCATGGGCCTGCGTGTAAATTCACGGCCATCTGGGAAATCGGGGTTTGAACGATAACACTCCCATCGACCGTCTTTCTTATACCATGGACACCAGTCATGCCCACTTCCACTCGGGGTACCACCTGCTAGTTCATCAACCTCCCCTCCTTCCAGTTCCTGAGATTGTGCTGTCTCTTTCTGAGTATGCATATACTCGATGCCATCTGGGTAGGCAGTGTTGTAGCGCCAGTTTTCCAACAAGTTGCCCTTGACGTACCACCCAGACCATTCTCCTACACTACTTTTGCCTGCACTGCTTGCAGATTGATCTGTTTCTATATGAAGACCTCTAAATGCGCCTACTAGTGGACTCAATGCTAGCTCGTCTGTGGAACCCGAACTCGTTCGTTGGTGCGTAGTGCTGCCAGTGCCCGAGCCGTCTCTAAGAGGGGTGGATGGTGATTGTGCTGCGAATGAACTCTCGGTCAAACTTTCGTCGATCATGGGATCGGGCTCTGTGGGTGTTCTTGGTCTCCACAATGGGTGACTTTGCTGATGCTCATGCGGCCTGAGTTCGACAGCGTCCTTGTACCCTTCTGGGTAGAATTCTTTGCCGCAAAAACACGGCTTTTTGCATATCCTGTACCCTCCGGTCTGAGGTCCATACCCATGAACTGTAGATTGACATATCTCAAAGATTTTGCGGCACTTTTTGCATTTCGAGAATTTATGCTTAACATGCTCGTTCGGATGGTGGCCGCACCAATAGCATGGCGCCCCTGTTCTTCCCGAGCTCGTTGACATAGCTTTTTGGTTTTGAAGATACGTTTCCCTAAATCTGGGAAAGGCTCCTCCTTTATGTCTACCTCTATCCCTTATCGTCCTCTACGGATGTTGATTGGACAATAATACGATGTGCAGCTATGCAGTAATGCCTAAGTCCGGAGCAAATGGGTCGCTCCCAATGTCACCTACTTAGGCCACCAAATCAAGGGGCGCAAGGCTCTGCATTGCTAACATTAAAAGTATGGCTAACGCCTGCAAGTTTATTATATAGATTGATAACTATAAGATTTTAAGAAAGTAATAAATGTCAATAGTTGTCTTACTTCCGTTTTCCCCCTCGCTGGCGTGTTTTAGGGCCCTTTTGAGCTGCTAGCATTAGTCTGAACAGCTTCATAGTCTCCTCATTTGACATGTCTATTCCCTCTTGGTCTTCACTATCCTCCTCCTCCTCCTCCTCCTCCTCCTCAACTTGGGTTGTGTTCTCGCGCCTCCAAATGGGCACTCGTGGCTTCCTGGCCCTTACACTACTTGAATTAGTATAAAGCTATAACGAATTTCTATTGTCCACTTACGTTTCTTGGTATTTCCTTGGCTTAACATAACCCTCATATTCTTTCGTAATTCCAGCAGCTTCTACGTGAGTTTCCATTTTGTCTCTGATCTGATTTCCATATTTAGTAACCAGCTCGCTTTTACCAAACCACTTAGGCTCATCGCCAATATATACTGCAACAATAGTAACTGGTGCGTTCGTGTAATCATCCTTATGTTCCTCTCGGAAAGTAGGAGCCACTGTGTAAACTTCTACATCTTTGAATCGAAGTGACTCAAGGTCGCTTGCTCTACCGCGCGTTTCTTCAAAACCTGGATAGTCTTGCTTAAAATCGCTAAGAGTGCCTTTAACATCACTTCCTGATAGCAACAGGTAGGCGAGCTTTGACTTTCCGGGAACTTGGTACTTAACCAATAACTTATCGCGGCCCCCAACGCTAATCCATGATTGTATATCTTTTACTACCCCATGATGATCTATCTTGTTAGAGGGTAGGAGGTCCGGCTTATTTTGGCGCTTTGGGTACTTAAACGGTCCTGATGACGGGTCGGGTGTCCCTTGAGGTTCTTCTACCGGTGGCTCTACCCGTGGCTCTACCCGTGGAAGTGCTCTGTGTTGCTTTAACAGCTGAGGGGAGTCTCCGAGGACGGCTCCTATTATTCCACCATTCCAAGGGCCATTCGAGAACCAGTACTTCGTCACAAACACCATATACTGGTCTAGTTCGTCATCGTGGATAGAAACACCAGAGTTACTCCGGCAATTTTCTCGAAGAGAGGCCATATTGTCAGCCTGCCTGACAAGTTCCTCTAATAGCAGGTCTGTGAAACTATAATTGTCGGTAACGCACTTTTGTTGTGTCAGAGACTTTATTTCGTGGGTGACTTTTGTAACCTCGGCTGCCGCTTCTTGGTATTTGGCAAGCTGCTCCGAATTCGTTCTTCCACTAATCGCCGCTGTGTGCAAATAAATCAATGTATGAAGGGAGCCTTGTGGTCCCTCCAGTCTAGCCCGCATTGCAATAATTTGAGAAATTACCAATGGTGAATCGACAGGAGGCAGCTGTAGATGTGATGCCTGGAGATCCGCTATATCCGGAACAAGAGAATCGGCAAAATTCTTAGGAAATTGACATTTCTCTACAAAGTCGTTCGCCTGCACCCGAAAAGAATTGTAGGTTTGCAGGATGTCCTGGCTGTCGGTTCCATTCACAAGAGAGTTGTATAGAGCTGCGGACCCTAAAATATTCTGTACCCAAAAACTGGCCAGGTTTGCCTCATTAATATCAAACTTTGAGGCTTGATGCCCGGCTTCTACTGTCGCAGCCCTAGCCAAATCCTGATAGCGATCAAAATTATCTCTTGCCTGCTGATCTAGCGGGTTTAGCAGCAGTCTTCGCACGCACCCCATTTCCCCACCCATCTTGCTCTGAATAGCTTTTACCGAGTCCGGAACTGGGTCGTCTGGTTGACCGAAGTATTGATCATCGGGTTTTTGAAGTAGTTCTTCTTCCTCTTGTGTTTCCGCGTCCATACCTGGATCCGAATACTTAGGAACGTACGTAAGTCCTATGTTTTTGTACTCCTTCAACTGCGCAATTTTACCCTGCAGCTGCTTTGTCTTTCCTGTGATCCTTTTATTGTACTTCCCTATAGCTTTCGCTACTTCTTTGCCAAACTCTTCGGTGTAATGGTTATGTAGGTCGAGCTTGCCCTTGGTCGTGTGCTCTCTTGATGTGTCGGCATTCATGATATGAGTGCGATATGTATGGATTGCGGCAACAAGGGAGTGAGATTTCATGAGATCTCCTTTCAATTTGGCAGGAAGGCTTTCGAGGATTGTCCAATGTGCATTACTTTGCTTCAACATTTCTTCGTCGTCATTTTCGTCCGTGTCATCATGCTCATCAGGGTGTTCGTTTTGAGGCGCGGGATCATTGGATTTGAGTAATTTGGCCAGGCGAACCTTGCCAAAAGGCCCAAATACTTGGATCCGGACTTTTCCGAAATTCGCGGGGTGGTTGGAAATCTTGTTGTGTTGTTCAATTTTGATGTTGAGCGCTTCAAGTATTTTAGACCGCTCCTGACAATACTGAAAAACTTCACCATGCGCGTCCTCATCGATTTCAGAGTACTTTCCAGTTTCGGAGGTAGTTTCGACATTTGCCAGTATAAGTTCACTTGCACGACCCTCTTGTTCTCTCTGTGCCTTGGTTGCTTTATTATAAATTCCATACCAGAAAGCTTTATCGCTCGTTTGCTCGCAGACTTTATCGTAATCTGAGCTTAGCAAAAGGGGCTTCAAGATTTTGGCATCGTCTGGGAGAGCCTCTACTGGGGTTGCCGGGATCGAAATTGTCCCAACAAAGGTTCCCGCCCCTGTTCCAGTGCCAACTCCAAACCCAGACACCAAGGAACCGGTTGTTACAATATTTGCCGGTCTAGACATAGTCACGAGCAGGGATTCGGGGTGGCAGATCTGATCTTGTCTAATCTGGTGCTTTCGTGCTTTAGTGTGATACCAGCTCACACGAGAAGGGCTGAGATATTTTGATATACGAGATTGGTGAGAAAGTGCTGTGTGGTGGCGTGTTATAGGTAAGAAGGTGTGGTTATGGTTGTGGTTGCGATTGCGATTGCAGTTGAGGGGCTGTGTTTAGTTTTGTATGGTTTGGAGGGTTGAGGAGATGAGATGGGGACCTTTCGGCTCACTTCTATAGATATGTATAGAGTACAAGTAGAGCGAGCGTCTTTCCTTGGAACCTCTGTAGAGTATCCTTCCTGTATTCCGATATTCCTCTTTTCGGAATCTAGGAAGTAGATGGGGAAGCCTACCCCTGTAATTTATGCGGGGTTAGAGATGGGGGACGTTGAAAACCGGGGTGCGTACTTCGCATTCAGTATCCGAACTCTGGGAAACACCATAACCTCCTTCTTCGATAATTCACGGGACTACAAAGGTGGTGATAATGCCACAAACTGCCAATACCGAAATGCGAGCATCACCCAACTGTTTTTGGGGACAATCATCACCTGCTTTTAGAATCTACTTTGCGCGAGCTGGAAATTCCCCAACAATTTTACAATGTCTGTTTACTGGACATGCTGCCAATGCGCTCTTGTTCAATCCGATGATGGTGGGGTAGTCTGCGGCGGAGATAGCTGCGACCACGATCGTTGTGCAGGTTGTTCGGTCGACTTCCTTGGGTACCCTGGGTGGCTGTTGACAGGGCAACTTTGGGGGCCATGGCACCTAGGTCACGACCGCCGTTAGCGAGAATCAGAGGCACCAAGGGTGTTCGCGCCAGGGCAAGCGGGGAATCGTGGTTTGCGAAATTCCTTCCCTAGAACCCCAATTTTATCTAACATCTTATAAGGTCTTGGTGCCTCGATCAAATAAATCATGCCTTATTACAATCATCCTCAATAACACCATCTACTTGCTTCTATCATATACTTCTGAACCATTAAATCACAAAAGGTTGACCCTATTTGTATTAGGACAGTCCTACAAAACCCAAAAACAAAGTCATATTATATTCCTTCTTTCAACCGTTTCCGAAATGTATCTGGGTTTCTCCATTCCAATGTCGGCTCTTCTTCTAACTACCGTAAATTGCATCACAACTCTAAAGTAAATTAATCTGATCCGTCGTGGAGACTATTATTGACATCTGTCGCATAGGCCCACGTCCAGTTTCCACTGGAACACTAGTAATGCCACCACGCAAATCTCTGGAGCTTCTAGTGGCTACCTTTTAGCTACAACAAATACTTCAAGTGTTCTGTGTCCTTCATCAACGGCAGATCTCTCCGTCGCTAGCCTCAAAACTCACCAAGTTATGGTAGGCCCAGCGGGCAATTTGAGCTTCGAGCCAAGTACGATAGATGCCACAGTTGGCGATCTTGTCAAGTTCACTTTCCTAGCGATCAACCACACCCTGACTCAGTCCTCCCTCTCAAACCCTTGCAAAGAAAATGGAAGTTTTGACACCGGTTTCAACCAATTCAATCCGCAAAATGTGGCAGGAAGGCATGTCGTTGAGTACAGAGTACAGAATCTTGAGCCCCAGTGGTTTTTCTGCGCTCAAGCGGCTGGAAAATCGCACTGCAAGTCAGGAATGGTGTTCGGCATAAATACTGGAAGTAAAATGGACTCATTTGTCGCTTTGGCCACAGCAACATCCTTTTATGATTCCGCAGCTCCGTCTTCGGCCACAGATGTCGAAGTAGATTATTCACAGCCTCCATCCATAAGTCACTCGTCTTCCTCAAGTTCCCAATTATTGCCAGAGTTTCCTTCGAGCGCGACTTCACAGCGATTTCCCGCCAATAAGAGCCCCAAGCCCACTATGTCCTCTGTTTTGTCAAATGTTACTGCCATCTCGACTACAGCACTGGTGAGCCAAACTACTCTGTCAACAGCCTGTAGTAGTTTCGACTCTGCCAAGCCTTCGCTAGCGATGGTTTGCAACAACTCTGCAGGCATAGCCGCATCAACTATATCACCCAATGCCTCCTCTAGTGCCAGTGCCATAGTTTTGCTATGGCCTTTGGGACTGATTTTCATCGGTGTATGTTTCTGTGGTCTCTAGAGACAGTCGTTTGGGTTTGGGGCAAAGAATATGCCATGGGAAAGCAAGCTTAGTTAGATCAAATCTATTATTAGGATATATAAACGCTGCTTGATTTTCTCAAACCTTATGGACCCCAGTTTCGTGTCCCGATACCCTCTACACATGCTACTTAAATTGATAGTAAATTAAAATAGGCCTGAGTAGTAACGTCTATCCCTGCGTGCCGAGACGCACCCTGTCACGAGACAAATCTATCCTGCGCTTTAACATTGGCTAAAGGTATTTCTGGGCTTAAATCGCTTGGAATTGCTCACGGCGATCTAAACCTGAGCATATTTGGCTATTAATCAAGACCGTCCCAAGACACCGTTATTATCGAGGGTCTGAGCGAGTGATATTTGTCAACCTCGATCACCACATGTTCAGACTCTATTATTAACGATTGAATAGGCAATAGCTATGTAACATTTCTCGTATACAAAGCATAGAGATGAAATAAAGCGGTTATACTCGATACGAGGTGGCGAGAGTATAAGGAGGTTGATCGGACGAGCGGGGTAATAAGTATAGTTTATCTAACTTGAAAATACAGTAGAGCGCAGAATTCAAAAGATCAAGAATATCAATTTAGGTTTAAAGAATAGAAGAGTGCACGTTTAAACGTAAAACTCCTTACGCTTCTATCTGAAAGTCAGCAAATGTTACATCCAACTGGTTTAACCCATCAATAACTGCTCGGTCATAACAACAAGTAACCGCCTCGCCTTGCTGAGACTTAGGAAATCCTCCTACAGTTGCGAAGCCTACCATGTCACGGCTGCAATGATAAACATGTCCTTGGGACGTCATATAGTGCACGGTCAAGCACACTTTCAACGACACATCTCCTTTCCAAGCGCTGCCCTTCCATACACTTCTAACCAACTTAATATTCCGATGCAGAGTCTCGAACTTGTAAGACCACCTTCGAGGCCCAAACTGACTATTAAATTCACGAAAAAGCTCTTCCAGAAGCTTCTGATTATCCTGAGCCACGTTAGGGCTTTTAAAAAGGTAGCCCATATTTTTGAATCAAATCAGAGTTTCGAGAGATAAATCAGGACAAGACCGAAGGTCAAGATAGATATCGGCGTTATGGAGAAGATAGTTCTAGATCAGGTAGATGTGAGTAGAGGAAGCAACGTTCGATAAAATACTAGTAGGGGAGATGTGCCAGTTGACAGGACTGACGGATATATACTAAAAAATGGAGGGCGACTTGTATTAGTGTGCCTAGTATATATAAGATTTCCGTTTCCCGACATCCTCCGACCAGCCAAAAGTGGCAGCCAGCAACCTTTTTCATTACCGGCTTGTCACTTCCAGTTTTTCAGTTCTAGCTTATCACTTCTAGCTTTTCACTCTACTCTAGATTTGGGATATAGCTAGCAGGACCGTTCTATTTTTATACATACTACTCTAGATTTAGGATGTAGCTAGTAGGACAGTCCGTGACTCAATATATACAGCCGCTTAGTATATTATATCCTAGATCTACGAGTATATAACTGCGTCTAAAAGCTGATTCTTGTCAAAAATTTCCGGCAAGATCCGCCCTGACTCAGCCACAAGCTTCGCATCGACAAGTTTAGCGGCCACAAGTATTATAGTATTAATATGATAAAATTTACTGAGATTACTGTAACCACGACGCTGCTGACCAGGGTCCTTGCGGGGAGGTATCAGCCCATGTGGCGACGTCGTATGACATGGCACGCCCTGGCCGCCACAATCGTGGCAATAGCTTTTTAGCCTTATAATAAAACCTGGATATCTATATCTAATTGTTCTATGTGTTTAAAAGGTGAATAAAGCTTGATGGTGGTGTTGCAAGTCGAGGATAACCAAAAGCTACGGCCCGGTTTCACTAGACGCGTATCGATAGCTTGAGGGACTCCCAAGTAAATAGGTTGCAAGATATATAGGCTTGCCACATGCACTCAACCAAGTTGCACTTTTAGTGCTGCCAGGCTAGACATAAATTCAGCATTCGAAGTAGTGCCATGTAGAACTACGATTGCGATACGACTACAATTACGTATAACAATACCAAAATTTTAATAAAATTACATTATATACTATTATTTACGGGTAGGAAGTAGGATCTTATCTGGGAGCCTGTCCATGCTCATTATGATAGAAAAGTCCGAGCCTAAGGATTCCAACGTCCCCTCAATTTTTAATCTATGCAAAGGTAGCCAGCCCCCGGTCAAAGCCTTGAAGAGACCGCTGGCAGCAATGAGTGTTCCGAGGGCGTGATCTTTGGAGTCACGAAGGCGGCAGGCAATCCCATCACACAAATACTGCTCGAAGCCTTTGGATACGGACTCTACAGTAGATGTGCTATGCCCAATTGCGCAAAGGACCGTTGAGGCGTGTTCTCCGAGGAAGGGTGAGGCACATTCTACTAAACTGGACCAAATCTGAGAAGACTTTGCTGTAGCTTTGGCTCGTCTCCACTCATTCCGTGGAACGCTAAGCATGCTCATCGCATTGCTTTTCACTGCACAAGAAGTTCGGCGACTCACAAGACAGGTACACCCCTCTAAGTGATGTTTGCGACCATAAAGTTTCTGGTGGAGCACTTGGGAAAAGCGAAACCGAGTATATCGATGCCGAATAACGTCTGGGGAACCAGTCCTGTCTATTCCCAGTTGATGCCACAGAGATGCAGGATCTTCCCCCGAACTTCCCGCCATTAGCCGATACGTAGCCACTGCGCCCCTTAGGCAATTGATGATATTCGTCTTGTCAGCAAAAGATGCTACAAGCAATTCCGCAATTTGTTGTCTGTTGGGTTTTGTAGCACCCAACGGTCCCATATTACTCGACCGCGACGTAGATAACGTGGGTTCTGGGGATGCATGATCTGTGGTCTGAGAAGTACTGCCCGGCCCATGCTCGGGAGACATCGGACTAATAACACGATCGCTAGAAACGATTACACTGCAGTGGGTAGTACACTCTTCGGCGGCCGAGGAAGTGCTTTCGGTAGTCTCTAATTTAGCTGTGTGCAAGTTGGCCTCGAGGTATATATCGTCGCCTATTGACGCTTCCGGTGAGCACAGATCAAGAGGATCAGCATGCGTCGTGCCGCTTCCCAGGAACTTGTTGGGACCTGGGAAGAAAAGTAGAGTTTCCTTTTTGAGTATAACCGCCTGTTGTTGAGTGAATCGCTGACAGTCTGTACTAGTTGGGTCTAAAGACCCAGCCAGAAGCTCCGCAAGTATTCTTGGCCGCAATGTTGGCATGATTTCATCAGCCTCGACTTGGAAGAGATGTCGCAATCCAGAAGCCATCAGTCTGATACCCATGAGGGTGAACAGACCGCAATCGTAGCTGTCTGTGGCCTGGTGTGGACTCGCGCCGAACCCTACTTGCATCCTGACCCCTCCAAAGCGCTTTTCAAGCCATATAAGTAGTACGGAGGGTATCTGAGGGTTCGCCCACGGGTAGCTATCGTAAAATTCAACGACCATAGACCGCTCGTGTGGTAACGACACTAGTCGTGCAAAAGTCCAGTGGGAATTCCAAAAAACAGGTATAAAAATCTCGCGGCAAGTGCAAAGCTCCTCGAAGCCGATGTCTCTATCCATGGGGTGGTGCCTCTCCACCCTGGGATCAAGCAGCCTAGTCGTGCCGATTCGTACCCCTGACTTTCGAAGTAATTTCGAATATGCTTCAATAACCTCATCGCTTATCATCTGACGCGGGCGCAAGCCTTTAATTGAGCTGTGATTGACATCAAGAATGCGAGCAGACTCCGGGTTCTCAAGTATCTCCGCAGCTTTAGCTGACCATGGATCCGAGGGCGGTGGTAAGAACGTAAGTGGACTTTGATATAAAGATTTGACGAGTGCTAGTAGTTGAGGGTTTTGATACAGAGCTTTCCTGAAAAGGGTTTGGGCCTGGTCAAGCAGATTATTGCCGCCATCATCCAGCATAAGCCTGGGTGCGAACTAGAAGCTACATCAGCCTATTACCTCGGTGGACAAACGCACATGCATACCGCTTCGCCAGCCTTTTCGGCCAGCAATTCCAGGCCTTGCTGTGTGCTCATTGTCATATTGTTGGCTCGTTAGTGATACAGCAGTTGGGTGTCCGGCAGAAATCTCACAGGTCTCTGGTCCTTTCGGATTCGGAAACCTGGGTGCTGTTGCTAAGAATCGAGAGGCACGTCCCTCCATCGATCCCAGATGCGCCACCGGCAGAAGAGCAGTCCAATCATACGACGCAGTATAGGCGGCAAACGTTTTATTAAATAAATAGTACACGTATGCTACGGAGTACGAAGTATTACTCTTCATCTCCACGGTCCGGACATCACACCCAAGCGGGGAAAACCGACAACCGAACTTCCCAAGCTTACCGAGAATTTCCTAGTACATCATTTTTGGGATTTCTATTTACGGGGCTATTTACTGTTCCCTTCCAAGCCAGGTTTTCCATGTGACCGTTAGGAGTTCTTATTGACCAATCAAGTATGTCTGAGGTGGAAATAATTGTCATTGCAATGGCCTTTAATAGGTCAATAGCTTGATGACTGTGATACGGTTGAAACTTGAAAGTAATTGAAAGGATTGTATTATTATTCAGAGCCCAGATGAAAAAAATGTGCAAAATGACTAAAACGCCGACTTAATGAAATACTGTCTAAATTTCCCTACTACTGCACTTCTCAGCGCATCCAGCTTAATGTTTTGGACGCTTGCAAGATGCCTCCCTCCTGTCATCATCACCATCATTGTCACCATCATCGGTGTGCTCGCGCTTGGTCCTCCCAGCTGGCGGCACCTCCACTTCCACCCCTGAATAGTCTATATCAAATGCAAAGCTCTCCGGTTCATCAGACCCTGAACTGGGCTTCCACTCATCATAATCCTTTGCAACGATTAGCAGCTATCTGAGGGGCAAAGATAGAAGGCCTTACGCAATGTAACTCGCGCTCTATCTCCTTTTCGAACTCCAGCGATTGCATTCTCTCCTCCGCCGCGATTCTCTTCATTTTTTCGTCCTGAATCTGTGTCCTGAGATCATGAACGATGTAATTTAGATATCGAACATGGCCCTGCTCCATAGCTTGCCCGCGCTCATATGCCATTGAACGTGTCAATGCCCCTTGCAACTTCATCCTGGTGACGTTATGGTCAGACACCTCTTGAGTCATGGCTTCAACCAGGTACTCAATTTGTTCTTCATGAAGTTCTCCTGGGGTTTGCTGCAACTGCCGTAGACTCCACCGTGGGTATGCCGGTGGCGGATTTGCGGCCTGTTCAATAACTTGTGGCTCAGAATCGGCGCTTCTTGGTGGTGTGGTGGATACCATGGCTACAGTAAATTGAATATGTGTTTCCAGCTGCAGTTCTTGAGAATAGCTGGAAGGAAAGTTTCTATCTGGCTGATATAGAGCTGATGGGATATGTATGAGATTTGCATTAAGAATGTTTAAACACGGAACAACCGTGCCTTATACTGTCCTCCAGCATCCATCATGGTTTCCATACATCTCGGTTTCTTGGTTAGTCTGTTTTAATTTTTCGAAGCGCTGTGCTTAGGGCGCTGCGCTTAACTAGGGTGGAGAACCGTGATCGAAGTTCCGGGTTTTGGGAACATGAGAATACTTTGGTTCCCTGTTCAGTCCTTCTACGAGTCGGGATTCCCGGATTTCTCGCTCTAGGGGCTATTCTAGGTACGGTAGCATGCTACACCTTGGATATTTTCTAGGTTTCACTTGCACACAACAGCTGATCTATTCCCAGCCCCCCACTTTCCCTCGTAAGCTGTGGCTGCATGGTTCTCTACAGTATGGGGTCTATTTGATTGGAAAAGCAAAGCGTTGATATTTATTATAGGCTATCTAAAATAGTCATAGACGATTTATGTAATATGTTTTAAGTCTGCAGCAGTTTCTTGGCCGCTATTGGAGGATTTACCTCATGAGCGAGTCTAGTTTCCACTACAGTTGCACTGAGACGGTGCACCAGACATTGTTACAGGTTGGATGAGGATAGCTACAGACATTGTGTCCAAAAGTGTTGGTGCAGAAGTTGGAACGGTTGCGATTGCCGCCGTACGAGAAGCATAAGTGGATACAGAACCCGCGATACGCGACGTGAAAGTAGTAGCAGAAGTTGGGTCCAATGCAGATGCAGGAATCAACGATGAAGAAGGCGTGCTCGGCAACACCGTGCTCGTACTAAACTCAGTGCCAACAACATTCTCGACAAGGGTCTGTGTGCCTCGTATCGATGTCGAAAGGGTCGTAAATGTGGCAGTTGGAACAAGACACTCCATCGTGCCGTTTCGATGCGACTCTAGCCCATCCGGATTGCCCGGCCCACCCGCAATCTCCAGCCTTGAACAACTTCGAGTGCCCTTCCCCGCACACTGCCTACAGTAAAGCCCTCGTTAGCGGAATCATATATCGTTTAGGGGATGGCGTGGTACCAAAGGACCGTCACAACTCCATTGGGAGCATCGGACGGGAGCATGATCTCAGCTCGTTGGTAGCCGAGACACATTCCAGGTTCGAAACTGAATGTGACAGGTAGAAAATTGTCATCAGCGAAGACCATGATTGCTTCGCACGGCCTGCCTTGTGGATTATCGACTCTGGAGGCTGGCTGTTAGCGTTGAACTAGTGGGGTTCTTACTTAAGTGGGCTGGTACGTTGCAGTAATTGACTGTCCCGGCAGAATGGTAGCGAGAGGCGCGAGACCGCAGATGGATGGCGCGCCATGCTGAGCGCTTGCTGCCAAGCATGCAATGAGGGTGGCGAGGATTCCGGTATATATTTGCATTGTGTATTTTGGGGTGTGTTTTCGTTTTAGATTTCGGGCCTTTTAATCTGGGTGATGGGTTTTGAATAGACAGGAGGGGTATCTGGTTAAAATATTTTGGCATCAAAATTTCCGTCGATTGAGCTGCGAGGAACCGAGTGTTTTTATGTTGCATGGGCGCGGAACGAGGTCAGAAACTTCAGGGCCGCGAATCCCGTTACTGTAAGCTTGCCGGTGCAATTCCGGTTCTAGGCTTCCTGTATGTGCCACCAAGACTTACTAGCCCGCGCCAGCATCTAGACTTCCATGATCGGTATTCCTATAAATTAAAAACCCGTTGTCGCCCACCTCGTCAAAACAATCTTCCTGACCGAAAATCCCGCTCCACATTCTAGATCAAGAATCACAACATAGCACCGCAACCGAAAGATGTCCTCGAACAACAATATTGCAGCGAACGACTTATCCGGCATGGACGCCGGACATGGCTTCGATTACGGAATGGCCAACTTAGATACCTATGCATCAAGCGTAGACGCAGCAATTGATTGGGACCCTGCTATAATTTCGCGAATCGATAAGTATGTCCATATCTCGTGGGTTGTTGATTACATTAAAGCATGTCTGACCAGGCATGTTCCTGTATAGAAATGTCAAAGAGTTAGCGGAGGCGCTGAAATTGTCGGACGGTGGGCGGCTGGTGGAACTCGAGAAGGCAGTGAGCGAGATGAAATCTGAGTTGGATAAATTGTACGCATGGGCAGACAGTGTCAGGCCAACTATGGAGCAAACGTACCGGAAGGTGGAACACTTGATTGCGAAGGACGTGGCAAATGGAGGCTTTGTGTCAGCCAGCGAGACGCAGGTGAATTTTAGCTCTGTTGCGCAGTGATATTCGTTCGCCGGGGGGGGGACGGAAGAGGGCAGAATTATTCATGGCGTGCATGTTTTCGGAACATGTACTTGTACGTATTAATGAACTAGCTTATAATAATCACATACTATTCCAAATTATACGTAAGATACTCTCGTACCACTGAGAGCACAACGCCAAGTACGGACGTCCAAGACAGTCAGTGGCACAGCGTCTCGTTCTTATCCAATCCCTACCCTTGTCACTGTCCCTGTCCTTGTCACTAGTCTCGGAACGCACCGTGCTCGGGTCGACTCCAATCACATTACCTTTCTCGTGCAACATTCCTAAGGTACGGGCACACCCGCCTGGTCATCTGATCCGCGACAGCCGCTGCCTGTTCTACGCGCCCTTGGCTCACAACGCCCCACTATTTACGGCGCGGCCGCTAAAGAGAAGCAGTGGCGTGAGACAGTCCGCTCCGCGTTAATAAGCAGTGGGATGAGTGATCGACGATTGGCGCCCTGTAGAAATGGGTGCTGTCGGAGGGTTGCGGTTAGCTAATAAGCGTCGGGGAGTGCGGTTACTGACCCGCTGCACCGTTTCCAGCATAGGCACGTCAGTCGCGCGGAAGCACAGCTCCAGAAAGTCAACAAACTGCGGGGACGGCTCGAACTTGACGTCTAAGCTTTTCCCTTCCGGAGTAATGGCGAGCATCTTTTGTTGCATCACACCACCGACCTGCCCATCTAGATCCCGAGAAAACATGTGGCTCGCGAGAGCTCCGAGATCCTGACGATCGCGGTTACTATTATCCACACTACGCTTGGCAGGCAGGACTGCGTTGCCAAAGCTAGCTACGTAGGAGGAGACGTAAGACTAAGTATGCACAGAGTGTTTTTGGCCCTACCTAGCTGAACAATGCCATCTCGGGTGATGAATACATTGGAGGCTTTCAAGCTGCCATATATCAAGTATGTGCCTGCTCTTCTGCTTTGCTCCTGGAGGAAAACGAGGGTTCGGGCGATCATTTGGTTGTCAGCAGGATGCGGTGTGCAGATTGGCTGGGTATTAACTCACTTGGCTCAACACACAGGCCAAGTGGTCCTCCTGTAGTTGGATCGTGCAGTCAATGATATCCGCCAGGGACATGTCCGACAGGGCTGACCCGATATAAATCTGGTTTCTGTGTTTAAATGCACAGGTGACAGAGAGGAAACCGTCATTGGAGGGACCTCCGGCAAGATCCACGAGCCATGCTCGGAGTTGTGTGAATGAATCTTCGCTGCAGGACCGTAGCACGACGCTCTCAAAACTGTCCTTCTGAAACGCGATGCAAGTTGAGTCTGTGTATCCTAAGCCAAGAGTCTGCGTGTGGTTAAAGTCGTCCCATGTGAGCGGGCGAAGGCGTCGTCGGGTTGAAAGTACAGTGGCCATAGTGGGCTAGTTGATCGTTGGCAAAGGGGAGAGAAATAACCAAGAAAATAATCGTGAGAAACTGCAATTAATCCAAGCTTTAATTGTGGGAGTGCAGACTTTTAGTACGTACCTTGCAGGTACGAAGTACATTCATGCTGCACTCTCGGTATGCTTAGGTACGGATTATGGTGTACGGGGTAGATAGGGCAAGAAAAGTACCTGTATGGGCTACCCCGGAAGCTGTGTTGCGGAGACCGACTCTCGACTTCCCCGCATACTCACTGGGAAGCGCCGTACTACGTACAGTACAAATTCATCTTATTTAGGGGCAGGGTAGTGCACTACGCTCGAATATCTATAGATAACGACAAATTCCATTTATTTTACCCTCATTCTAATTTCAAAAGGCTGTCAAACACTTCATACTCGTAGTGATAATGTCCCGTAACGAGTCCACATGGTTGACCCTTCGAGCTGGCCTCGAAGAAATTTTCCTCCAAGAACACCACCAGTCATACACTGTACTTCACAATTTCCAATACCCGGGCAAACAGACACCACAAATGATTGCGTTGATTGGGCAGCAAACAAAAAGTCTCTCAATGCATAAGTTGAGATTCGGATTGCAGAGCCAAGACGACAATAGTGGCGAAATTCATCTGCGGGCAGATCAGGATAGCCTTAAACACCAATCGCCAATACTTTTTGCAGATTGCGAGTTACACAACTCATTAACTATCGATTATACTGGCTCTGAAAAGCTTACTAGGGATATCGTCCGGAGACCGCTAAAGTGGCATAATCCCGTTTCCCGCGGAGCTGATCCCCTCCTCTTGGCCCATATGTTATATGCAAAACTCATAGCTCCTTTTAGTACAGTTATCTGTTTCTTTGCTGAGGACTTTGGCGGTCTCCCGCTAGTTGCGAAAGTACTCGCATCATGGCTTATAAGCTTTAGTAATCGACCCTCCGACCTCCCTGCATCAACTCATTCCCGCGTCTTAATCCTTACAAGGGGGGAGGACTCGGTAAATTTCGACGAACAGACCGCTACAAGAAGATTTATACTAGAACTGGGAAGGGAATCCGAGAGACATTTGGGAAACTGGACAGGTAGAAGCAGTGGCAAGGCGAAACAAGCCGAGCTCAGCCGGCTGCTACTTGCTCAATTTGGGGGCCTGCGGGTACTGAAATTACCTTCTCTCGATGCAACTCCACGGACGTGGCGAGTATTGAGGAGTAAGATACTTCAAGACTCACTTGAGTTACATACAAGGCGAAAGGAGGCTCAAGTAGCATTCTCGGCACCTCACCTCACGGCCTTCTTTCATGCGGCGTGTGATCACTTTTGTACAGATATTGTTTCCCCTTTTAATTTTATTAGGGCATCCCGCGTTGCTAACCCAGTTCCAACGGAATTGCCATCTAACCTGACAACATTCTTAAGTCTGGTAGATGATTCTCGGATACTAAACTTTGCGGTACCGGTTATCGCCTCTGCATTAGTGTACAATAGTTACCTTGATAGGATGCATAGTAAGCTCTTCCAAGTTATATTAGGTCCTTAACGCGAATAACATTTTCAGGCTTTCTTCCGGCATCGGTATTCAAATATTTCTTCTACCAACTGTGCCTCTGCATAGACCCATTCGTAGCTAAGGGGTTACCCCCTGTAGAGTCCTCGCCACAGTTTACTACAGCGATTGAAGCCTCTTTCTGTCAATATGCGTCGGAAGTTGCTAGTACCGCCTTAGATGGGATTACAGTACATCGAAAAGTTCTCTCGAGATTTCCAGACGTCTGGAAAAATATACAAAGCAATGTTATATGCCTTTCTTGCTTGTCCAGGAGGCCAGAAGATACATTACAATGCCGACACTCTCTGTGCGCTCCTTGTACGACAGCTCATGGTCAATCAGATGATGTGGAGCCTTGGACCTTTCAAGTTGACCATTGTCCCCTCTGTAGAGAGCCCAACGGTATTAAATTTCACCACAAGCCCGATACTGCAGGCGTGAGGGCGATCATTGCAGAGGGAGGAGGTATCCGTGGTGTCATTCCCTTGACATTTCTGCAAGAGCTCGAAAAAGTTATTGATTTACCTATGAAAGTTCAAGAGCATTTTGACATAGCGTTTGGCAGTAGTTCAGGTATGCGTCCGAGGTATATTCTTCAGAAATGCCAGCTAATAATAACCCGTAGGGGGCTTGATTATACTAGGGCTATATTTTAATCAGTGGAGCGTAGCACAGTGTCTTGATCAGTTCCAGAGTCTCTCGACGCAAGCCTTCCAAAAGAGTACTTGGTTGAATCTCAAACCCTTCAAGCTAGTCCGTAGCTTTCTTGAGGTCCTATTATCTTTTACTACCGACAGTAGGTATAGCTCCACAGGGATTAACAACGCTCTAAAATCTGCATTCGGAGATAATTCACCTTTCTTTGGGGGTTTTAGCGGCGGGACTAAAGTAGCAATTGTGGCTTCTACAACACACGACTCTTCTACTTGTATTCTCGCAAACTACAACGGTCAGGGAAGGCGGTCTCAGGATTGTGGTGCGTATGCAACTAATAGCATGAGGCCTGGAGCTGACTGTGTCATAGGCTATAAATTTGTCCGACCTACTAGTATTGGCAAAGAGCTTCTTATTTGGCAGGCGTGAGTTTTGAATTCCTTCGTACGTTAGGATTTTAAGTTGAGACTAATTAAAAGTAAATAGTGCGCGTGCAAGTACGGCGGCCCCAACGTAAGTAAATACATCCTTTATACCGTATGCTGTGGCTCACTATACAGTTACTTTAAATCGTTTAAGGGTTATCATGACGGTGGATTAGGTGGCCACAATAACCCTATCAACTTAGCTTTATGGGAACAAGACACTATATGGTCACGCCAGAAGAAGCAACCCGATGCTGTCCTCTCTCTTGGGACGGGATTTAAGCGTCGCCCCGATGTAGATGATGAGGTAGAGGAGAATTTGTCGTTTTTCCGAGCGCGGTGTGTCCCGCGTCTATTTCGCTCCTTTATGAACTCCTTTATAGGAGAAACTCGATGGCAGGAGCTCCAAAATACCCTTTTGCCACACGTACGGGAGCGATATCACAGGATGAATATCGAGTTTTATGGCGACGAACCTGATCTTGACGATTTGCAAGCAATGCCAAGCCTTCAACAACAGGCAAAACATCAAGCGTTAACTAGCAACGATATCCAGGACTGTGCCGACAACTTGGTTGCATCCCTTTTTTATCTAGAATTAGATTCACTACCGACTTCTAACCGCACTCACTTTAGGTGTAAAGGGAAGGTTCGCTGCCGCTTAGAGCCTTCTCACAAAGCCCTTGTTGTGTTAGCTAGTCGCTTGAAGGATACTGGAGCTCGATTCGATCTCAATTTCGACCAAACAGTACAATGTATGGATGAAGTTTCATATAGTAGTATTGAACTAGGAGAGCGCTTTTGCCAGCCAGTTGCTTTTAATGTAACCTCTCTCGCTGACCATATTGACATCAAAATACGCGGAATTACGAAAAGATCCTGGAGTATCAGCAATTGCCCATACAAGATAGAAACTTTAATTAAGGATCAAGAAAATATAGGAAGAAAGAGGACACAATCATCAAGCGATCGATCTTCTAAACGAGTTAAATATAACATGTAGAGGTTTGTACTACGAGTAGTAACCTTAGAAATATATTTGTTACGTTATTACATTTACTTAAATCCAATTTCCTACTTTTTCATCTGCCATAAGAGCCTCTAAATTACTCTCACAAACATTCCAAGATTGACCAGCTACTTTCTTCGCCTTCTCCATGTTGTTTGTCGCATCTTGGATGAGGCGGACGCCTGATGCAGTCCCTCGCGCAAATTCCTTCGCAGCTTCCGCAATCTGGTAGTAACGCCTGACTTGATTTGCCCATATCTCCTGCTGACTGCGGAGTTGTTGAACCTCCATCCTGAGTCTCCGATTTTCCTGCTCCAATGCAGCTATGTTCTCTAGTGAGGGTGGTGGTGGCAGCATGGGTAGGATTTTGTTGCGGTGGGAAGTGAGGGTTAGTGGGTTAATTCTGATGTCGGACATTTGGACTGGTTCTGAAATGAGCGAAGGTCTGAATGATGATTTTTTGATTTGTTTCCGTCTTATTTATCTCCATGAATTCTGCGAGCGCGCGATACGGAGACCGACAATCCGAACCCCTGATATCCCCTGTCTAAGCGAGAGAAAGGGGTTCCGGGGTAAGGAGGCATCGCGATTTCCGGAACTCCAATCGAGTTGGCCCGCCACATTAGTAGATATCTACTATCATAAAATATTTCATGGGTAACTCGTGGAAATGTAGCGGAATTCAAGATCTGGTAAAAATGACAATCCCAGGGTGTTTCATGAAAACTGGCTGACTTCCTAGAAGGTGAGCAATGTGTGGTAGATTTCTACCAGACTGCCAATTTCTAGTAAATATTTTCTATTTCTGGAAGTTGGCAGGCTGGTAGATTTCTACCAGCCTTGACAACTCCGGAAATCCCGATCATCTTATCCCCTAGTAGATTTCTACCAGCCTACCAACTTTCTGGAAAGCGAACAATCGCCTCAGAGCAGTAGATTTCTACTGGTAGATAGGTTATCTTCCAGAAATAGAAAATATTTACTAGAAATTGGCAGTCTGGTAGAAATCTACCACACATTGCTCACCTTCTAGGAAGTAAGTAAATTTGTAAAATATCTACTACTGAGCCCAGAAAATATCCGAGAGGCCTGTGCTACGGCTAAAAGAATTACATCATTAATGCAAAGCGTATCATTTTCTTGTCACTCGATATGAGCCCTCCACGCTTTATTGGAATTTGTAGGGTCGACATCTCCTCTCTTAAGTTTGTCTACGGCAGCAGAGATGTTGACCGCCGGATTGTAGAAAACCTAAAACGAATATTTAAGAAGACAAAATGCAAGAAGGATAAAAGGGACACAGAAAATCACCTCCTGGTCCTTGTATCAACACCAGAGTTAAACAGAGCACTTAAAACATCCCGACTGACCTTGAAATCTCTCAAGGTCCCTCAGAATGATGGTCCACTACCTGTATTAAAAGTTTCGGGAGATCAGAAACTGCTTTGCCTCCAAGGTAAACATCGTGTGAGGGCTGCGGATGAATTTTTTCTCGATCCCAAGGACAAATGGTGGACGATTAGACTATTCTCCGCAGACCTTAAAGGTACGTGATGCACCTACGAGCCCCTAATTGAAGCTGACCATTTCCTTAAGAGGAGGCAGATATTACGTTGGTAGACACGTGGAGAGACCAGTTTTATCACCAGGCTGCGTTCAGCGATGGCGAGATCTACAGAAAGGTCAGATTCTACAAAACCCTGGGGCAGGATACCGAAGTGGACACCTGGACCATTCGCCTTTCGGATTGTAAACAGGTTGGCCTTCGGCAGCTATTGAAACGCGAGAGCTTTGCTAAAGGGTTTGATTCATTGCTACACTTTCCAGGGCTTTGGGCGGGGTTAGAGCTGGGGAATATCCAAAAACATTTGGCTCTTCGGTGTGATGAGGTACAGTATATTTAATATCTTCTTTATATACTATTTCTAATTATTCTTAGGAGGTAACTCGATACCTAAGTCACATATTGACAGTTTGGAGCGACATCACAATGGGAATAGAAGAGGTTGAACAGGCGGTGGATATTCAAACGGTCGAATCCTTACAACTCCGATGCCCTAGAGTTTGTACAGCGGACAAGAACTTCGTTATTCAAGCGATGAGCAGTGGCTTGCTCTTTCCTAAAATATTAAATGGAGAGATAAGGAGAGATATACAGGATAGAATCCTCGATACCGGGTGCTTTGTTCCAAGTATCAAGTCGATGCACGAAAACTTGAAGTATTTAGCAGAAGGTGCTAAGATCCTTCGACAATTAGTCTTAGGAGATGATATTGGGTGGACTATAAAGCGGTCGTTAGAGGAGGTCTGGGCAGGCCATAACAATGGTGTTATCGAAGTAGCAGCCGGAAATTTTAACCTTGCCTACAAGCAGCTTTGGATGTCTGCTTTACGAAATTTTGCAGATTTGGGCGGTCGGAGCCCACGTAAGGAGGAAAATCAAAAGCCTTACAAAGCTTCATCTAATCCGAGGGTGCATTACGAGTTTGCTCAAGAAGCCCTTCAACTCGGATTCGGGACTAATAGCATATACCATCTGCTCGCTCGCGATCCAAGAGGGGAGTCACTGCGACTCATGTTCAAGCAACTATATGATAGGCAATCTACCGCAGCTATTGAAACGTTGGTTCAGGAAGTGCTATCCAAGCTTCCAGCACCCCAGGATCCAGTTGTTCTCGACCTTTCTTCCTCGATTGAAACTTCAGACGCACATACCGACTTATCTAGGCGGTGGGGGGTGCCATTTGAGTACGCTTATCAGTCGGGAAAAGCACAATTATTTATTTCCCACATGCACCAGGAGCCTTTTACTTCTTTGACAGGTGTTGTTGGGGCCTCTTTTGCGAGGAGGGACTTCATAACATCATTTTTCGGACCTACCTCGGATTTCAAGCGCAACATTGAAAATGTGCCCAAAAGCGATGAATTATTTAGCACTACAGTTGAACAAGAGCGGTATTCGGCAACCGCTGATGCTAACCTTAAAGCGTCCTGGGACACAATGAGCTGTGAAGAGGCGAGCTCGCCAGAAGGACCTTTCTCAAACATTGAATCATCGGAAATTAATTTACACCAAGCTGCAGTGAGCGATGATGTGAGGCAAGACTCTAGCAATCTAAATGTTGGCATCTCTCAGCCTCAGTTACA